TTGGATAACATGTATTGACTATCGACACGGGCAGGTGTCGGCGCAGTTGAAGAGCATTCCCTACCGCCTTTTATTCAAGAGGGATGACTGCTCCCAACTCCTCCACGGTTTGAAGAATCTGAGTCTTGCAGACCTGTGTATCGGCATCTCGATAGGCTATGCATATATGTACGTACTTAGAAGGTATGTACGCCACATATCTACTCGCGGGGTCCGACACGAGGAGATCGAGGGTGTACTTGGTCTCTTACTCCAACATTCTCGGATCTAAAGCCTCGGAGAGACTTTTTGGGGTTTTTCGTCCAGCGAATTCTCCTCTCCTCGCGGCTGTCAGGATATTCAACCAGTCAACCAGTATGACTTGTTTGCCGGACGATGATGAGCAGCCACTCACTCACTCACTCACTCACTCACTCCCCACCTACTCAGGGAGTCCGAGTACAATTGCAAACACGGGTACAAATAGATCAGGTCTGTGTGTTTGTGCGGGATCGGATTTCTCTCCTCTCACCTACCACTCTACACTTACTTCCCCTCAGGCTCAATACTCTGTTAGTTTGTCTGTGGCTACATCGACCTCCATGCCATGTCATGAGTTGAGTTGAGGTTGGTTAGTTAGTGCCTGCTACCGTACATCCTCTACCTGACACACCATCACCCTCTCTCTGATATCTGACATCCGAAATCCGACACGGGAAATACCGCGACTATGGCAACGTCCACGTCCACGCCCACACACAACAGACCCAGACCGGCGTTCCAAGATGAGCCCATACCCATATACCCGGACCTTCCTGGCAAAGTGGCCATCGTGACGGGGATCGGGCAGTTCGGCGACCCCGCCGTCGAAGACAACTGGGGCAACGGGGCCGCGGCGGCGTTCGCGCTCGCCCGCTCCGGCGTCAAGGTGTTTGGATGCGACGTGGACCTCGCGGCCGCGGAGCGCACGAAGCGGCGGATCGAGAAGCACGTGCCGGGCGCGGTCGTGGACGTGGCGGTCGCGGACGCGACGGACTCAGCGTCGATCGAGGCGTTCGTGCGCGCCGTGACGCAGCGCCACAACGGCCGCGTCGACATCCTCGTCAACAACGTCGGGGGCGCGCACCGCGGCGGGCCCGTCGAAATGCCCGAGGAGCTGTGGGACCAGGAACTCACGCTGAACCTCAAATCCGTCTACCTCATGTGCCACTTTGTGTTGCCCGTGCTGACCGCCCAACCCGCTGGTGGCGCCGTCATCAACATCGGCAGCATCGCCGGCCTGCGGTACATCGGCAAGCCGCAGGCCGCGTACGCGGCGGCCAAGGCCGGCGTCCACATGTTCACCAAGCACACGGCCGTGTACTACGCCGACAAGGGCGTGCGGATCAACGTCGTCGTTCCCGGGCTGATCTCCACGCCCCTCGTGTCCCGCATCGCAGAGTACTACGGCGGCGACTACGACGAGTTTGTGCGCACGAGGAACGCACAGGTCCCCACGGGCGAGATGGGCACCAGCGCCGACGTCGCCAACGCGATCCTCTTCCTCGCCAGTTCCGTCGCGTCCCGCCATATGACGGGCCAGGAATTGGTTATTGATGGCGGCATGACGTCCAGCACGGGCAGTGTCAACAGTGGTATGGCGGAGAAGTAGATGGGTTGGACCGAGATAAAATTCCTAGGGAGTACTTGCGTGTTGGCAGGTGGGTAAGTAGGTAGGTAGGTAGCTAATGGCACAGTGAGCACTGTGTTATTCGGTGCGCTATCGATGTATGTATCTGGTATCAGGACCTGGAGAGCAACTCCTTCCCATCCATTCTTCCCCTTGTCCCAATGGTTCTCCCGATCCTTCGTAGCGTCACTACGCACTTTCCAGAGCCGGGACACATGTCCAGCCATCGTCGACCAATTCACCCGCCGCCATTTCTGTCGAGTGTTTCCTGTGAACCTGGCCAGGGCACAGATCCGCAAATCTCACCGCGGCCCAAATCCTCTGCATCACCTTTGGCTTGAATCCGCACAAATCATCCATGCGCAGCGGCGTCTTCGCCGAACTGTCGATGTCCAGGAATCGGTTGGAAAAGGTAATGCCTTCATCCAATTTCGCAAGGCCAATATCCGTCTCACCAACTCTCTCTGCGACATGGCCGACCTTGGTATGATCCTGCTTGACTGCAAAGTGGTCTGGAAGTCCGAGCTTGTCAGGCGTCGCAGTATATTCATCGGCCCAACAGTGAAAAGCGACGAACCTCTCCGTCTTTCTCGATCAAAATTCCAGCACTAGTCTGGGTACCAGAGTCTGCAGATAGCATAGCTCCAAGGTAGAAACAGCCCTGGGATTGAACATGGTCGGAATCGTCTTCTTGAAGATTGGCAAGCTTTGTCGAATCAGGCTTTTTGAGGCGTCCAAACTCCGTATTGGTGAGCGGCCCATTTGGATAGTTCGGGGAAACAGGGGAGTTTTCGAGCCGATGATGGTCTTGTCAGACGTCGGTGCTTGATGGGGGTCATCTGAGATGTGCGCTTGTGGAGCGCCGTGAATAAAGACATGGTTATGACGGGTGGGCGCTAGTGATGGAAAGGAAGAATGGATGAGGTTGAAGAGGGAGAGGAGTGAAAGACGGGGGTTTTGTAAATAGGCAACCGCAACCCTTTATGGCAGATTTCGAGTGTTGGAGCCCATGGAGGACCTCAACCATAAACAGTGGAGGCGTGAGTCTTTGACCTTTTTCAGAATTCATGGTTCGAGTCAATGAAGCAGAAGAACCATATGGATAGCCAAAATATTGCAAGTAAAATTCACATGGTTTAGGCTTTACCTGATTTCGCAGCATAACGGTTGGGTCGACTATTACAACTTTGCCCCGATTGTTCCCAGAAACGCATCGTGAAGGCTCGGGACACCCAGTCCTACAGCAGCTGTTGCACCGGCATCGACAGGCAGGATAGCACCTACCAAGGGTCGGTCAGTATAGTTGTCAGAGTAAGCCACACCACTCGTCTGTCTCCTTGGCCAAGTGGAAATGGAAACACCCACCTGTGATCCATCGAGCACAGTCCGACGCGAGAAAACGCACTGCGGAACCAACGTCCCAGCCGCTCCCTTCTGTGCGGAGGATGCTACGCGATGCGCGAGCTTTTCGTTCTGCATCAGACATGCCACCCTCGACGCCACTGTTGAATACATGTTAGATGTTTTGGGTTGTAAGATGATTGTCGTGTAGGAGGGTGGATGGTGCACCTACTACATCATGGGTGTGTAGACCATTCCTGAAAACAAAAATATCCCGCCAATGTCAGTAAATCCAAGCCAAGTCAAGCTGCGGTGGTATTCTCAAAGAGGTCAAACTCACCAGGACAGACACAGTTCACTCTAACCCGGTCTCTACCATGGTGTGTTGCCTGGCATATCGTTACTTGACTGCAACCCGACTGGAGAAGGTGTTGATTACCATGGCACGGGTCAAGTTGATGACGGATCCCTTGGACGTTGGATAGAATATGGCTGGATGGCCACCGCGCAGACCCGCAACACTGGCGAGGTTGACAATGGCCCCCGCACACTGGCCCTCGTTCTTCTTCATCGCAGGTATCGCATACTTGGCCATCATGATCATACTCCCGACGTTGACTTCCATGGCTTTATAAAATGCTTGCATGTCGACTTCGGTCGTAGTGCCCTTGGGGCCTGTAATGCCTGAACAAAGCAGTCAATACCAAAGGGAGGAAGTTATCATCATCCATAGTACTGCCAAAGGGACCTACCGACGTTGTTCACCAGAATGTCCAGACGCCCGTACTTCTCAACTGCAAGGGCTACAGCCTTCTGACAGTCCTCCTCCTTGGTGACGTCTGCTGCCATGGCAATTCCTGCCCCGTGGCCAACTGATTCAATCATTTCGACGGTCCGTTGTGCTAGACTTTGCTTTAGGTCCACACACACCACCGAGCAACCATCTTGCGCTAGCAAAAGGGCGGCGGCGCGTCCGTTGCCGATTCCATCACCAAGAGATCCGGCGCCAGTGACGACGGCGACTTTGCCGTGAAGGAACCGTTCAGGAGGTGGGTGCGACATGGTTATTGAGGTATCGATATTGCCTTTCTTACTGTTCGCCAGACGATCTCATCAAACCACAGCTTTGTATTTTATTGGTGTCGAGTTGCGGTGCCCAGCCGGGATGAATACTATGAGAGAACAACAATATCGGCAGGGTATGGAAGCATATCAACTCCCAGGGATTCCCAAAACGCGGTGTCCTTTCAATGCTTCGTCTCCTCTGACGAATTGACCTGCCTTTCGTATTGGAGACAGCAGATTCTCGCACATGAAGCACGGCCCGACAAGGAGGAGGGACAATTGACCTACGTGTTCGTCGAGGTCTCATAGCCGGGACTCGGTAATATCGTTGGAGACAAGCGGACAATTGCCTGCGGGGGTTGTGGCGCAGTCTCCCCAGCAAGATGCAGAAGTACAGGTGACTGAGAATATAAGGACGAGTACCTGCATGCCGCCTACTTCCGTACCTTCCAAGTGCCATACTATCGACGCTGTGATTGGGAATGTCGAGTTGCAATGACAGCAACTGTTGCGATTGTTGACTGTGGTGACGCTTTGATCGAATTGATTATCGATTCAGTCTGCTGGGGCGCAGTTTAAAGTCGTCACGTGAGATTCATCGGCTAACCTTTCTAACAAGGCTGGAGTAGAACTAACCCGGCATTCTGTACTGCGGAATTTGGACAAATGCTTTTCTCCCCCTCGGAATGGCGTCCATATTCCCGTTCTGGCTGATTCAATGCAGACTCGAAACCCTCGACACTCCTAGGTACGACCTCAAACATGCTAAGAGTATATAGGGATGGTGTCGCTCCGACGGGGGACGAGCTCCATGGCCCTCAGCAACCGGCATCACTGCTGCTAGATTGACACATGAAATCTAGTATCATCGCTGCTGATTTGGCCTTTGCTCACAGGCCTGATACTGTTATAGTCAAATACGAGCGGAGAGGAAGCGAATGTTAAGATGAGGGCAATAGTCGTGATCATATCTGTCCCTATCTCGGTATGTTTCCGCCTTGTTTGCTATGAAACCATTAACGAGCGGGCAAGCTGGTACTGTATGCTGTTGCCAACGTTGTCTACAATGTGTATCTACACCCCCTGAGACGATACCCGGGCCCCAAAGCCTGGGCCGCGAGCAGACTTCCCTGGTTCTACAATACGACCAGCGGCCAGATCCACACGCGACTCACGGCGCTCCACAAGCAATACGGCCCTGTTGTGAGGATTGCTCCCAACGAGCTCTCCTATACCGAGCCGGCGGCATGGAGGCAGATGTATTGTCCCCTCAACTTAATTGCGTGCCGAGACCAGCAAAGTAGCTAACATGTCTCGACAGTTACGGCCATAGGTCGGTGGAAATGCCAAAGGACCTCGACGGTGCCGGGATCATGCCCTCCTTCAACGGGGCATATTCTATCGTCAACGCGCCCCATGACCACCACCTACGCCTTCGACGGGCGATCGCTCCCGCGTTTTCGGAAAAGGCACTCCGCGAGCAAGAGAGCATGTTGCAGACTTACGTGGATCTTCTCGTGTCGCGGCTGAAGGAAACTTGTAAGCGTGGACCTCAGGATCTCGTGTCGTGGTACAATTTCGCCACGTTCGATATGATGGGAGACATGGCTTTTGGCGAGCCCTTCGGATGTCTGCGCGACGGCCAGAACCACGCCTGGGTCAACCTCATCTTCAGCAGCGTCAAGTCTTACCCGTGGTACCAGGTGTTTCTTTACTACCGCATCATGTCCATCGCCGCGTTCTTCACCCCCAAGAAGCTAGCCGATGCCAAACGCGACGCCGACGCGAATGCCCATACCAAAGTCGACCGTCGCATGGCCATGAAGGCGCTGGCGAGGAAGGACTTTATGAGCTATATCCTGCCAGAAGAGAATGATCGGCAGGGCATGGAAGTGTCTCTCGACGAGATCAAAGAAACTGCAGCGATCCTCATTATCGCCGGTAGCGAAACATCGGCGACCCTCTTGTCGGGAGTCACGTATTACATGCTCACGCACCCGCTCATCTACGAACGCGCAGTCAAGGAAGTCCGCGGCGCCTTCCAGACGTATGCGGACGTCAGCATGATCAAGACCGGCGCGTTGAAATATATCCCCGCGATCGTGCAGGAAACCTTCCGCATGTATCCGCCCGCCCCGGTCACGTTTCCACGAAAGGTGCCGGGGGCTGGCGAGGAGGTCCTGGGCCGCTGGGTTCCCGGCGGCACGACAGTGGGAGTTCCTCAGTATGCCGCGTACCGGAGTCCCAGCAATTTCTATCGGCCTGATGACTTCCTACCCGAGAGGTGGCTCAGTGCGGCTGACCGTGTGGACGGTGACTTGCCTGCCGAATTGTTCGCCAACGATCAAGCCCAAGTGTTGCAGCCTTTTTCGTTCGGACCAAGGAATTGTATTGGGAAAGCGTGAGTCTGATGCCTCCCTTCTCGCTATCCCCACTACTCTCCGTGTCTCTTCGTGTATGTGATCGCTAACGATGCAAGAATAGTCTCGCCTACGTGGAAATACGACTCATCCTGGCCAAAATGCTCTGGAGCTTCGACATGAGCCTGACTCCCCAGCAGGCACAAACGCCCTGGGACGACCAGGGCACCTACATGATGTGGGAGAAACATCCCTTGATGGTCAATCTCAAAGTCGTCCAACGAGGATCATAAAAGGTAAGAAAGTGGAGAAGGGCCTATGTGGTAAGCAGGGCAAGCAGTAATGGTTCCTTATGAGCTCACGAGAAGAGATCTGAGATGGCTTGACGGGTCAGATTCTTCATAAACTGAATGTACTCTCTTTGTCTTCGGCTCAGGTACTACTACCGTCCATGTACTCGCACTCTCCCTGTAGGTCTGCTTGGAAGATGGGTACAGGCTCAAGTCTGGCCCAGGTTAGTTTAGAAAGCAGATGCACCGGTTCGCTACAGCAAACTGTTGATAACAACAGAAACTACATAGTGCCATGCACAGCATGCATGCTCTTGTGAGAGACTGAAGATAGAAGTTGAATACGAAACGAGATCAGAGGCAAAAGACGCGAGGATTCTAGGTGTAGCTTTTGGGGATCGGACTCAATGGGCAAAGACCGGGAAGGGATTTAAAACTGATATTTATCACGAGATGAGCCTACATCTCTTCTTCTAAGTACCACCGCCCTCAAGATCCCAGCCAGGTGGGCATCACATCTCATCATGCCACAATCCCCCACCCTCTCAAACCGCAGGAACACCCGTGTCGACGGTCGCGTCCTTGACCGCGGGATAATCAATGTCGTCCAGGTAATCGACCGCTTTGGGCCCGTACTGTTGGCCGTACGTGAGCCCGTCGCCGAGCCAGGCGAACTTGTTCTCCTTGGTCACCGGGTGGTACTCGTAGTCAAAGTCCTCGTAGCACACCTCCTGCAGGGCCTTTCGCGCGTGCACGCCCGACCCGGGCCATGGCGTCACCAACCGTCCATTGGGTTGCCCGCGCTTGTACCACGACTTGCAGGGCGCCGCGAAGACGGTTTTGGCAAAGTACCGGTCGACGTGGGCGCTGAAGGCTTTGTTGGCGGCTTCTCTGTTTCGAGCCATCAGTTGTGCTCGCCCTCAAGCTTTATACTAGGAGGAGAGAGAGAGAGAGAGAGTGTGTGTATGTGTGTGATATGGGAGATGAAAAGAGTCAAGGGACAACACGTACTTTACCACAAACGATCGAATATACTCCCTCTGTACCTTCTGGATCATCTTGATCATGTAGTCGCAGACATTCTCAATCATGAAAATAGTGCCTCCTGTCCCCGGCCCACCGTTGGGCCCAAGGAACATGAGCAGATTCGGCATTTTCGGCGGACATATCGAGAGGTATGCCTCGGGGATGGGGTTCCACACCTCGTCGAGCGTGATGCCACCTTGGCCGACGAAGGGAAGCTCGCCTTGTCTCGACCTGTGGAACGACAAGTCTTTAGCTTTTACATCTCCCCCTTGGAGCAGGCAATAGACGGGGTGGATTGGTTTCGTCTTACACATCATATCCTGTCGCGCAGATCAACAGGTCAATCTCGCGAATCTTGCCGTCGGCCGTCTCGATCCCGTGCTCGTGCACCTTCTTGATCGGCATCCCGATAAAGTCGACGTTGTCGGCGAGACACGCTTCGAGGTAGCCCGGGCCTGGGGTCAGTCGCCGGCACCCGACGGGGAAATCTGGCAGGAGGGTGTTGAGGATGTCGGGTCGGTCTTTGAGCTTCTCCGTCATTGAGTCGTAGCACATCTGGTGGAACTGCTTTTGCACCTCTGTCCCGGTGAAGATGGCGAGTTGGGCTTGGTTCAACGAGTTCTCGATGCGCTCGCGGAATTCCTTGTAGGCGTTGGGCACGTTTCGGAAGCGCTCGAGTTCGTCCTTGGGATGTTTGACTTGACCCAGTATCAGCAAAAGAGGGACATCAACTGAGAGAGGGATGGTGCTGGGGAGCTCACAATTGCCGTACTCGCCCCTCGCGGCAATCTCTTCGCCGCCAAAGCCGACGGGGGCAATCCAGTTTCTGCCTTTCATATAGTGATCTACGTGTCCGACCAAGGGCTGGAGAGTGGGTAGAAGTTGGACGCCAGACGAACCAGCCCCGACCAAAGCGACTCTCAAATCCTTGTGTAGCTGGATCGAAGGGTCCCAGTCAGCCGTGTGGACGAGCTTCCCTTTGAAATCGTGCAGACCCTCGATGTCGGGCCAGTCCCATTTGTCTAGGATACCGGTGGCAGTGACGACGATGTCGGCCCGGTCGATGACTTTCTGTCCCGTAGGTTAGCGAGACGATAAATCTAAGGGACCAAGTGTCTTTCTTGGGCCCGGCTTCGAGTTCCTCAGGCGGGCGGCCAACGAACCTTGTTCGCTTCGAGGTCTTCAAAGACGACCTCCCACTCGCACTCGTCTTCATGCCACGTTGCGCTGACGAACTGGTGCTTGAACTTGCAGTAATCATAGACACCGTACTTTTTCGCAACGTTCTGTAGGTACCGCTGAATTTCAGGACCAGACGCGTAGAACTCTGACCACTGGGAGTTGCTCTCGAAGGTGAACTGGTACCCCGGGCTGGGTATGTCGCATCGCAGTCCCGGATATCTTTGTTTTGTTGTAGTGTCAGCACGCTTCCAATCTCTGCCTACCTCTCTGCGTCCGTGCGCGTGCAAGGCTGACCTACTTATTCACAAACCAAGTCCCACCCACATCGGCATTCTTTTCGTAGATGGTGAGATTCAAGTTCTGGATCTTTTGCGGAAACCGGATGCCAGCACAGATCCCTGACGCCCCGGCACCGATGCAGATGACACGGATTGGTCGTGCCTCGTCGACAGGTTTGTTCTGGACCATGTCGTCCCAGGTCCAGGTTGACCTGGTGTCCATTGACCCCATTGTGAACGATACTTGGTCACGGTAAAGCTGTGTCTTTGCGTCGGTGGTTTGGTCGATGAATTAGTTGATATTGTTGCTGTACCACAAAGACGATAACCTCGAGTAAACAGCTCAAACAGCTCAAATGGACCTCTTTAACACGTAAATACCATCTATCACTTCCATATCCCGTTCAGGCTGGAAATCTTGGCGCCACTCGGAATAAGCATCTCGGGTGGTGGTGGGCGCGGACGAAGGTCGTCCCAATCGACGGGGCCAAACTTTCCACTCTATGGCCGAAGGAGGGGAGACCTGGGATGGAGTTCTTAGGACAGGAGAGGCCAGCCAGGGTTTCCGAGTAGTCGAGGTGTATGTGAGGGGGACCAGTTGAGCAAAGTCTGAGTATTTCCGTTGGCAGCTCATGGACGAAATCCCGCCCCGTCAACGCCTGCGACGTCGTGATATGGTTGATGATTGAACCCGTCCATAACGTGAGGGAGTGAATGACCTCCAAGTAAGGACCAAGGGTGGCATTAACAACATCGACCAACGCCCAGATATTCCCCAATACGAGGAACTCGTCGTTGATAGTGGCGACTGAGAAGAAAGTAACTGCGGAGAACAGCTGGACTGGTCAAGTGACAGGCTGATCGCAGTCACCATGGCACAGATCAATTGGCAACAAGCTCGTCAGAGGCCCGTCAATACATTGAGTGCATTTGTTGCCATCTCCTGGAAGGTCTCGGGCCATACTTTACGGAGGCTTGCGACATGCCTCTCACCGTTGCCCCAGCCCTCACTTCGTACCGCCATCGGCAACATTGTCTGCGCGACGCTGTCTGCATGGGATCCCGACATCGTTCTCAATGCTCCCAAGGCGGCGGTCGAGAAGGCCAGGAAGATCTCAACACCTGAATTCACAGCATTCGATGTCGGCGAGCCGGGACCCTTTCGAGACGCAGACGTGGTCATCGTCTACCTCCACGGCGGTGGGTATTGTATAGGCCACCCTCTGCAGTACAGGACAATGTACGAGCGCTGGCTCGGACTGGCGAGAAAGCAAGGCATGAAACTCGCCATAGTTGCTGTTCAGTACCGTAAGACTGCCCCCCTTCCGAAGACATGGATAAGACCACACCCCCGACTTATCCATCTTCCTAGCACTTGCTCCCGAACATCCCTATCCATCGCAGCTGGAAACGGTGCTAGCAGTATATCGCCACCTGATCCACACCGAGCATGTCACACCGGAGAAGATCTGTTTTGCAGGAGACTCTGCTGGAGGTATTTCCTCCCTCCCTTTCGGTTCCATTCCTCGCGAAACCCGCAGGCTAAACCGGACAGGAAATCTCGTGGCGACAACAGTTCTAGCGATTCGAGACGACGAGAAACTCCCCTCCCCAGGCAAAGCTGTGCTCTTCTCCGCCTGGCTTGATTTGACGCTGTCCACGATCGAAAACCACGAGTGCCTCGACCGCGACGTCTTGGTGATTCCGGCGTACATGAAAGCCCACCTCGTGCCGGCATTCATTGGCAAGGACCATTCGCCCTCCGATCCGCGCATTTCGCCTGTCCTGGCGACAGATTTCAAGAATTTACCGGCACAGCTGGTGGTGTATGGCGACCTGGAGGTGATGCAAGACGAGGCAAAGACTTGGATCCAGAAGAGCACGGACGCTGGGGTGCCTACTACGGTCTACACTGGAAAGGGGGGACTGCATGGGTTCGGTGTAGGGGGGTTGCTGTGCGATTCTACGCTTCGGCGGGAGGTGGATGATACGTTTTTTCGGTTCTTAAAGGGAGAGAAGGACTGAAATAGAGAGAGCAGAGAGGTGATCGACAGTTACTTGACATACCTCTACACATATTCCAGTAGCCAGTGATGATGTTGGAATATGACAGAGAAAACCCGCTGATCAGCGACAATGTCCATCGCGCTTCCGTTTTCTCGTTTCAGACATCCCACCACGTGCGATTCCTGTCCATCTCTGAACCTGGAAGTATGCTTTCTCCAACACAAAACATGCAGAATCTCGAATGTGTGTATTATGTTCTCTGCCAGCCTTACCTCGTCTGACCACCTTCTCGATTCCGAGTGGCTCGTCCTAATTCCGCGCAACTCGATACCTGTCAGTCGTCACTCATTTCCGACCAGTTGGGATTCCAGCCAACTAGTGCAGCGAATGAATGACACTGGTTCTTGCGAACTTAAGTGTCCTAACGGCCAGACAAGATGGAAGAAGGAGGACGTTATATAGTCCTTTGGGACATACTGCAATTCGGATTCATTTCTGCGAAGAATCCTCAATTGCCCCGACCATGCCTTCAGGTTCCGCCATCCCCACGGGACATTCGACACTCCCTGAGAATGGGCGATACAAGATCCTGCCGCAATATCACTCCCAGCCCTCACAGCTCCGAGTCATTTGTGTCGGCGCAGGTGCCGCAGGTATCCTGGTGGCGTACAGGATGCAAAAGGAGCTGAAGAACTATGAGCTGGTCTGCTATGACAAGTGAGTTTCGTGAAGCCTAGATTCCGGGAGTCAACTGTTGGGTCTGTACTGACCCAAAGGACGCGAAAGAAATCCCAGAGTCGGTGGGACTTGGTAAGTCTGTTGCTCTCTCTGGATTCTTTGGCTGCAAATACTGATCGCGACTCGACCAGGTACGAGAATCGATATCCCGGGTGTGCTTGCGATTTGTATGCCAATCCTAGCTATGAGCCTGATGATCGTCAATCCGTCTGACTGTATCTACACAGACCTGCACATGCATATGTCTTCCCGTTCGAGCCAAATCCAGAGTGGTCCGAGTTCTATGCCTCTGGACCCGAAATTCTCGCGTATCTGGAAAACTTTGTCAACAAGTACCGCCTTCAGCCCTTCATCAAGCTGAACTCACGCATCATCGGCGCAAACTGGGATGAAGAGAGGGGAATTTGTCCGGATGTCCTGTAACCGGGAAAGATATGACTGCTGACCCGTGGAGCAGATGAGGTCGAGGTCGAAACGGGCGGCGAGAAGATCAAAGACTGGTGCCATGTGTTCATCAACGGCGCCGGGTTTTTGAATGATTGGAAATGTGCGATCCCGATCTCCATCCTTGCATTCTGGAGGATGTTGTAGTACTGACCTCAAGATTTCGCCAGGGCCGAATATCCCAGGTCTTCACAGCTTCAAGGGTAAACTGATGCACAGTGCGGCATGGGATCCCTGTAAGATCCCTCTGGTCCCCCGGAGGAACGATAAGAAGATCCTAACATCTCTCAGCTGTCGACTACAGGGATAAAAAGGTCGCGATCATTGGGACGGGATCTTCTGCTATCCAGATTCTGCCTGAACTGCAAAAAGGTAAGGGGGAAACCCACCCGGCGGAATAACATGGCCATCTGACAATGACAATCGGGACCAGGGGCCGCACAAGTTGTGACCTTTATGCGCTCCCCGACATGGTAGGCCAGATATACCAACTCCAGACATGAGCGGCGTCTAACACAGCACACCCGTAGGATCTACCCGTCAATCGCATCCGACATGCTCGATTCCAGCATCACCAGTGGCCAAGGCAAAAAGGCCGAGGACAGGAAGGAGCAATACGTCTATTCCGAGGAAGAGAAGAAGCGGTTTCGAGAAGACCCCGATTTCTTGCTCCAATATCGAAAGGACATCGAGGTCCGGGCGAACGACAGCTATGACCTGTTCCTGAAAGGGACTCAGTCCCTTGAGAACCTCAGGCGGTTGCTGATCGACAATATGAACGACCGCATTGGGCCAGGTCATGAAGAGTTGAAAAAGGCTGTCATTCCCAGTTGGTCTCCTGGCTGTACGTATCCATCTTTCAGTCCTCCTGATTCATACGAGGAAATGTGGTTGACAGGGATGCCTCTTCAGGTCGACGGGTGACTCCAGGGCCGGGATATCTCGAAGCATTGACCATGCCGAGTCAGTATACTCCTCCCCCTTTCTCCCCAGCCATAGAGCTGAGTGACGCTAGACGTGCTCCCCGTCCATCGAGGTATCAAGTCTGTGGTTCCGGAAGGCATCATCGACGATGCTGGTGAGGTTTACAATGTTGACATTGTGGTTTGTGCAACTGGATTCAACATCGCGTTTGCGCCCCGCTTGTGAGTTTCCCTGGGTGTCGCGTGCCACGGATGTACCGTCGCTGATTCAATACGCACACGCAGTCCTATCCGGGGAGTCAATGGAGTGACAATGTCCGACGAATTCGACCCAGAGCCCAAGGTCTACCTTGCTCTGACCGTGCCGAAGTTTCCCAACTACTTTGTCGTCAACGGCGTTCGCGGTATGTGAGGGCATTCAATGTGTAGCTACCGTTGACTGACCTATCATACAGGTAACTGGGCTGTGGGAAGTGTATTAGTCTCTGTAAGTGCTGGGACTCAGTGTTAAAAATGACCCTCGCTAAAGAATCTCCGTTCAGCATGATATGCAAGTGGAGTATATTGTCCAATGCATGAAAAGAATGCAGCAAGAGGGTATCAAGGCTCTAGAAGTCCGACCGGAGCCTATCGACGAGTTGTACGAGCACATAGGTAAGGGCCTTTTTGGTACCGGCCTTTAGAGGGAAGAGTGCTCTGACCAAGTTTCAGACGAGTTCCATCGCAACTCGGTGTGGAGTGATGACTGCAGCAGGTAAGAGCCCTTGCGGGTCAATGTGATGGAACCTATGGACTGACCCCGTCTACAGCTGGTACAAGAATGGAGTCAAGGATGGTTCGTCTCGACCCTCTAACCGTCTTCTAAGCTCACCCATGGTATGCCGCCTTGTTCTATCGCTGACTTGAAATGACTACTTGTCCTTCCTTGTACAGGCAAGGTATGGATCTGGGGCGGTTCGGTAAATCTCTCCCTTCCTCCACCCACACTGGACAACATGATCATGACCATGTCCATGTCCCCAAAGGCGTGAAAGCCAAAGATCTAACAGCAATACCAGGGCTTCCACTACTTCAAAACCATCAAGACTGTGCGTTGGGAGGACTACCAGTTCCGATACCACCGCAAGAATCGCTGGGCGTTCTTGGGCAACGGGTGGACCGAGGAGCAGTATACGCACGACAGGGCGAGGTTGGCCCCCTATGTGCGGAACGAGGATAGATATTGGGACTTTGAGTGAACGGCTGCAGTTTATATTGGATTGCGGAAGTATGGGTTGAAGTGAGGGCTGTGGTGAACGTGGTGAGCGACCAAAGTGCGGTGGTTGCTGGTTGCTGGTTATCTTGATATGCAATGCTCACCAGCTATGCAGCTCGGTCAACTATTGGATCGGGCTTTGAGACGACTGGGATAGGCGATCTCTCTACACTGTTTGGAGGTGAAAATCACAGCGGCAACGCATTCTTCAATTCCTCCCACCACTGCCGTCCACTCTTTCCACCATTCCTATCACCAGCATCTCTGCGTCGAAACATGTCCCGAACATCACCCACCAACGCCTCAGGACACTCCCAGGCGGCGAAATGCCCTCCCCTGTCGTGCTGCCTGTCGAGGACCACCGGTCCCATCGTGCGCGCCCACAGCGTCGGCGTCGTCGCGATCTCCATGGGAAACCGCGATATGCCCAGCTTGACGTCGACGTATCGCTTGGCCGTGTCGTTGTCCGACGCGGCCGTACTGCCCACGCTGTCGCAGTACCAGCGCACCGAGGCGTGCGGGCCCGCCGTGGAGAAATAGTAGATGCTCACCCACGTGAGGACCTCGTCGTCGGTCCAGGCGTAGTCGTCGCTCCACGCGTGCAGCTTCTCGTAGATCCACGCGAGCAGCGCCACGGGGCTGGACTTGAGCGCGTAGCCGATCGTTTGGGGCCGTGTGGCGTGGAGGATCGCGTAGGCCATACCCTCCTGGAGGAATGTCGCGGACCGCGCGAGTCCCCGCTGCTCAAAGTCCGTTAGGGGAGTGCTCTTCACTTTCGCCGTGAGATCGGCCTGCGTCGCAGTATCAGGCTCGTTGGCTACGGCCATGTTGACGTGGTGCGCTTTGCAGGACTCCGGGTACTGGTGGGCGAGGAACCGGGCGACAAAGTATCCCACGTCGCCGCCTTGTACGACTTTTCCGGGTTCTCATATCAGTCCCTGTCTCGTGTCCCAAGGGGCAGGTCCAGGTTCTCCAGGGCTGGGGGGAAGAGAGAGAGAGAGAGAGAGAGAGAGAGAGGGAATCTTACAATATTCGTTGTATCCGAGCGTGAGCATCAGTTTATGCACCGCCTCTGCATGCTTGCCACTGTTGAAACCGGACTTTGATGATGGCGACAAGTCAGCCAGCCAGTCAGCCAGTCTCTCCGCTTACCCCCGGTGATCCTGTAGCCTACCAAAATGGGGGGCACTGTGCAACCCAGGGGGGGTTGTAAAATGTTACCTTTGTCACTCCTGACGAGAATCCAAAGTTGACGAGACTCGGGGCAACGACATGGAACACAGGCTCCCCAGCCGCTCTTCGTGTAAGTAGCGGGAGGATCTTGGTCACCTCGACAAAACTGCCCGGCCAGCCGTGGAGGAAGAGCAGTGGGATCGCGTCTGAGTGCTCGCTCCGCTGGTGGACGCAGTGCACGTCGAGCTCTCCAAACCCGTCCACGGCGACGGTGACCATCTGCTGCGGCAAGAGGTTCAGTCGCGCCTCGACGGCCCGCCAATCGAAGATGTCCCGCCAGTACGTCACCAGGCGCTGCATTTCGGACAGGGGCGTCCCTCGCTGCCATGGAGGGACGTCGTCGACCTCGTCGGGGAGATCGCTCAGCTGGAGAAGGTCTTTGAGTCGCTGGAGTCGCTGTTGGTCGACGTGGATCTTGTACGGGGTGATTTTACTGGCCATGCTGCACATACACACACACACAGACAGAGAGAGAGAGAGAGAGAGAGAGAGAGAGAGAGAGAGAGAGAGAGAGAGAGAGAGAGAGAGAGAGAGAGAGAGAAACAGAGGTTGTTTGGTCAGACAGGACAGACCAAAACAGGACTTGCTCTGTAGGATATCAGGTGATGGTCTGGGTGGATGGGTCGATCTGGGCTGCGCTTTGGAAAGGAGTGCGGTGCGGCCGTGGTGCTCGTGGTCTGAGGGAGCATAGCGCTGTCGCCAGAGGATTATTATTATTATTATTATTAGTTCCCATCGCCAGCTTCGACATGATTGTCACTACGTAGGTGTGGAGGTGTCGTATGCGTAATTCCGGGCCATTGATTCTTCGAAAATGGGGAACGAATCGTATCTAGACGTCTTCGTTCCGCAGGCACCTGGTCGTACCCACATCAATGCTGGATAGGGACAGTCTCCAAAAACGGGTACGAAAGGCTTCGATAGGGACCATTGAGCGTCTCAAAAGAATTGTCGTGCAAGGCTGTTGTCTCTCGTCCGTTGATCATGTTTCTAGCCGGCCGAAGTATTCTTGACGCTCCCAAACATCCCGGGGGAGTTTTCGAATGCAATCTTTTGTTTTGCCATGAATTTACCATGTAGTATATCTCCATCCTGAATGCTCAGCTACCAGATCATCGGAGGCATTCTCCATTGACTCCCCAGAAGACGCTGAGCAGACGTAGATCTAGTCTGTGCAGGAAAATAGTCAAGGCCTATATGATATGTATTCGTGCATCTGTTTCATGACTTTAGAATCTTGGAGTAAGTTGAGATAGAACCGAACCAGGCGAGACCCCGTTCGAGGCACAAGTACATTGCCCAGTGTCGAGGCTACGTCCAAGCAGCCCTGGGATCCGTCAACCCACCTCGGCCCAATACGATGGATCTAAGCGGATTGTGACTGGATGGTGCAATTCCGATCTTGATCGTCGAACAAAATCCAGATTTGGGTGTTGATGGCGTTCGAATTCCGACCGGAACCTCATCCGTCAGGTGATGAATGCATATGAGTAGGAAATACAACAACACATAGGGATTGACGACCAGCATATACCGATCTAGAGGGTGCTTATAACTAAGAGCCGTGGTTCAACAGACACTCACTCGTTAATAGAGACATTGACAGGTTTTCTTTCTTCCCCTTCTTGTACCAATTCTTCGTGTCTGGCCGTGACGGTAGATCTATTGACAAGATGCGCAAAGAGTATGAAGGCGTCCCGCTCCATACAAACGCCCAGGGTTACCATGTCCCAGACATTACCTACCGGGCACCCGAGAATCGCAGGGTCAAAGTCATCACCATCGGCGCCGGCTTTGCGGGCATCCTGATCGCGTACAAGTTTCAGAAAGAGCTCCAGAATGTGGAACTGGTCATTTACGAAAAGAATGGCGACATCGGGGGGACGTGGCTGGAGAATCGATATCCGAACTGTGCTTGCGATGGTACATCTACCTACCTACCTATCTATCTATCTAACCCCATTCATTCGCACTTGTCCCGTGGATCACTGTTGTATGTATGGGAGTCTCGCGGCTGACAATGCCGTAACACAGTTCCCAGCCATTCTTACACCTTTAATTTTGCTCTGAATGTGAGTTTCCCACACAGTCGATTTACAGTGTCCGAATGACCAAGGTAACTAACCCAAATCCCCCTTTTCTCACACAGCCCTGGTGGCCCGAACTGTATGCCAAGAGTGAACATATCTGGAAATACCTCGATCGGATCTGCCGGGCCTTTGACCTCCGCAAATACATGCACTTCAACACCCGCGTCGTCGAGGCCGTGTGGGATCACGAGGCTGGGAAATGGAATGTCAAGATCGAAAAGTCGTTTATCGACGGCTCGACAAAGATCATCGAAGATCAATGTGTACGTTTGGTTTCTGTTATCCCATTCCTTCTTCAATCGCGTTGACGGAAATGTCGCCAGGACGTCCTGCTGCAAGCATCGGGTCTGTTGAATAATCCCGTCGTCCCCAATATCGAGGGGATGGAGACTTTCAAGGGCAGAAAGGTCCACACGGCGCAGTGGCCGGATGATTATAATGAGGATGCATGGAAAGGCCAGACAGTCGCCGTCATCGGTGCGGGCTCCTCAAGTGTCCAGACGACACCAGGGTATGGTCTCTTCACTGCCCAGGGATTTTCATCCTCTGGTTAACCATGACAGTCTTCAACCGCACGTCAAGAAACTCCATCTCTACGCCAAATCCCGCACATGGCTCGCGTCCGCACAGCCCGACAACCCGGTGAGTCCATCCACGGAACCAAGATTGAGAGGTGACAAGTGATCCTGATGTATCTACTACTCGCAGCATCCGCCTGAATGTAAGCTCCCGTGAAACATCTCATGATTACCTACTAATATCTCACAGTCAGCAAGGAAGAGCAGCTCGAGTTTGCCACGGACATGAACAAGTTGCTCAAGCAGGCTCGCAGCTACGAAGTCGCGGTTCGTCCAACACACACGACCTTCTCCCACATCAGGAAAATGTGCTGACAATCTCCCCTCCCTACCTACCTACAGGTCAACCAGATCTGGGGCGCCATGTTCAAGAACGCACCGCAGCAGGTGACGCTGCGCGAGCGAGCCCTGAAGAAGATGCAAGACCACCTCCGCAAGGACGGGCTGTTTGACAACCTCAAACCCGGTTTTGCTGTTGGCTGTAGGAGGACGACACCGGTGCGTTTTATATATATCCTATCCCATACCATGACCCTCTTCCCTCCGTGTCCCCTTGCCCGTTGGTTTTCTTTGACGGATCCTGACGTCTCGGTGTGTGTGTGTGTTTGTGTGATTGCAGGGCGTCAATTTCATGGAGGCCCTCAACAAAGACAATGTCGACGTGCATTTCACTGCCGTGACCAAGATCACCGAGGACGGGATCGTCGGCGCCGACGGATCGGTCGTGACGGGACTCGACACGATCGTCTTCGCCACGGGCTTCGACACGACCTACGTGCCACGCTTCAAGATCGTCGGTCGCAACGGGGTGACGCTGCAGCAAAAGTTCACGCCGAACCCGGACTCGTATCTCGGTGTCGCCATTCCAGGTACGTCGTTGGCATAGCTGTTACCAGCCAGCTGAAAATTTCCCAAAAGTCTATACTAACTGCGGTGGAACGAATTGGCAGATATTCCAAATTACCTGAGTAAGTCCGGACTCGTTCTTGAAGACACCGTTGCAGACATAAATCGCAATACTTGTTCATATGTGTATGAAGGAGTGCTGATGAGGTCCCCAGTGCTCTTTGGCCCGTCCTTCCCCGTCCTGGCCGGCTCCGTCACCGCCTCCCTCACCGCCGTGACCGACCTCGCCATCGCCATGGTGAAGAAGATCCAGGCCGAGAACCTCCGATCCATCAGCCCGCGCCAGGACGTCGTCGACCAGTTCGCCGAGCACACGCAGACGATGCTGCACGGGACCGTGTGGGAAGACGACTGTAACTCGTGGTACACGCGACGCGACGGACGCATCACCGCCGTCTGGCCAGGTATGTACACTATATGGGAAAGCATCCCCCCCCCCTCGGTCTCAATTTTCAATGACTCTCGAGAAATTTTGAGAAACTGACCCTTTTCAGGTTCTGCGCTCCATTTCCAGGACGTGGTCCGCCACCCACGATGGGAGGACTATGATATTACTTACATGAACAAGGTCAGTAGTGGCCACCCATCTCCTTTTTCCCCGTATATCGTCTCCGTTCACACCTTGCACCTCTCCCTCGCTCGCTCGCTCGCTCGTTCGCTGATACGATTGTCGATATTTCCAGCTCAACATGTGGGAATTCCTCGGCCGCGGATTCACCATGACCGAGCGAGACCCGGACGCAGACCTCGCGCCGTACATGACTCTCGACGCCCTCGACAAGGACTTTTACGACACCGACAAGACGCCCCTGCTGGAAGGCCCCGCGCCGACCATGGCCCAGGCGCGCGCAAAGTCGCTCGAGCATCCCGTCGATCCCGTCACGGTTAACGGGGTGACGGTTCCGGTGCCGGAGGTGCAGAATGGTGGACACTAGGGCCTTTCTTCGGTCTCTGTGGGGAGGGTATGGCTAAATTCCAGGTTGGGGGGTGAATTCGTCCAGCACACAAACCCCGCGCGAGAGAGAGAGAGAGTCACCTCCAGGCTCTGTCTGGGCTGGAGCCTCTCGGCGATTCCGTGATGCGATCACTCGTCTCTGTGAGTAGTGGTGGCGGTGATGGCCGATCAAACCCTATCAGCAGTAGTCAAGTCAGTTATCCAGGTAGTTCACACCCAACTCCCGAGGCTATCGGAATTTCTCCTGTGGTTATGCATGGTATACTAGTAGTATGGTGTGTGACTCAGTGACAACTCGGAAATAGAACTAGCAAAGCAGCTTCAATTGGACTGTGGACATCCAAGATCCGGATTCCGAGACAGAGGCATATATATGCCAGACACAAGCAAGTGTCAAGCACACGGGGAGCGTGTCTTGTCTGGAATTGGCTTCGCACTAATAATTCTCGTCCATATTCATATTCTGCTGCTTCTAGAGTCTTTGCTTGGTATTTGTCCTTGGATCTTGAATAGCCGATACGCCATGTCCACGGTGGAAGGACACCGCCAGGAGAAGACGACAGAGGGGACTCTGGTCCATGTATCTGACTCCACTGGCCATGCGCCGCCGTTGCCGGAGCAGGGCGAGGATGATGGCTCCGCGCAGAACACGACGTATGAGAAGCTCCCCTTGAGCTACTACCTGACTCCCCAGTTTCTGGGAACGTTTCTGGCAAGATCCCACATACTCTCTGGTGTCCCTGTGATCTTGACATGTCGGCTAACCAAATGCGTTACTGCTAGGCGTTCGGAATCACCTGCAATGCCGGCTACTTTGGCTGGACCCTCGCGTCAAACAGTCTCACCGCCATCAACGAAGAACTCGGCCCCAGCGACAGCTACCTGTGGATCTCGCTGAGCTACACCCTGACCGCGGCGGTGGCGTGCCTCCTCTTCGGTCGCCTGTCCGACATCTTTGGTCGGCGCTGGTTCACCATCGGAGGAAACATTGTGGCTCTCGTCGGCGCCATTGCTGGTGCAACCGCGCAGTCCATCGGCGCCATGATCGTCTCCAACGTCCTCCTGGGATTCTCGCAGCCTGTTCAACTCTCATATGCCACGGTCCTGCCAGAACTAGTGCCATTCAAGTATCGCGGGCTGACCAATGCCTATGCGTTGGCCGTCACCATTCCCGGCGCGGCCTTTGGACCGGTCATTGCAAAGGCGTTGATCTCTCACACACACGCCACGTGGCGTTGGAGTTACTATATCCACATCATCGTCACCTCGGTCGGTCTCCTCTTGATTGTGGTATTCTACTTCCCGCCAAAGTTCTCCATGCTCCAGGGGAATAGAAAGAGGTGGAATGTGGTCAAAACCCTCGATGTGGGAGGCATGCTCTTGTTCATTGGCGGAATGGTTGTTTTCTTGATCGGTCTGAGCTGGGGAGGCGGGGCGTATCCCTGGAGATCGGCACATGTCATTGCTACCATCGTCTGCGGATTCCTGACCCTAGTTGCCCTGGTTGTGTATGAGGCTTATATGCCCAAACACCCCTTGATTCCTCTAAGCCTGCTCCGAAATCGCCAGTTCCTCCTCTTCTTGGTCGCGGGCTGCTCTGGCGGGATGATTTACTATTCCATGGGAATCATGTGGCCTCTCATTGTCTCGGAGCTTTTTACCACCGACTTAGTCACGCAGGGCTGGCTCGCCATGTCTTCATCTGGCGGGAACACACTGGGAAACGTCCTTTGTGGCCTGTTCTATGTCATGTTCCGTCGGATCAAGTGGCAACTTCTGATCGCCACGATTGGCATGACTGCCTTTATCGGCGCCATGGCATCCACCACGCAATACAGCCAGACCAAGAGTATTGTCATCTCCATCATTGGGACCATATTTGCTGGCTTCGTGGAAGGGATCCCCACAATTTCGGTGCCCTACACGACAAACGCCGAGGACATTGGTCTGGCCGTTGGGGTTTTCCAGTCCATACGCGTCTGTGCGGGAAGCATTGCCATTGACGTCTACACGTCCATCTTATCTTCTCGAACCGCGAGTCTCGAGGCAAAGAACATCCCCAAGGCCGCGTTGGGGGCCGGACTCCCTGCGTCGTCGCTGCAAAGCCTCCTACAGGCGCTCGCTGCTGGTTCGCCTGCTGCACTCGCCACGGTGCCGGGCATGAATCCGGCCATCGAAGCCGCGGTGGCCGCGGCGCAAAAGTCGTCCTTCTCTGGGGCCGTGAAGATCGTGTTCCTCGTCACCATCGCCTTCGGCAGCCTAGGAATCCTGGCCACACTCTTCCTCCAAGAGATTGACCACTTGTTCACAGACCAGGTCGCTCGTAAATTGTACAACCCAATCAAGAGGAAGACGGAGGATTCGGCCGCCGAAGCAATGGAGAAGGCGGTTGTGATACAGGAAGAAAACCGTGTAGGCTAAGACGGGGTATGCTTCACCTTTGGCCAGACATTGACTGCGTCGGTGCCAGATTGCAGTGCTGTACTTCCGGCAGTCACACCGTCCGTCCGAGAGCAGTATATGAACCGAGGAAGCGGGAACGTGGAGCCGCAGCCTCTGATAGTCCTGCAGCTAGTAGCATACTTTGAAGCTGATGAAAAGGAGCTGTTTCTAGTCGGCGTCTTGTCTGTGCTTTGGCAATCAATCTCTCCGCGAGTCGAGCCTTCCACGTAGCGGGTGGATTCTGAAATAGTCCATTGCTGGAGCAATTAATACTACTCCTGAAAGCCTAGGTGGCAATGCTGATCGACCAGAACAGAACCCCCTGCTTGGATCGATCTAGGGCAGTCGATACACCCAATCCCGTGGATGAATGGCACGTTTGGACCCACGAGGGTGCTTCTGTGCCCTCTTGAAGTTCGTAGCCTGACATTGCCGAATCCTGTGCGTGCCATTTGGAATTTCAAGATGTAGCGATCAGAGGCCCAGGAGCTGTGGATCCCAGTAATGTGCATCAAATGCTGGAGTGAACATCATGCGAACAGGACTGTCCTCGATCGCTCCAAAGCCAAAGTTTAAGCCATCCATGATGTCCATCGACGTGGAAGGGACTGCATCATTAAGCAATTTCCGGTTTACCGTGCCCTCCCCTGGCATCAACGGAACCTCAATGGCTGATTGAGTGGCATCCACAGACTGGCAGATGCGTTCGGCCGCCGCAATCACACGTTCCATTTTTTTCAGATTGAATCGTGCCAGGCGTAGACTGGGCGCTATGTCATGTAGGACGTGAAGGGCGCGCCGGAAGGATTTCGATGCCTTCCAAAGACTCCCTTCGTCAGACTTTTGCTGGAGTAGTATACCGGTCAAGGCAATCAGAGCGCCAGTGACGTATACCACGCACGAATATCGTTGTAGATTTTCCGACGTCGAGGAGAACCAAAAGTCGTGAATTGTGTCAACCGTATCCTGTGCGATCTCGAGACAGGTGACAAGGTCTCGAGAGCGGAAATCAGAAGATAGCAGGTCTTCTCGCCGGAGCTGTAGGCGCAGATGGTTACATCGCTGTCTCAGACGAGGTAAGTGACCATCATTTCATAAGAGAATCAAGGTTGGCTTTCCATAGTCACATACCAGATGTAGGATTCGGGCCTGGCGCAAAGCGAATCCCGGCACATCTCCCTCTTTGTCGTCTAATTTAGATCGGTTCTTCCACTGCAGATGCGGCGGTAGTCTATCGCGTAGGTTCTCAATGCGGGCGTCCATGATGACGATAAACTCTTCATCCACAGGCCTGGTTGCATTGGCGCAAAATGTATGATCCCAGATTTCAGAGCTAAGTCGCGCCCATTTGATCGTGCAGTACAGGTAAGGGATACATGAAGACAACGGCGATTCTTCAGGTAGTTGTTCCGTCCTCCCGATAACCCTGTCGTCGACGGCAGAAGGCACTTGGACTCTTGTTTCCAGGTCTCGAATCAGATAGGGCACACCGACAACCAGAGAAATGTTCCTTTCCAGGATATACAAAGACCAGAAGACCCTTTGCCGCATGTGGATCTCGAAAGGGCTGAAGTCTTCCTCCCTGTCCCCTTGATTATGAAGTCCGATCAGGTAAGAAACCCTCACCGCCTGACCTACCGCTTCATATGAGGCATTGTACTTTTCGGCATATAGCAGATATGTGGCCTTGATCATAAGTGCTTGGATTGTGACCATATTCCCTTCCGCCAACAGCCCCGCGTGCGTGAGCAAATGGGATCCCTTCTCATGATGAGCCCACCCAGGGATCGCGTCGCTGTCGGGACACGACTCTTGTAAGACCGCAAGCAAGGCGATGATGAGGTGAACCAGTGCTCCAAACCGGACCGTGTCAACGCTCGGCTGGTATGCGTCGGTTGCCCCAACATATTCCTCAAACTGGGCCAACATTTGAGACTCGTTCAAGCAAGGATCTGCAGACTTTAGCATCATGTCCACAAGTTGGAGCAAGGGGGAATTTCAAGCATACAGTGGGGGTTCAACAGTTCAAAATATCTCTGCAATACCATTCTCACGGCTCCCACCCCATCATCAACTTCATGGTTCAATGAGAGTCTTAAATCTTGCGTACAACATATAGGAATGCGTTCACGGTCGTAGAACGAGCATCTAATGGGAGCCTGAGAATGCTGCGGTTGTTGGTCAGCAATATTGGGTAAATCCGTCGTGGGAAGATCATGCGAAGCAGGTTCAGGCTCGTCGCCCTGGCTGGTATCCCAAGTCGGTACTTCGATTGGGAGGATCTGATTGACCAGAGCGCCGGCATCACTCGACAAAATGTCTGGACGGGCATGGTCAGGCATCTGGGCGCCGAACGAAGATGTCTGATCTCCAAGTTGATCGGCTGTTTGTCTCATACCCGATTGCTTTCTTTGCTCCACCGCCCACTGTTGCTCAAGCCGTGCTATTCTTGTGAGAAGGTCAAGATGAGCGAGAGGAGGCTGCTGCGTCTTCTCTATCCCATGTGACATTTCTACCGGCATCAAGGGTGAGTTGAGGTGCGTTGGGGGGCTGGGTAGTAATTGAGGGGGGCTAGCGGATTTCATCTCAGCGAGTTCGTCAAGCTCGGTCGACCTATATTCTTGTTGGCAAATTGACATCGTCGTCTCCAGATGAAGACTGGAAGGGTTCAAACTAACGAGGTTGCTGGGCGTGCGTTCTTGAACGTCCTCCTTGTCCGAGGACCTTTTTTGTACTCACAGCGCAGCGAAGCCGCGCCACAGGAAGAGCATGGTCCGGGTTGTTCCCCAGAGCACTGGCAAGAGGTCAGTCATAGCTCATCCACGATTTCCCAAGGGCTTCGTCAAACCTTGATCTTGCGTTTTTGGCACTCTAGGCTGTTCCACAGTGAGCTAGGGCCATTGTTCCTTGCGGGTGAAGAGACTTACCATGCTCGGGTGACATATTGTGAGCGTTTGGTGCCCGCGACTGGACGCTTCTGGCCTCGCGAATTGGTCCGACAGTGTTGTGTCGACGATGGCAAAGAGGACCGGGTCAAGAGGATGGTGTCTGGACCTGCATCTCCCAACGCCTCTGTTGTTCGTTCATCCATGATATTGTCTCTTAGATTATACATCCAGCGAGCCACAGTGGATAGGGAGAGCAATTAACCCAAAGCTCGAGCAAGAACGGAATTCTGGGCGGACGCCTGGCGAAGATAGGCATAGGGGGGTTGCGGGGAGGTGAGTCCACCCAAGTCGACCAAGTCTCGACCATATTGTAAACGGTAGTAGCGCTTGCCAAAGCAGCCTGGAGAGATGTGGGGGTTCAATAGAGATTCCAACGAAGCAGGAGAGTGTAGACTATGCATCCGGGGCATCTTACTTGACCCTGCTGGTGGTTGTTGTGTCTGGTGTTCGGAATTATTGCGTCCAGTTGTCGTGCAATGCGATTCCGCTGGATGTCATCAGCATTTAGCTGAACGGTCAGGTGACTTTATCCTCAGCTGAGCAAGTTAGCCGACTTGAGGCTGGAATATTTCTTGGCACTCAAAACAATCTCTGCCACTGCGACTCCATCATGTAGAAACTTCGGGGCCATTGTTGTGTCTACTCTTCGATCAAATGCCTGGCTGGAACTTCTACCTCTGATTAACGCTTTTGCGCTGGGCTCTCAGTACGCCAAGCCTGGGTATATCCTTGTCTTAAAGCTTCCAGACATCTATAACAGCTCTTCCCTGTAACCGCCCTGAACCCATATCATCAAAGACCTGTCCATGAGTGAGCACACGACTGACACAAGGCCACTTGACCTTCACATACCTGGGACAGCTTGCTCAAGGGCTCAATGCTGATCTTGGTCTTGACCTCACCCCTAGCCGCGGGCTTCATGCACTCAACAGCGTCTCTCCGGTTTCCAACTACTGTTCCTGTGGTACTGTCAACAGAGGTTCACATTGCCATCCGGCCGGACGTACCTCGAATGCTTAGTTGGTTGGTGATCAAGAAATGCGGCTGTGCTCTTTGGAGTGGCATGGCCTTTTCAGGCACGCCGACGCAGACCAGCGTCCCCCCGTAGCGAAGCATGTCTAATCCCTGGTCGTAAGACTTGGTGGAGCCGTTGAGTACCAGCACGGCGTGGCACCCGCCATTGGTCACTCTCTTTACCTCCTCAAACAATTGGGCATCGGTGTACTGGGTGAAGTCGAGGAAGACGTTGGCACCAATTCCGAGACAAAACTCCTTCTTGGAGCCGTGATCGATGCCGATGACTTGGAAACCCATACTCTTGGCATATTGGATGGCTAAATGACCGAGACCACCGCCTGCACCAGAAAGCGCCACCCAGTCCCCAGGCTTCAAGTTGCCCTTGAGCAAAGCATTATACACCGTGACACCTCCACACAGGAGAGGGGCGGCCAGCGCGGAGTCGAGGCCGTCGGGAATTGGTGTGACATATGCTGCGTCGCTGCACACGTATTGTTGAAACGTTCCAGGGTTCCTGTAGCCCGAGACCTTCTTGAACGGACACCGGCCTTCGTCGCCGACTAGGCACATGTCGCATGTTAAGCAGGTCGAGGTGATCCATTTAACACCCACACGGTCGCCCACCTTCCTTGCCTTGACACCCCGTCCCACTTTGACGACCGTGCCGACCCCTTCGTGGCCTCCGATCTGCCCGCGCGGCGTGCTTTCTGGCATATGCTCCCACGCGTTCATGATGAAGGAGTAGTCTGAATGACATACGCCCGAGTGACTGAGTCGGACCAGCACTTCGCCCTCTTCTGGCTCAGGTGTATCCACCTCAACAATCTCGATCACCGTCGTCCCTGGCTGGCTGTACACCGCGGCTTTGTGCCTCTTGGGGATGGTCATGTCGGCCATATTCGCAAACGGTCTCTAGTATTGTTCTTCGATCTGAAGAAGCAGAATGAAAGAGCCGCACGGGTTCTACTGAAACTAATTATCGTAATCCTGCGGCCGCTACTTGACATTTCAGGCTTGACCTCCTTGTTTCCGTTACGAAAGACGTCGCTCGACGTTTTCGGAAACCCAGAAGACGGTTTATCCTTCGGAATTCTGGCACCAGTCAAGATCCTACGCTTCAAGACCGGATGTTTCTTTGACTGCCTCGGTTATTCAATACCTTACTGGGTAGCAATGTATTCCACAGTGCGCTAAAACAGCCCACTTCGCAGCCTTTTCATCCGAGTGCACGGGTTCTAGAGCAGTCGAGGTTCTTATGTTCGTAGTGTAATGGGATTTCCGCAGAGCATAAACCCTCCAAAGTCAACGTGCCACCTGTTGCATAAGTCCCTTCATACACTCTAGTTGTGATCGTGCAGGCTGCGCTGGACTGTCCTTACTCTGCTCTGACCCAAGCCTCATGCTGTCACTCCACCGTCGACAACCACATTCGAACCAGTCATGTAGCTCGCGTCGTCACTGAGGAGGAACGACACCACTTTTGCAATCTCTTCCGGCTTTCCCAAGCGCCTGAGAGGTGTCCTGGCTTGCATTGCACGATCCATTTCCACCGCCGCAGGGCCCAGCTTCTCCGGCTGATACATCGGTGTCTTGATGCTCCCGGGCGAGACAATGTTCACACGTACTCCATGAGGACCCAGCTCAATCGCCGCGCTTCGACAAAATCCCAGAAGCGCGTGTTTCGAGGCACAGTATGAGTGTAATGGGGCACCACCGATAATGCTCTCTGTGGAGCCGATCATCACGGCGGCCCCCTTGTGCTGGATGAGGTCTTGACAAGCCACCTGCATCGTATTGACCACTCCTTGGTAGTTGACTTGCATGACGCGATCAGCGTCCTCAAACTGTGGATTCAATAACGAGTTGAAGCGAACAATCCCCGACACAGCAGCGACCTTGGTGACACTGAGTCCAGCGGTCTTGATGTCTTCGAATGCTTTTGTCACCCCGTCACGATCGGACACGTCCACTCTCGCTGTCGAGATTTTGCAACCCGGGCTCTCAGCTAGACACAGCTGGACAGTAGTCTGCAGCCCTTCAACATTCACGTCCCATAGAACCAGATTGTCGCCCTTGCGTGCCAGATCAACGGCGCAGCATTGGCCCATACCAGACGCCGCACCCGTAATCAGAGTCCTTGAGGTCATGGTTTCCCGCGGTTTCCTTCGAATGCAAGCTGATATTTCTGGTACGAATGTGATGTCCTTTGACCGACCGCTGTGAGACCACTTGTATTCCAGTATCGAGTTGAAGATCAAGTCACTTGTATTACAGATATACGAAATAGTACTTGACAAGGCCGCCAATCAAAGCAGGAGGAAGAAGCCGTACTTCTAGCATTCTTGGGGACCCTACCGACAACGTGACTTGTCGAAATAGACGACAATGATGTTAGACTCGGAAGGAAGGGAGCAACTTAAGCTCATCGAATTAAATCGTTACACCTGGCGGCGTCGTTTGAAAGATATTACTGGGAGCTATCCATGATACTGTCTTAAGCAGCAAGTACGTCAATCACGGCCGTGTTCCTCAACATGGGTAAAGAAAGAAAGGCATATCATTACAACCTTGTAGCGTGGCAGGGAATGAAAGTGTTGTATTCGCGCGACACCGTGACACCTCAGAGCGACTCTCTACTGGTATTTCAGTATCTAATAGTATCTATGCTCTCTCAGTGGCCCTCGGTGATTTGTCTGACCATCGTCAGGCTGTTGTTGGCGTGACTAGAACCTTTACACAGGCGTCCTTGGAGTCCAAAAGTTGTTGCAGGCCTTGCTGAACAAAATCATTCAGGACAATCCTGCTCGTGATCATCTTCTCGGCTCCCTGGAATTTCCCTACCTGGATGTCAGTCTCGTAGTTTGTATGTTTGGAATAATAACCAGAGGGAATCGCATACCTGCGACAAAGTCATCGACCACGCCCCGAAAGTCCTCGTCGCTGTACGCAAGAGCTGCTTCCAGGGTGATTTCCTTGCTCATCCACCCGACCAAAGGGACTTCGATCTGGGTCAGGGCGTGAGCATGTTTTTCCGCTTCCTTTGGTCAGTTCAAGACTTACAGGCTTATCCCACGACGCTATCATGACATAGGTGCCCCTCTTCTTGAGAGCGTCGATACCGGCAAGGAGTGCAGACGGCACTCCAGCACAGTCAAAGACGACATCGGCTCCGACACCGTCGGTTCTTCGCTTGACTTCCTCTGCCACGTTGGTGGTCTTGGGATCCAGAACGATACTCGGAATGTTTGCCGCCTGGGCTTTTCTCAATGCTGCTGGCTCCGACACCAGAATCTGAGCAGTGCCGGCGGCCTTGAGATTGTGGATAACAGCCTGCCCGATTGGTCCACCGCCGAGAACCAGTGCCGTCTTGTCCTGGAAGGATTTGAGCTTTGAGACTCGAAGACCATGTCTGGCTACTGCCAAAGGCTCAATCAAAGATGCATTGTCGAGTAAAGAGTCTGGGACGGGATAGCACTGCTGCCATCTAACCGCGACGTATTCAGAAAACCCACCGCCCCCGCCTCCGCTTAGCCCGAGAAACCCAGGCTTGTCACAGAGGTGAGTGTTCTTTTCCAAGCAAGGTCGACATTGCAGGCAATATAGCCGGGGGTCAATCACTACGGCCTGGCCAACCTTCAACGGACAGCCAGCAGTTGTTTCTGCTACTCGACCGCACGCCTCGTGTCCCAGTGTTACTGGGAGCCTGTCACCAGTATGGATGTCGGGGCGATCCTTGGTTGGCGTACCGAACGAGCCTGGAGGTAAGTGAGCGAGTGAAGTTGGCCCATATAGAGCGAGGAGCTCTGGCCATCTGTTACTGGCCAAGAGCGCTTACCAGCAGTATAATTCTTGAGATCACTTCCACAGATTCCGCACCAGGCAATCTGTACCAATATCTCGCCGTCTTTGGGTTGTGGTCTCTGGACGTCCTCGACGCGGACGTCCCTGACACCATAGTAGCGTGCAGCCTTCATACTCAGAACCCTTCGGATCGCGATACTACACCATGAAGACCTCCTTGGGTAGAGGTTCTGAAATACTTGGTGGAAAGAGATGTCTGGTCTATCCGGAATTATGCAAATCTATCCGTCGATTGCCCGTCAACTGCTAACTGAGATACGTGACCAGTGCACTTGAACTTCCTATATCCGATTTCGGAAATGTCTTCAGCCCATGCTCAGCCTGTGAAGAGCACATCGCCTTTCAGATTCAAGCCTCTACGCACGTATCGAATGGAACGATCTTCCCCAGCAGCATCCCCAGGCAAAGTCAGCCCCGCTATTGCTAAGGCGAGACTAGGCCACTGGATCCCCGGAATTAAGCGATGAGATTGGAATAGTCCTGGAGAAGAGACAGAGTTCACACTTCGCGAGCTCACCATCATGTGCTTGGTATGGCCTACCACGAATACAAATCATAGCAGCGCGGTCACATTGACGGGAGTGCTACAACTTAACTGCCAGCCACTCTGCCCAACTGAGAGGACCAGGTTGGGGATACAGCATGGTACTGGATGATGCACCAGAGAAGCCACCAAACTAATTCCGGGGGTGGAGAACAACCACGGTCAGTACTGGTCGACCGCTACGACCTTGTGGATCGCTACTTGATCGCTAATCAATTTCCCCATATTCAACTGGTTAGCTGGAGCTTGTCAAACTCTATAAGTCTGGCAGTCTGGCCACTCAACAGTGGCCTCGACGCTTCTACCGAGTCCCAATATCAGAAAGATCAGACTGCCACGTTTTTCATCTCTCTTCCCCTTGACCCGGAGCATACACGCATGACACGTACAGGTTAAAACAGCACGATCCCTTCCCCAGTACCTACCTTGCACTCTATATCTCCCTCGCCTCTTCCTGGACCATGCATGAGAACACCGAGGCCAATATAGACAGCATTCAGAAGTCATGGGACACGCCAGACGGCTCGACTCAGGCCCACGACGAGTTTCCGAAGCAGCATGCTGTCCACCACACCGGCATCGCTGCATTGGCCGACATTGGAAACGAGGATCCTGAAAACACCGAGTTTCGCTGGACGCTCCCAGTCTTCACCAACCTCTTCGCTCTCTACATCACCTGGTTTGTCGCCACGTTTGGGAACTCGGCCTACGCCTCTTCGCTTGCCTATGTGGCGCGTCGGTTCCCCGAGTCTGCCAGTCAGGTCGGCTGGGTATCGACTGGCCCGTATGTTGTGGCCACGGTGCTCATGGTCCCTGTGGGAGAGGTGTCGGATTTGATCGGGCGGAAACTCTTCGTCATGATATGTCTGGCCTTGTCGACAGTGGGTGCCCTTGTGGCTGGTCGTGCGGACAGTTTCGGCATGATCATTGGCGGTCAGACTCTGCAAGGCTTCGGTCTCGTGCTGTGCTACCTCCCAGGCCCGTTGACGCAGGAGATGGTACCAAAGATCGTACGGCCCATCGTTGCAGGTACTGGCGGATGCATCGTCGGCGTCGGGTACATCATGTCTCCCATCATCGAAGGCGTATTCATCAAAAAGGGCTATGGCGGCGAGCTCGAGGGTTGGAGAACAGGCTACTACACGTCGGCGGGCATGTATGTGTTGGCCCTCGTGTGTGTCCTCCTCTTATACCATCCAGCGAGCAGACCCAATCCGACACACAGCACCAAGTGGCAACGGCTGATGAAGATCGATTGGTTTGGTCTCCTTTTGCTCGCGGGAGGTCTGGCCATGTTCCTCGTCGGTCTCAGTGCAGGAGGCATTACTCGGCCCTGGACGTCAGCTTCAATCATCTCGTTACTCGTCATCGGAGGTTTTTGCCTCGTTGGTCTCTTTATCTGGAACTGGAAAGGGACTAGCGAGGGCATGTTTCCTCACTGCCTGTTCGAGCACCGCAACTTTGGCATCACCCTTGTTGTCCGAGCTGTGGGGAGCTTCGCCCAAATCGGCTGTCAAGCATATCTCCCGCAGCTCGTGGTCTTGCTCTTCACCAGCGACGGTGTCTTACAAGCCGTCTGGCAGCTTCCGTTCAGCGTCAGTCTGATCTTTGGGTCGGCCGGAGCTGCGGCGGGACTCAGACTGACAAGAGAAGGCCGCTGGATCGCAGTCTTGTCCATGCTCTTCTTGATCCTGGGCGGAGGTCTTCTCATCCTCATCAAGCCCGACGTCAGCTTCGCCGCCTGGTTCTTTGCCGCGGCCGTAACCGGCTTCGGCATCGGCTGTGAATCTCAGGTCTTGAACATCATCGCCGGCCTGTGCACGCCAGACCATCTGATCGCCACGGCCATCATGGTCGCCTCGCTCTCCGGGACCTTTGGCGGCTCAATCGCCATCACCGTCTTCGGCCAGATCTACCAATCCAGTCTCAAAGACATGTTGCCAAAGGCCATCTCCACCGCCGTCACCAAGGACGGCTTTCCCCAGGATAATCTCCCGGCCCTTTTCGAAGCATATGCAACCTCGAACCAGACCCTGATAGCCCAGGTGCCGGGTATGACGCCGCAGATTCTCCAGGCTCTCAACGACGCGGTCCTGGACGCGAGTGCAAAGAGCTACCACAACGTGTGGTACACGTTGATCGCGTTTGCGGCCATCACGACCGTCATCGCCTGGTTCCTCAAGAGCACGAAAGAGCAGTTGACGAGAGCTGTGACTGCACCTGTGGGGGAGAGGGTTCTCGGGCTGGAGATGGACGCGGAGCGGCGACCGGCGGTCAGACACGGGGTGAGCAAGGAGGCCAGTTGAGCGTAGGTGTGCCAACGACGACGGAGGGGGGTGTGCCATGAGAGAAAAGTATGCACTACTTGAACCTGTATCTATCGATTACGTTGCATGATATCCTGGTTTCCCTCTTGCATGATGCACGTCTCAGCTCTGACAGTAGTGTAGATGCGTCCAGTTGTAGTATTTCATTCCTTGCGACATCCGTAGAAACTGAGCGAGCCAGCGTCAAACCTACTTGGCCATATCAGGCTCCGACTGTTTCTGTACAGCACACGTCCAGAGCACAACTTCCAGCTGGCAATCCGAAAAGGCCAACATGGCCGTTCTAATCTGTTACATTTCGTCGTCGACCAGGAAGCTGGAGTTGCTGCTCATCTTTGATTCTTTCGTTATTCCACTCTTGACGTTACACCTGGAGGGATGTGGTCTATCCTTAATCCCTTCCCTACACTCTGGCTTCTAATCTGCTCGATAGGTGTAAGGCGCAATCACGTCTGTACATTATCCTGCGCCCCCTTCTTGAAATCAGGCATCACCTTTCCGTCCTTGATCACCCAGCGTACAGTTCCCGCCATGGAACACAATCCCGGCGAGATCGTCGTGTTTGCCGTGCTGTCCCAGAAGTTGTCGTGGTCCGGGTTCACCACTTCTTGCCAGTACGAGTCCTGCGATGCCGACAGGTATCCCTCGATACTGGAGAAGGTTGCCTCAGCGAACCCGTCGCAGTCCACACAAGGAACGCCGGTCAGGTCTGTCCACTTTTTGCGGATTGCTGATGGAGTATGGAACTGTTTTTTTCCCCCACGCGGTAGCACAGTCAGTCAAAACATGTCTTGTATGACTCTTTCACCATCAATCGATGTAAGAGGTTCAGGTGAAAGGGGACTACCAATCCCGTGGGCCGTGAATAGGCAGGCTATGTTTATCTGTTACTCACCTGGCGGTATCCGATGAGACCGTATTTCTCGGCCCATGGGGCGACCAGGGCGCCGTGACGCGTATACCAATACCGGTAGAAGTCTTCCTCCGTCATGCCTGGTTTCTTGTGGATGAAGCTCCCGATTGTCACGGGCCCCGTGGGATTCGCATAGTTCTCTTCCGCCATTTGGGTCGTGCTTTAACTCTGAAGCAGTTGTAAAGAGGAAGAAATGCACGATGTCAACAATGCTTGAGGGAAAGGCCTGTGAGCATTAAATTAATGCAAAGGGGGAGCCTCTCCAAAACCCCACGGGTCCCAGACTCTAGGCCTAGCGTCAGTCGTGCGTTCCCCAGGTGCCATCATAGAGCTGCGGAACTGAGCCTGGGGAGGCCCAAGACAGGTAAATTCCGAGCTTCCGCCCACTAAAAACGAACACTGAGTGTCCTGTTCTACGACCCCGTGCGTACGTCTCAGGTCATAGCTGGAGGCCTGACACATGTCTCCGCTTCTGTATCACATCGAGTTGTCGGAGAAGGCGATTAGCTTGTTTGCTCTTGCATTTACCCCCAACCAACAACTGTCCTTCAAAGCGGAAACATGGATTAAACCAGCAATGAAATCGGAACGAGAGATGAATAGGGAGTCGACGTCGGGTCAGGTACGACTTGGACGTAGAGAGTTTGTGTACCTGGCGCTTTTATATCATACTCGACCGCACTGTGCGTAGATTGTAGTCAACCAGCCCATAGAATTGAGAGGCGTCCTGTGCGAGAATAACTGCGCAACAAGATTCGAGCATGGCACACGTACTGTTAGACCAGATTCCCCGTACCAACTTCCAAGCCATCTTTGGGGTGCATCAGAACACTCCACGCCTGGATGAGCAGATCGACTTCTACAAAGCAGTGGGTTGTGTGGTTGACGGTAAGCACCAGCATCTCAAACGGGAGCATGTAGGCAGCATCTAACTGGCAATTCGCAAAAGATGACTACCAGCTCAAGGATGGTGCAACATTGCCCGATGCCTGGTTCTCAGCTCGTGGAGTCAAGCGCGAGGACCTCGACCGGTTCGTGGCCATGCGGCTCCCGCACGATCCATACATGCACGTCTACTTCTACAGCTGGCACAACCTGTCCACCAAGGCCCAGTGGCCTCCGATCATCAACCAGATCGGCTCGCGCAGCTTGACGTTCCTGCTCGACGACGTGGACAAGGAACTCGAGCGCATCCGCCGCGACTTCCCCCAGACGCCGATCCTGTCGGATGTCTTGACCATCGAGCGGAAATGGGGCACGACCAAATCCGCCCTCGTCAAGGACCCCGAGGGCAATTTCCTCGAGCTGGTCTCCGTGGCCGGCGGCCGGTTTGACGAGCAGAAGATGAAGCCGGCGCCGTGGGATCAAAAGACCTGGTTGCATTTTCAGATGAATTGCCAGTATTGGGGCAAGACGCGCCGGTTTTATCGAGGGTTCGGTGTGTGGCCCCCCGTCGTCCATCTCCAGGAGATTCTTTTAGATATAAGAGAGGTGCTTGCTGACCTCCTTTCCCCAATTGCAGGCATGGAGCACGACTATGGTACGGACTTCCGGGGCGAGAAGATTGGGTTTCCCTTCGGCTGGGACTATTATGAAAAGCAGATGAACGAAGGCTGCGACTTCAAGGTCGATCCTGACACGCGCAATGACTTTCTCCGCAATGCCCGGGATGTCAGTGGGATGCATCTGGAGTTGCTGGAAGGTATTCCAGGTGAGAATTGCTGCTGCTGAAAGAACCTCAGAAGTACTCGCTCGACTGATAATCGTCCCCAGGGAGAGAGAAACCTCCTGGGGTTCCACCCACGTGGTCCCAGCTAGGTAGGTCGCGGATGTCTGTGAACCACAACAAACAAATAGAAGAGCTGACCTCGTGTGCGTCTGTGTGTGTGTCAGGCATCATGCGCTACTGCTGGAGAGTCCCAGACTACTACAAAGCTGTGGCTGACATTAAGAAACTCGGCAAGAAGATCTACGTGGAAGACCAACGAGGTAATCTATATCCCCTTCCCATCCCTAGAGAAAGCGCAGCTGTCTGACTCGGCCGATCGATAATCAGGATGTCTTGTCTGGGGTGACACCCAATGGATCTTCTATGGCGACTGTGATGGAAACTTTCTGTGCCAGTGAGTGGTTCCCTCGCCTCCAGTAGCTGTAGGGGCGTACAACTCTAACCGTCGGGTCACCTTTACAGAGAACAGTGGTATCCTCAGCGATATTTTGGGTTCCAGGACTAGAATTGTTGTAGAGACGCATCTGGCCGAGTGGAAGACACGGCGGCATTGCGACAAGGTCGCCTGGCTGAATACTATATCGAGATCTGAAGTAGCGGTGCCAGACCTGCAGAAAGAGAAAATAGCAATTAAACCATACTTTGTCCGTGAAGTGTCTTGTATCATGTCGGCGAAAAAACTACTACGTCGAGGACTAGAGATGGAAGATGCTCTGTCGTGCACAGTCACATACCAATACGAATAACCATGGACAAAATACATCTCTGTCTCCCACGGGTACTGCCTCAATTCCTGTCCTTGCATGTGAGCAAAAAGACCGTATGTCTTGTTTCATATCAGTTGTGCCAGATTATCAGGCACTACGACCGCCAGGGATGCCTATTATGTAGTTCATGACATCCCTCCCGGATATAGAACTCTCCTCCTCTTCATCTGCACACATTCCCTTGTCACCTAATCACATAAAACATAGGAATCCCGCTCGAAGTCGTGTATATCTCCTTCCCGAGCCCCCTCGTGGCGGCCATGTTAGCGTTTCAAGCTTCCCGTTTCCACAATTCCTGTGAATCTCTATTGCGAATCACGCACAGCATCGGCTTCTTGTCCCACCAAAACACAATCTTCTGATCCGCCCAGTCCCTGCTCTCCTCACACAGCTCAAAGTCAAAGTTATACAGCAGCCTGGCCATGATGGTTCGGGTCTCGGCGTACGCCAGGTTGCGGCCGATGCAATTTCTGGGCCCGACGCTGAACGGCTGCAGGGCGTCCCTCTTGTCATAGTGAAATGGCGAGTTGGCCTGGGAGTAGTGGTCACGCAGCCATCTTTCTGGGAGGTATTTGTCGGCAGCATAGAAGTTTCTCGGGTCCCAGTAAGCGGCGAGTTGGTTCACCCCCACAATTACCTGTCAAAGACCGGTTTAGTCAGTGGACAATGAAAAAGAGTTGTCTTTCGTATGGAGAGAGAACGGATAGGTACATACATTCGGAGGGACTACGTGTCCCGAGATCATCGTCGGGGCTCCCGGCGGTGTAAAGCGTGGCAAGGTCGATGGCAAGGGTGGATAAATACGCATAGCCTCGGTGATACAGGCGACCATGTACGGAAGCTTTGAGGATGAGGTGATAAAGGTAATCTCGCTTTCATCTGAAAATACAGACCTCACTTCATGCTGAGCGTGGGCTAGCTTGTCAGGATGTCGCAGCAGGTAGTACAGGGTTCCCGACAGAGTGGTGGCAGAGGTCTCGGCGCCAGCACTGATCAAGACACTGGCATTGACGAGAATCTCCTGGTCGCTCATCCCGTTGGGGGTCCCGCGGCTTTCGACCATGCTGTCCATGAAATCTCCACGTCCCTGCTGCCCCTTGTTACGGATCCGTCTCATGGTGACCTGTTCCGAGAACTGCCACTGGCGGGAATGCGCCTCCGCGAGGGACTTGGGCGTGAGGAAAGACGCGAGCTTCCCTAGAATGGGGTAGTTGTAGAAGAAGCTCAGGTAGGCACCAGCCTTGACGAACAGGAACATGGTCCGAATGTAATCGTGCTCCTGTGCGCTCGACACGCCGCCAAATGGTTCCCCAAAGGACAAGTCGCCAATGAGATCGAACGTGACGAGATGGAGCCATTTGGCCAAATCGACTCGGTCTCCCTGGCGTCCCAAGATGCGTAGTTGCTCCATCAGAGAGTCGACGTACACTTTGATCAACGGTTCCTGCTTGCGTATCGCCTTTTCGGAGAAACCCCCTGCCATGATCTTCCGGTATCTGGTGTGGTCGGCGGAGTTGGCGTGGATGAGGTGGTCAGGCTTCCCGTCCGGCTCGTGGAAGGCGACGGCTTTGGGAAGCTCGGGGTGGCCGAAGCCATAAATGTCTTGCCAGGCCTGAGCATCATTGAAGCTGAGCTCACTGGGACCGATTCTGACCACGTTTCCGTATTTGATATGGAAGTCGAGCAGATGTCGCTCAAGGGTACCTTGCAAAAGTGCTGTCCAGCGAAGAATGGGGAAAACAACCCAGAGTTTTGGGCCGGGGAACTTGCGAACTGGCGAGAAGTAGAGATGATACACCCCTGCGACCAAACAGTATAGCACATAGCATACAATTGAGGCAGCTCCGAGGACGCCAACTCGCTGTCCCGTAGATAGAGATGATGGTAAAAATGCTAGGACTGCCATCGCGAACAAGCTAATCACCAAAACAGATCGTCAGGTTGTTCCTGCCTCGGGTCTCCGCCAGCGGGATATATATGGCGAGTAGTCTGTTCCGAAAGTGCGCCCATGACAGTTGCAAAGGCATCAGGTCAGCTATAACAAGAACGAGGGGTCCGGAATACGCCGTCCAATGGATGATCAGGTTCCGTCGCTCGTCGTAGAGGTTGCTACCAAGGTACAACGGAACATGGAACTGTCAGGACATCCGAAGCAAAAGTGAAAAGTGTCTTAAAACCTGGTGAGTGTTCCATCAAGTCCCAGTTCTTCTGAAGATCTCTGAATCTGTCCAAGTTACTCCACTGGCAGCTTCCACGCTTCTCCAATCCAGCATGGCAGAGACAAAGCCATCCCTAGGTCAAGGGAGTGAGAATGACCACATCCGTCAAGACGCCATTGGAGGCACTTCATTGGACCGGCGGTACTATCGCAGCTTTCGATTCCTTGGGTCTATGGTCGCCTTTTCCTTGTCGCTCTGTGGATCATATGTGGGATATCTGCTGCCTGTCGGAATTCTGACCATTATCAACGCTGACATTGGTAAGCCCTGAAGGGTCTCTCCAGACTTCTCTCACTGCATCCCGGACCACTGACCATGCTAGTTTAGGTCCCGATGCAAACTACCCCATGATTGCGGTTGCTTGGACGATCAGTAATGCACTAGGCAACCTCCTGGTCGGTCGCCTCTCGGACATCTTCGGTCGACGATACTTTCTCCTTGTCGGGAATGCCCTGGGCCTCCTCGGATTCATCGTTTCTGCCGTGGCCCGGAATATTTCCTCTTTGATAGGGGCAAGTGTCCTGATTGGGCTTTCAGCCTCAGTATCTTTGACATTCTATTCAGCTGCAGGGGAACTGGTACCCATCAAGGATCGTGGGTACTGGTATTTTGCAATCTTTGTGCCTGTCATTCCGTTTGGCATGTTCAGCGCGTGGTTAGGTCAGTCTCGGCTTCGATGATGCAGGGTGGCTTGATGTTGACGCTGCATCTTCCTTCTAGCGCACAACTTTGTTCTCATTGCCACCTGGCGATGGTGCTATTACCTTGCGATTATTATTCAGGGGTGTGCAGTCATTTTGCTGGCTGTCGCATATTTTCCTCCTTCAGTGGAACAACTGCACAGCGAGAAATCGCGTCGACAATTGATCAGCGAGATCGACTGTCTCGGCATATTCCTATACACTGCCGGAACGGTTCTATTCCTCCTGGGTGTGAGCTGGGGCGGCTCCACGTATCCTTGGAAATCGAGCGAGGTCATTGCATGTCTTGTCGTAGGCGGTGTTACCTTGATACTCTTCTTTACCTGGGGTGTGTATTTTACTCTCCGGATTGTGATTGTTGTGTTCACGCTAATCTCTTTGCAGAGGGATTTGGACATCCCACAAGTCCACTACTACCGGTGAAGTTCCTGGTTGGGGACAAACGAGGGTTCTTCTTCCCGGCTATACTTGGCGGCGTCGACTCCATGTTTTACTACGGCCTGACCCTCATTTGGCCCACTCGTATGTGGCAAAGCACTCTGGAGTCCCCTTCATTCGCTAATCTTTGCTGCTGCAGAAGTGAACACTGTCTACACCACTGGACTTCGCACAGAGGGATGGCTTGCTAGCATTCTGTCAGCCGCATCCCAGACAGGCACCATGGTCGCGACCCTTGTCTTCTACCGGATGGGCCATCAGCGGATTGCCCTTGGCGTCGCATTTACCATCATGGTTGGGCTTACTGGTGGCCTCACAGTGACAAATCCCACCAACCGAGCGCTTGCCATAGGTCTTGTCACACCAGCCGGATTTTGCATCGGCTTCAGCGAAACCATCATCCTCATGCTCGGCCAGGCTTGTCGAGATCCGCACATGATTGGGTTGGCGGTTGGGACGCTCGGCTTCCTGCGCCTGCTCTTTGGAGCGGTCGCCCAGGCTCTCTACACTACTATCTTGTCAAACCGACTTGCTACAACCTTGCCGCGCAGAATAACTGAGTTCGCGGTGAATGCAGGACTCCCTACTTCGGCATTGCCCGATCTGTTCCAGGCGGTGGCTACTCAAGATCCGGATGCTCTAAACTCTGTGCCAAACATCACGTCGAGTGTCATCGAAGCGGTCACAATGGGCCAGAAGTTTGCATATGCCGATGCCTTCAGCAGTGTGTACTGGACGGCGTTTGCATTTGGAGCTGTCGGTGTTGTGCTCACACCATTTGTAAGGAAGGATGTCAATGACGAGATGACTGCTTATGTGCCCAAGAAATTGCGTGGTGTGTTGGATGATGGTAAAGTTGCGGATGGGAAAGACCTCGAGTTTGAGAAGGGCCAATCTACCACCCATGTCGATCATCCCCTTGCGAAGTCTGCGTAGAATGTGAGTTGCTGATTGATCGAGATAGTCAGGTAGACAGGACTGCATGACAGGGCCCGGTTTGTGTCCCGGTTCTGTACAATTTCAAGGCAATCTCAATGAAGTTCATTTCGAAAATGCAGACTCGGAATCTCGGTCTGGTGAGGTCGGAATTATCTCTCAACAGCTTATAAGAGCAGTAGTCCCTGGGTGCTCGTCAAAAATTCTCCCAACAACCTTCAAATCTCCAATCGTGACGATTGCTCCTCCAAGCAGGCACCCGTGGCCTCCAGAAGACTCACTTGACTGCTCCCAATGGTAGAATGGAGGCTCGAAGCTCCTGACATATGAAATCTGTTAAAGTGGTCGGCGACTTCATTTCTTCACACCGCGACACCGAATGCGGGTTTATGCTCACCACGACGAACGTCTCTCTGACAAACAGCTCGTCCTGACACAAGAGCAGGGTCTTTCTGGGTTATACTCGGTAGAGGCAAATCCCTGAGACCGATAGACCCGTCCGTGCTGGTGGCATGGGGAGATTGCGAACCCTGACGTGGTGGAATACTCCACAACAGACCTCCGTGTTCGGCCATATACCTTCCACCCCACAACTATCAGCTCCGTCAATAACCTGTGGTGGGGGGATTTGGCCAGGTACCGGGAACTTGTGTATACTTGGCTGAGTCGATTATAATGCGATCAAGGGCGGTGTACCTCTAGTTGAACAGAGAAAGAGTTGGGAGGGGCCAGAAAATAGAGCGTGATAAGTGACAGTATGTGATTGGCTGTCAGAGTGCGATGCGGGTCCGTGTCTTTCCCGATACGGATAGCATCGACTAGCCTAATAAGGCAGTTCATCGTTCCATCCTGTCGAGCTGGTCGACATTGCCCGCTTACCGACTCCTGCAGCTTGGCGCGGAGAACAACTTTTAAATCGGGTCAAGCTCTTCGTCCTCCTTGATACTTTTGAATGCACTCAGCCACCACCCACTTGCCCCTGATGGAAGACGTCGAATTTGACATCAGTGCACCTGTAAGTTCTGGCCATGGATACCGCCCTATACTCGGATCGCTAGGCGCCCGGAATTTTACAAATCTGGCTCACGTATCCCACCAGAACAGGCGCCCAGGCACAAAAAGATGCCAATATGTGTCTCGAGCATGGTAACCTTGAGTTGAATCATCTTCTCCAACCTCCCCGATCTGACAGTTTAATAGTGTTGAATGTCAAAAGCGTAAAGTAAAGGTTGGCAAAGACCGCTGCACTCTCTGGTTGTTTCAATGAATTCGCGCTGATTTCATTTCTTGGCCTAGTGTTCAAGAGAACAGCCTGGCCCATGTCAGGCATGCCTCAATTGCTCGCTCACTTGCGTGTACAACACTGGCGCCCGGAAACGGCGCTCAACCAAAGTCAAGCAGCCTTCAACAGTGCAAGTACCATGGTTGTTGAGATATGTAATTCCGCGCCACTGACCGGTACCCAGTCAAACATCCCAGGCGATATCTGCGGCTCCCTCGGAAATGTCGTCCACTGCACCGGCGACTACTGCCGCGATACATGCGCTACAATCTGACCAGTCGCCTAATAACCCTGCAGGGTCAGAAAGGACGGACCCAAATGCTGATATATTAGCCAGAATAGCCAGACTAGAGCAGGGATTGGCCATGGAGCAAGCTAGAAGAATGTCAGGCTTACAACCTTGGGACATCAGCTATACGCTTCCTGGCCCATCGCTTGACAACGTACCATTGGACCTTGATCACAGTGATATGTCGGCCATTCTTTCGTCTGAGCACGGCACGATGCTGCAGGAGGATAGATCTGGTCCGAATGATCCACAGGCCTGCCAGAGCGAAGCACTTCCGGAAGGTCAGTCTAATGGAGTGACTCTACCCCAAAGAAACACTGGCGGTCGGTGCTGTTCTCCGGGTCCTGGAAATACGTATGCTTGCCATGGAGATGACTTGCAGCTTTGGTCCCAGGAAAACAGTAGCCTGGAGATTGAACTCATGCGGAAGCGCTTAGAGGCATATTTTGTGGTCATAAACCCGTATTGTAAGTATCAAAAGCGCATTCAGCACGACTCTCTTGCTAAATACCATTTCCCAACAGACCCGTGCTTGAACGAAACACAGACGCTCGCCCAGTTCGAGAATTACCTGCAAATGGACGAACAGGAAAAGTTGAGCTTCGACAGTGTTCAGTTTGTGGCCATGCTCCATCTTATTTCCTCCCTCCTGGCCATCTTGGAGGACTCTTCTAGCAATTCCGACGACGAAATTCCGGGCTGGACGGGTTTCAAACGTGCAAGCCATCTTCTCTACCACACCGCGTGGCTGGCAGACGGCAATCTCGCCACCATTCAAACCCTAATCATCAAATGTACCTACCTCTTATATGCGGAAAAATACAATGCGACTTACGACGCCGTGGGACAAGCCGTGAGGCTGTGTTTTCTCATCAAACTCCATACTCAATCGGAAAACGACCAATACCAAAGCCCCTTTGAGACACATATGCGGCAAAGGGTTTTCTGGGCTCTCTATTGTCTCGAACGAAATGTTGCCCTTGTCTGTGGAGTTCCTTATCTGATTCGAGACTCAGAGATCCAGGTCCCTCTCCCTAGTGAACTGGATGATCGGAGTCTAGGGAACACGGAGCAGGTCCCAGATGAGAGTCCTACTTATTCGTTTATCCCCCATCTTCACTGCACGTCGCAGTGGGCTCAGCTCAGCTCTCAATGCTGGGATCGTCTTTTCTGTGCGAGCGCCAAATGGCCAGTGGACGAGGATTTCATTATCACAATGGATGCCAGGATCGAGTATCTACGGAACCGAGTCCCGCAACGACTGTCCTGGAGGAAATTTGCTGCGAACAAGGAACACGCGGTGGACTCGCCTCCTTACATGAAACGGCAAGCCATGATTCTCCATCTGGTAAGTGTGTCCCGTGCTGTCGAGACTTGCTGTTGCCGACACGTCTTGCTGACGTTCCCTGCCAACAGCGCTGCAACCACCTGCGGCTGCAAATACGACGAGAGAACATCCTGACGACTGAATTCCGCACTCGAGATGTACGTAACATCTTGGACATTGCGACAGACTCCGTCGACATCCTCCACAGCTTTCACTTCTCGCCAGAATTCGGCCTGCTCTCACGATACATGTGCGTGACTTACATCACAGGCGCTCTGATTGCTGTAGGTGGTGTGATCCTGGGCGACAAGCTAGACAGCAGCATCCTTCTCGCCGCGACGCAAACGTTCAGGCGCGCGGTGGACGTCCTGCGTAGCATCTCTGTGACACTCCGGCTGGCGCGGTCGAATCTCAAGAAACTGGAACGAATCATCGATGCCACCGAGAGAATCGCCCAGACTCACGAGGTGAATTTGATCAGTGATAGCCTCGTCACGACGTTCACCTCGACCCAGCCAAGGCCTAGTGACAGGGACCTAGGGGACGCAAGCAGACTCCCGCACAAAGATACCACGGTGCCCTTTGACCTGGGCAACATCGACGACGGCCCTATCCGCATGATGTATACGCCTGCATTCGATGCACACTATTGGGACTCTCTGATACTTGACCTGTGATTTCGTCCTCTCCCTACTGGGTTCTTTTGAGAATTGACAGGCCTGGAACCAGCGCGATTGCCACAGAACGCAATCGAATCATTGATTGCCAGCTCGTGCAAGAAGGACTTTGCAGACGGGTGGTGAACCTATGCCACACAAGAAGAGCGACACTCGGACTGCATTGGACTCGTCCATACTGAGTATCGTCAAGAAAAAGGAAATAAAAAAAAACCATTGTAGAAACTCACTCATTCAGGGTTTCCTCTGGCCACCGCAGACGTACATCTTCAGGGTTTGAGGTGTAGCTTTGCCGAAGCGCGAGCCGACACCACAAGACTGAAAGTCATACTATGATGTGGTCAGACAATTTGGCTCTATGTATATATCATACTTGGCTAGATAATCGGAATCAGGATGCGGAAGCAACACAGACACCGATTACAAGTTGTCTTCACACTAGTGTGACTGAGTCAAACTCCTTGATCTCCATTGGCTCCGGAATGATCTTACATCCTTTATGGGGAAGACAACACTTGTATGTATCCACGACCCACGGTCCAGTCACCTGCCAACGAGACCCCATTCTCTGAAATTCCGAGAGTCGAAGACCACGTAAGATTTAGTGGGAAGACACCTAATCAGGGTGCGTCGTCAGTCCCGGCCGCTGTTGTGCTAGCACCTGTGTACAAGTATCTCTTTATCCGACGGCGCGATCATTTGTAGTCGGTGTGTATTATTATTACCGAGGTGACCATTTATCTAGACATCCTCGACCACGCTGCCCATCCCATTCACGAAGTTTCTTATTTGCAGTCAAGCGACAAGCATGACTTCCAACGCGTATACCGTCCAGGAGCGACCTATCCACTCCGGGCGAAAGCTGAGAGTCATCTGCATCGGCGCTGGGGCCTCCGGTCTCCTTCTGGCGTACAAGATCCAGTACAACTTTTACGAATCTGACGTCGAACTGCAAATCTACGAGAAAAATCCCGACCTCGGGGGAACATGGCTCGAGAACAGGTCTGTGACGGGCACATCCGGAAGGCTCTTGCCTTGGAACGGGGTTGTTGATTGACTTGGGGAATAGGTATCCTGGCTGCGCGTGTGACTGTCCGGCACATACGTGGGTGTTCCCCCGCGAGGCTCTCTCCATCCACCGATGCGAGTCCAGCTGACCGAGTTGTAGGTATACGTGGTCTTTCGAGCCCAAGGCGGACTGGAAACAGACGTTTGCAACATCTCCAGAGATTCATCGCTACTTTGACGAGTTTGCCGCCAAATACGACTTGGAGAGGCACATTCGGTACAACAGCCAGGTCTCGGGCGCGAAGTGGAACGACGAACAAGGCAAATGGGCGGTGGAGATCACGCAGAATGGCAAGGTTGTCCACGATGCCTGTGACATCCTCATCAATGCGTCTGGCATCTTGAATAACTGGCGGTGGCCCGCGATCCCAGGCCTGGAGAATTTCAAAGGCCCAAAGCTACATTCTGCAGCGTGGGACGAGACTCTGGATCTGACTGGGAAGAAGGTCGGATTGATTGGCAACGGGTCAGCTATTCCTTCATGTTTACCTGGCGGTGGAAATGTCGTGGCTTGTCGTGCATACGGACTGACAGTGGTGCTAGATCCTCCGGCATTCAGATTCTCCCCGCCATTCTTCCCGTGGTCGATTCGGTTGTCAACTTCATCCGAGAGCCGACCTGGGTGTCGCCCATACCTCTCCCTGGATTCGAGGCCCGCGAGTTCAGTCCGGAGGAGCAAGATGAGTTCCGCACCAACACGGCCAAGCACCTCGAGTTCCGTAAGACGATCGAACGCACGGGCAACCAAGTATTCCCCTTGTTCCTGCAAGATTCCGACGCGCAGAAACAGGCATTTGACCATTTCAAGTCCGGCATGAGGGAGCAGATCTAGTCTGACTATCTCAAAGATAAGCTGGTGCCGCAATGGAGCGTCGGCTGTCGCCGCCTGACTCCCGGAGTGGGATACTTGGACAGCCTGGCACATCCCAAATCGTCCGTGGTATATGGTGAGATCATGCGGGTAACCGACACCGGGCTTGTGATGGAGAATGGCGAGGAGCACCCTGTTGATGTGCTCGTCTGCGCCACGGGATTCGACACGACCTTCAAGCCCCGGTTTCCTCTGATCGGTCCTGATGGGAGTTCGCTGGCGGAGAAATGGGCAGCAGAGCCACTCTCTTATCTCGGTGTCGGCGCCCCAGGATTTCCAAACTACTTCATGTTCTTGGGGCCGAATTGTCCCATTGGGAATGGACCGGTGCTCATCGGTATCGAGACGCAGGCGGACTATTTCATGAAGTTCATCCAGAAAGTTCGGGAGGAGAATATCAAGTAAGGGCCCTTTCGCTGGACATGCCCCTGTCGTTTTCTGTCAAGGACTTGGTCACTGACTCGTTGCTTTGCTCAGGTCTTTCAACCCCAAAGAAGCAGCTGTGGTTGAATTCAAAGAGCACAAAGATACATGGATGAAACGGAGTGTGTGGGACCAAGAATGCCGCTCCTGGTACAAGAACCCCGCGGGACAAGTCACTGCCGTCTGGCCCGGCTCCGTCCCCCACTACATTGAGACGATGGAGCGGCCGCGCTTCGAGGACTACGACTGGAACTACCTGACGGCGTCGAATCGGTGGTCGTTCCTGGGGAACGGCTTCTCACAGCGCGAGGCACTGGGTGCGGACCTGGGCTGGTATATTCGGCAGACGGACGATGCTGTTCCTCTGGGGAAGAAGGAGAGGTTTGTCTTTACGCCAGGTACAGACGAGCACACGGTTCCGGCCGCGACGACGCTGGGGGCGCCTGTTAATCCGCCGGTCAATCCCCGCTTATGATTGCTGCTGCCAATAAGGGTTTTTGAGAATGTTGCTCTAGGTAGAATGTACAGGTTTGCTCAGCTAAACAGACGTCTTTTGTAGAAACCGGCCAGTGGGAATGCTGCCAGTGTGACAGTGACCTTGCACCTTCTGGTGATCAATAGACTCATCTCGGTCCTTGGTCTATGTACGAGTGGATGAATACTTTTACGCCTCCCCCGTTGCATTCACCCTTGGCTTCCTTCCAATACGTTGTCGACGCACTGCTCCAGCTAACGCATAGCCTCACTAGACTACCACATGCACATATCTCCCGTACATGGCCTCTGTAGCTCGAAATCGCCTAAAAGTTGTTCTCGTTCACAGTAAATCCGCTAGAAAAAGGTCAGCAAGGCATTGTCGCAACAGTCCGGGACAAGGTCTTACTTGTCGCAAACGAGATTTTGCGCGTTGACCAGGCTCATCTTGGGACTACACAGTAGCGCCACGGCGTCACCGATCTCCTCAGGCCATGCTGTCCGACCCTGTCGTGCCTCAAAGCCTGCCCAGGCCTCCGCGAGGCGTGGGTCACCAAGAGACCCGTCGGTGGCGGCCATCGAGGTATACACGAAGCCGGGAGACACGGCGTTGACACGGATATTCTTCTGTCGATATTCCAGAGCCGCCTTGATAATATGTCAGTTAGCCTCCCGGGAGCGTAGGCAGTGTACGTGGGCACTTACTGTCTTGGTCATGCCATAGACGGCATGCTTGGACGCAGTGTATGCGACGGTCGTTGAGCCGGACATGATGGAGTTGACAGAGGCGAAATTGACGATGGCGCCCCGCTGGGGGACTCTCCTGCCCTCGCTGTTCATTTGTTAGAAGAGGCTCGCCAAGTCATGGAGAGAACATTGACTGGTCGAGACGGATGGGGGTTTGCTTACAGGGTCAAAGGCTGTTGCTTTTCCATCTGCCGTAGTTGGAATTTCATGCAGATGAAGACCCCCAGGGTATTGATCTTCAGGCACTTATCAAAGGCGGCGGCGTCGACGGCGGTCGTGAATCCCAGAGGTCCCGCAACCCCAGCGGCGTTTCTGCTCCAAGGTCAATAGACTTGTCCTCGACGACGTCCTGATGGTTGATACTTACGCGGCGTAGTCAAGGCGGCCAAACTCTGCAACTGTTGCTTCGACCGCCTTCTCAACCTGAGCCTCATCGGTCACGTCGCACCTGATGGCTAGGCACTATCACAGCCCCGTCGGTCAGTTCTGCCCATGCTCGTCGTATTCCTGACTGTGTGTGCTTACCTTCGCACCCTCCTTGATGACCTCCTGCTTCGTAGCTTCCAGAACATCATCAGGGAGGACATCTACAATGGTAACACCCCGGCATCCTTCTCGTGCAAACGACAGGGCCACTGCTTTCCCGAGTCCGCGCGCTCCACCAGTAACGAAGGCGACTCCTGATGGCAACACCCACTGTTTTGACGGCGACATGGTTGATCAAGTCTCGGCACTTTCTCACATATACACTGGAGCGGGGAGTGTCCTTGGGACATGTCACTGCTGCATAACGCTTGGATTTAACAGTGTCAGTGATGTCTCTACACTCTTTCCGACGCTCTGGCCTGCGGAATAGTTGTACGCCACGACATTCCTAAGGGGATGTTCCCTTTAGGTTTACTAGCTCCACTTGCGACTTGCTTCCGGTGTCAGCCAAGAGCTCGGAATTAGGACGAGGAGGAGAACTAATTGCGGGTGGGGTGTGAGATAGCCTCGAGGTAAGAGGATCGAGAATCTATATACAATAACAACGGGTCATGGACACTTCTCATGGGAGATCAATCTGTGCTATCTACATTCAATCAAGACAGTTGCGGGCGTAATAGTTATACGATGGTTGCTGACCCTGCGTACCATATCCCGGACCAATGGCTCGAGGCGGAAAGGCCCGTCCGCATCATCTGTGCTGGTGCTGGGCCGGCGGGGATCCTGGCAGCGTACAAGGTGCAAAAGGACTTGCCAAATGCCAGCATCGTGTGCTATGAGAAGTGAGTGTGGCACTCTCTCGAATGAATAGAACTTGCACCTTCTGACACCCCGAACAGAAATCCCAGCATAGGTGGAACTTGGTAATTGCAACCCTGGAGCTCGAGACACTGGGCATCCGTGTCTAACGATCACAGGTACGAGAACCGCTATCCAGGATGTGCCTGTGATGTGTAAGTCTCCCCTTACCCCTGCAGCCAGCGCGGCCGTCTCGTTTGCTGATCTGTATCGACCCGCCCCAAAGTCCGGCTCATGCGTACACATATCCATTTGAGCCAAACCCAGAATGGTCCAGCTTCTATGCTGGCTCGCCAGAGATCCTGGAGTATTTCAAGAAATTCACGGAGAAATACGACCTCAACAAGTATATCAAGGTCAATTCCAAGGTCTCCAAAGCCATCTGGGACGACGAGAAAGGAATCTGTGAGCGCCTCGACTCGACAGCTCTTGGCCTGTATTCTAGGCTGATACATTGCAGACAACGTCACCATCGAGACCAAGGACGGGCCTATCGAGGATTGGTGCCATATCCTGATCAATGCTACTGGGTACCTGAATAGTTGGAAATGTGGGTTCCTTGATTCCTCGCCTCGCTCTGTGAGTTGAGCTGCGTGGGTAAGACAGAAACTGATTGATGGTAGGGCCTGATGTGAAGGGCTTGAACACCTTCAAAGGGACTTTGCTGCATAGTGCGAACTGGGACACATGTGAGCAGGGATCGATGGGTAATGATCAAGTGGAAATAGGGGCTTACTACTTTTTGCAGCGATCGACTGGAAAGACAAGAGAGTCGCGATTCTTGGGACTGGTTCTTCGGCAATTCAGATGGTGCCTCAGATCCAAAAGAGTGGGTTGATCTTCCTTGACTCTGGAGCCGTCCATGGTGCGTCCTTTGACTGACTTGCCCTCATGAAGCTGCCAAGTCGCTGGTGACATTCATGCGATCCGAGACATGGTATGAATCCTGTGGCATCTGTACGTATAGGCGCCCCGGTTAACCTAGTCGATCTAGGATTTCTCCCCCCGTGGCTGGCGACATTCTCCAAGCCGACAAGACCACCTCAACCGACAAAGAAGCAAGCAAGCGTCCTGAAGCACAATACTATTATACCGAGGAAGAGAAGCGCCGCTTCCGCGAAGATCCTGAAGCGCTGACCACGTACCGGAGGAACTTCGAAATTGAATTCAACAAAATGTTCGACATGTTCATCCAAGGCACCGACGCCGCTCGATTGGCCAAGGAGTTCATGACAGAGGAGATGAAACGGCGTATCGGCCCAGGGCATGAGGAGCTCAAGGAAAGAATGATCCCAAAGTGGCCGGTTGGATGTAAGCTTCCACATATCTTCTTGAGCCTGTAAGGCGTTTTGATATAGAACATGTCTAACCCAAACCACAGGTCGTCGAGTTACACCCGGTGATGGATACCTAGAGGCCCTTGTCCAGCCAAGTAAGTCAGTCTGCATCGACTCGTCACTCTTCCCAGCTAACCAGGGATCTCACATCAGACGTCCGCTACATCTTCGACGAGATCGAGGAGATTGTGCCCGAAGGTCTTCGCGACGCCAAAGGAGAGCTTCATGAAGTGGACATTATCGCTTGTGCGACCGGCTTCAACATCGCATTTACACCTTCTTTGTGAGTGTCTTGACTGGAAGAACCAAACTGTTGATCAATCTAACATACGTCGCGATAATAGTGAGATCAAGGGCGCTGGTGGCGTGGATATGCACGAGTTCTTTAACCCAGAGCCTCAGGTCTACCTCGGCCTCGCAGCTCCCAACTTTCCCAACTATTTCATTATCAATGGTGTCCGGGGCAACTGGGCGGCCGGAACGGTCCTTATTACTGTAAGTAATTGTGTATTGTCGGGAGGAAGTATATACTGATGGGGCTACAGCTCGAAGTCTCGGTCAACTACATTGTCGAGAGCGTGAAGAAGATCCAAAAGGAGAATATCAAGTCCATGGTGGTCAGACAAGAGTGTGTCGATCAGCTCTACCAACATATTGGTTCGTGCTCCCCCTGAATCTACAAGTGAATGTGCTGGAGTTGACCGATCGATTTACAGATGAATGGCACAAGCGATCCGTGTGGAACGCGGATTGCAAGAAGTAAGCATAACCTGTCCCTCACACTCCCTTTCCGCAGAGCTGGATATATGCTAACACTGATGATTTAGTTGGTACAAGCAGAACATCGTCGGCGGCAAGCTCTGGATCTGGGGCGGCTCGGTAAGCACGGCCTTCCTCCCTTTATCTGTATCGTCGAACTATTCTACTCACAATACTTTCGTTCCAGGGCTTGCATTACAACAAAACCATCCAGAAACCCCGATTCGAGGATTACACGTACAAATATAGAGACGGCAATATGTGGGCGTATCTGGGCAACGGCTTCACCGAAGCACAAGTCAACCGCGACAGTGCGCGGCTTGGGACGTACATGAGGGCCTCGGATACACCATTCGAGTTGTATTAGCATTGGGCATGAAAGACGAGCAGATCCCGAAGTTGAACATTCGAGATACAGAATATATGCTTTCGGAAGGCTGTAGCAAAAGAAGCGAGAGAGGATGAACGCGTAGAGTTGCAGGTTGAAGGATAATTCTCTTTCTTCCCGACAATAGTCGTCCTTGCGCAGTGCTTCAGCAATCTCTGATTTTACGAAATGAAGGACCTCCGCTTCTGCGGAGGGCAATACTTCCTCAGAACGATAGAGATGCCAACTCAAGTGGTTCTGGTGATAGACAAGACATTTGTATCGCTGTCTTGTGGACGACCGAGAACTACTCCACGAAGTCGTGGTCTCTTGTTCGCTGCTCGACCGAAACTGTGGCTGAACATCTCCCTCAGGCGTCCCTTGATTCGATTTGCTTTTAGAAATGGCAGTGGCTCACCAGGGCGTTCATCGGATCGGTACCAAAACAAGCTCAATCATATCAGTTGCATGGACTCTCACCTCCCAGACCGTGCTTAGAAACCCATGGCCGACATCAGGTGCTCATATCGGACAAACAACGCAGTGCACGACAGTTCGGAATTTTGCTAGTTTGTGTGGTTCTTGTGTCGAGTCTGCCTGAGCTCAACGGAATAAAGTGATTGGTCTAGGCTCCTAAATGTGGATCTATCCACCTTTGGTGGGGCTACTGGTAATATACCACAACTAACCCCCGATGCAGATGGACACGACAACACGATGGACAAGCACATGGACAAGATGACTGACGGGCAAAACATTTTCTCTAGAATTGTGACAGTGACCGCGTCATTCAATTCAACGGGTAAGCACCACATCCATCTAATGAGTCCCATTGGTCTGGACGAGGACATTCCCACAGGCGTCGTAATACTTGACGGCACCCTTTCTCTCGGGACGTTCCAATGCCCAGACGATAAGCAGGGGCTCGCTTCCGTGGTTCCTCAAACAATGAGGTGTCCCCGGTGGGAAATACAGCCCGTCCAGGTATCCGACCTCCTGATTTCCTTTGCCCAGGTTAACTATCCCCTTGCCGCCGACCACGACGTACACCTCGGCCGTTTCGTGACTGTGAGGCACCTGCTTGTGGCCTGGCAGCACGGTGGTCATTCCCAAGGCTAGCTTGTCACTCACCACCGACACGCCGGGGTTGAGGTCTAGAAACCCTTTGTCCCCTCCGACCCAGTTCACAGACCATCGCAGGAACTCGGGTTCTTTGGCCCGCGGCGCCGCCCACGAGGGATCCAAGTCTTTCAAGCTGACTGTGAGAATAGGATCCCGCGACGGAGCCCGATCAAGTTCTTCCTGCGTGTTACAGTAGACGGTCACTCCCTTCGCCTCTATCCCGTCGTGTAGCCAGACCAGCTCAACGTCCTCAAATCCGCAGTTGCGGACGCCATGCGGACGCCTTTGGGGATGTATATGCAGTCCATAGGCCCGGCCAGATGGGACCCTCCGTCAGAGTCGTAGCTTTGGACGTGACCTTTCAGGATGATATAGATCTCGGTGATACTGTGATAGTGTAGGCCTTCTTGTTGTTGCCCGATCGGGAGGTACATGTATCCGACGCCAATGTTTTCACCTGTAACTGCACGTCCAAGGCTGGGATTCACATATCCCGCGGGCCCGCCAACCCAGCTGATCAGCCATCGCATGAATCCGGGGATCTTTGCGCTGGAGACATGCCAAGATGGCTCAAGGTCCCGGAAGGGGATGATCGAGGCGACCTTGTTGGAGGTGACATCAGGAGACTCATTGTGTGACTCTTTCCCCATTGTTTAACGACTCTTGCAGTGTCCGTTCGATGCTGTAGAGAGCCTAACAGAGTGGATCCACTCACAGAGCCCCGTTCACAGTGCGTGAGTTGGCCAGGGAGACTAAAGTTGAGGAAGGCTGCTTTACCAATAGGGAGGAGATCGAGGAGACACACGCACGCTGGGACAGGCAATATCCCCTATCACAGACGAGAGAACGGCCAGTTGCTCATACGACACTCGGATACTGACACTGGATTGAAGATTATTTGTATAAGCTGTACGAGTATAGCGTCCCACGCCGCAAAACCTGTTGTCGGAATCGGGCATTGCTGGCGGAATAAGATCGGCCACTGACACCTTGGGTTTTCTCCAAACCCTCCGTGCGATACGACTTGTTGCCTGGGGAGGAGCAAAAAAGTGCCACTCACTGTGCTTCCGAGAACGACAATGTCTCCTGATCAGCTTTGCCACAAGGGGACCATCCAGCCCAGTGTCGCCCCTCGAAGTACTCGGCACAGCTGAAGTGATTGTGGCCCACATTCGTATTCCGCTTCGATATATGACTTCCCTGACAAAGAGAGATTCTGGTCATTGATGCCTCGATTACCCTGGAAACAACAATTCATTCGATAATGGATAATTCAACGTCTGTCCACGACACTTACCATCTCCTGCCCTTTGGGTTAGGGGCTCAGAATGACGGACGACGCAGTTTACTGGCATATGCTATTATTGCCGTGCTGGTCGTCGTCCTGACACGGGCATATTTCTCGCAGACAAAATTGCCAGATGTGCCGATGCTCAAGATCTCAAAGCTGCCCGGCGCTGCGGGAGCCGCTGAAGATCTTGCTCGGTACATCAAAAACGGAGCAGAGGTGATGCAGGTCGGTTGGGAAAGGGTATGTGTGCCCAATTCTCTCTTTGTAGCGAAACAGCGAAGAGGATCAGGCTAATCGAGGTTGGTGAAGTATTCCAAAAAGGGCCAACACTACTTGATGAGGTACGTTCCCACGCTGCTGCTACTACATCGCATTTGATATACGAAAGAATGAAATGCCAACATGGAAAATGCTACAGGACTCCGGGCTTCACAATGCTGGTCGTCGCACCCCGACTCACGGAAGAGATACGGTCTGCAGCCGATGACACGTTGAGCGCCGTCAAGGCGAACAGCGAGTTCATGCAGTTCCGCTACACGCTTCACAAATTCATGGAGACCGATCAGTACCACAATGTCGTCGTCCAGAGACAACTGACCCAGAATCTTGGTAAGAGCATAGCCAGGCCGAATGAGGAGCCCTCCTTGCTGACGAGTTTGCCTTCAGGCCCTAGTCTTTACGCTATCGTAGTAGGTGGTACCGCGAACGTGTGTCATGTTTGAGTACTAAACAGACTCCCAGGACGAGGCCAAAGGCTCTTTCAAAGACACTCTGGGCACATTCAAAGGTAAGAGCCCAAGACGAATCCATCATTATCACTCCCCGACATCTTTCTCTGTGAGTTAACTGACAGTGTCGGGCCCCCTAGTGCCCACCGACCTTACCATGTGGAATCTCAGCTTCGACATCGTCACCCGCACCGCCAACCGCCTGCTCTTTGGGCCGGAACTGGCCAAAAACGCCGAATTCCTTCGCTTGAGCGTCGATTTTTCCTTCATTATGTTCGGCGGCGCCGACATGATCCGCACGTACGCCGAGATCCTCAAGCCGCTGGTCCTGTACTGGAAGACGCCGATGCACAAGACGCTGAACCTGGCTCGCAAACATCTCGTCCCGGTGATCGAACAGCGCATCGCGCTGATGCAGCAACACGAGGCGGTGGGGACCATGGACGTGTGGAAGAAGGAGAAGCCCAACGACTGCATCCAGTGGGTTCTGGACGTGACGCCGCTGGAGAAGCGAGATCCCCAGATGCTCGTGTACCGCATGCTGCACATCAACATCGCGGCCGTGCACACCTCGAGCGTCACCTTCCTCGACTGCATCTACGAGCTCGCCGCGCACCCGGAGATCCACGACGAACTGCGCCAGGAGATCCTCACCACGTTCGCCGCCGAGGGGAACTGGTCCAAGCAGGGCCTCACCCATCTGCACAAGATGGACAGCTTCATGCGTGAGTGTGTCCGCTTCAACCCGGTCTTCTCGGGCAACCTCGACAGAATTGCCCTCAAGGACACCAAGCTCAGCGACGGGACGTTCGTGCCAAAGGGGACGTGGGTCACGGTCCCTTCGTACCCTATGTACATGGATGACGACTACTACGAGAACGCGCACGAATTCGACGCGTTCCGCTTCTCCAAGAAGAGAGAAAAGTCGGGACAGGAGACGGCGTTTTCGTTTGTCCAGACAAGCACGACGTATCTCCATTTCGGGTGAGTATTGTTAAACATCCACACACATCCACCCACAAATCTCTACCTCTTTCCTTTGTTCCCGCAGGCGTGAGAGAAGATGAGATAAAGTGCGCCTCGCTAACCTGTTGGCCTCCCCGTCAGTCACGGAAAACACGCCTGTCCCGGACGCTTCTTCGCCGCCAACGAGATCAAGATCCTGCTGGTCCTCACCCTGATGAACTACGACATCTCCCTGCCCGACCCGACCAAGAAGCCGGAGCCCGTGTGGTTCACAAAGGCGCGAACACCGAGTACCAAAGGCGTCATTCGCTGGGTCAGTCGGCCCGAGGTCCCCGACTTTGCGCGCTTTGAGTAAGGAGATTGGCGGATGTCTTGTTGAACCAGAGACACGGCGATTGGTGTCTTTTTGGACGGCGAGACAGCGAGGAATTCTATAGAGTTTCTTTTGAGTCCCTGCAATCGATATTGCCAAGGGGTCCGAAGGGTTGGTGAGGTCCAAGAATTGACGATATGAACGGAGCGGGTGTGGATGGAGATAGCGCTATTTTTTCGTAGTCAGAATATCCCTTTTGACGAGACCTTGAACCCGTCTTCTACTGGCAATCTGATTTTCATTTCCTTGAGGCTGGATATAATAGGATAATGCGGACTGTGATAGTGAGAACGTCGTGTCGATTGTGTAGGTCAATGCTACATCTTTCAAAGGGCTTTTTCTTCGCGATAGCAAGTCTCTAATCTCTTCTTTCCTTCGGCTGTTTCTTCCTGCCCATGCACCACGAAGCCATCAAGTCGTCGGATGGTAGCCACCGTGTCGATACTGCTTGAAGGTCTCGAACATGTCGTAGATCCCCTCGAAGCGGCGCGCCATCTCGATAATACAAGACGCACTCAGGGACAAGTTGAGGAGGCACCAAGGACGCGAACCGCTCTAGGCTTTGGGTGACCCCAACCATGCCCGATTAGGCTAGACTAGCGCAGCCTCATACCACTAGGCCGATTCCAGTCATGACCCCGCACAAACGCTGGACCCTAACGGAACCTCCATGATTCGTAGGCCTGTCTTTCTCTCCTCGGAAATAAGGATCTGGGTAGGATGGCAGGTTTCCGCTTTTCACCTTCACTTCACGAGTCGTTTTAGAGATCATAAGAGAGCAGCCCATTTCCTCGCGCGATGGATCCGTCCGTCTTGATGGCACAACCAGAAGTTGCTTCAACTCTATCAATAGCACTGGACGGAGCCAGACGTTCAACATTTACCATTGACAAAGGTTGCATACAGCAAGAACCATGTCCAACCCAGATACACCTCGCAAGATGAGGGCGGCGGTCTTCCAGGAGGCATGTGCCAGTAACGGTATACCTTCTTCAGAGCACATTTCTAAGCTAACCGCATTTTGTTTAGGTTGGGAAGCCAGTGGTGGTGACTGAGATCGATGTGCCTTCGATAGGGAACGACGAAATCCTTGTCAAGGTAGCCAGTGCGAGCCTGTGTGGCTCGGATCTTATTGTCTACAGAGGGTACCTCGGCCCACCGGCAGGACGCGTTGGAGGCCACGAAGCTGTCGGCCCTATTGTCCAAGGTGAGAGATTTTGTTTTCACTCCAAGGCTCTTTGAGGAGGCATTCATGCACCGGGCTTACCAATGCAAACCCTTTGGTCCGTCAGTCGGCAATTCTGTCAATGGATTCAAAGTCGGAGATCGAGTCGGCTTCCTGAACTGTTTGACCACGTGTGAGGCGTGCACTCAGTGTCTAGGTAATTATCACTTCCCCTGGACGTGCACGAGCAACGCCCATTGTAGCCCCCCGCGGCACGATGTTGGAACTGACCCGACCCAGCTGGACAACAACAGTTTTGTGAATCCGGAAAGATCAACCAAGGCTTTGACACAAACGGTTTCTTTGCCGAATATGCGCGGGTCAAGGCTCTATTTGCTGTCAAGATCCCTGACGGGCTGCCTCTCGAGCGGTAGGATATCTTGCCCCGAAGTCGTGTTTTTTTTTTTCACCGTCAACTAACCGTGGAGTGATGTCCAACAGACTCTCTCCACTGTTTTGCGCAGGAATTACAGCTTTCCGTGCCCTGAAGCAACTCGTGCCACTCCGGGCGGGTGTAATTGGAGTGTTTGGGCTCGGTGGAGTGGGCGTGTTCGCCGTCCGCTTTGCCAAAGCCTTGGGGTATCAGGTCCTGGGCTTTGACGTCTCGACTGAAGCCAGGGAAGCTGCGCATGGATACGGTATAGACGCTACGGTCGATGGTTCGGACGCAAATGCCGTCTCCGAAGCCCTCGCTCAATTCGACAAGTCGGCGGGGCTGGACGGGGCCATTGTTGCAGCTGGCGTGCCTGCGGCATATCAGGCTGCTATCAACTACACTGGATTCAATGGGTAGGAGACACTCCTCTCGCGTTAACCACAAACCAGCAAGGCTAACGCCACACACAGGACAATAGTGGCCGTGGGAGTGCCGCACACGGACGTAAGCATTACTATTTTACAATTTGTGAAGAAGAATCTGCGGCTGCAAGGAACCCAAAGCGGCACTCCGCTGGAGCTGAAGGAGATGATGCAGTTGGTCCAGGCACATTCAATCATCCCGGATGTAGACTTGTCGCCTCTCGATGCTCTTCCCGAGCTAGTGGATGCTTTGGCGACTGGTAAGATTACACGCAAAGTAGGCGTCGTTTTCGACAATACGCAGTCCAGTTAGTATGATAACGAGATATTCCGCCGGTTGGGGTGGGGGGCAAAGTCCTGGCAGAACGGACACAACTTCATCATTGGCTCTGCTGTAGAAAAGGTTCTGTCTCTCACCATCCACCTAGAAGGTTTTCAGCCGGATGCGAGACTCTGTTTTCGATTCCTCAGAAACAGCTGAGGCGCAATTCCCATAAACCCCCACCCAATTACCATGACATAGGCACCATCCAAATAATCTTTCTCATTGTCGTACAGAGCGACGAGGAAGAGAGGCTCGGAGAAGGTCGCTCAAGTGGACCTTTCCCGGCTCGATTCTGGGGAGGCCAGAACCGGAATTGGCTCGCCACGTAGGACAGCCAGACTGCCGGCCGAAGCAAAGACGGGACCGCTTCCCACGTCGTTGCAGTCATTAAATGGACAATATACGGCCCCGTAATGGGGTCACATAGGTTGTTAGGAGGAATCACAAGTCATCGCACAAACTGATACTACCCATGGCACTCTCGTTGACAGGGAAATACGTTATCGTGACAGGCGGCACCAGGGGCATTGGGTATGCCGTTGCCAAAAAGCTAGCATCGAGAGGCGCAAAGGGGGCAAGTACTGCAATATGATGCTGCACATATGGCACCACCGCTGACAATATTTCGTTGACAAGGTGGCCTTTACATACAACTGCAACCCTTCACAGGCCGAAGAGGTGGCCGCGGAGATCAGGAGTCATGGATCTGAAGCATTGGCCATTCAGGGCGAACTGAAAGACCCCAATTTCGCACAGTCGGTTCTGGACAGTGTCCTCCGCGGATTCAACACGCGTACGATTGATGTTCTGGTCAACAACGCAGCCTTGACGGGGTTAAATGATAATCTGCCGGTCAAGGACGTTACCATCGAAAACTTTGACGACGTCTTCCACGGCAATGTTCGGGCACAGATGTTCCTGATGCGAGCGGTGCTGGAACATCTTCCGGAGAAAGGGGGCAGAATCATCAATGTCAGTTCCATCGCCGCGAAGAAGGCCTCGCTTGAACCATATGTAGTGTATGGGGCGTCGAAAGCTGCTCTGGAGTCTCTCACGCGCTCCTTCGCGATGGAGTTTGCGTCCAAGTACGGATGCACAATCAACGCCGTCACTCCTGGGTTCACAGTTCACGAGGACATACTGAAACGCATTCCCAAGGAGACCCTCGAGCAGGCAAATCAGCAACAGAATGTGGAGAAGCGATTCGGAAACCCCGACGACGTCGCTGAGGTCGTAGCATTTTTGGCTTCCGAAGAGTCGCGTTGGATCAACGGCAATTGCGTTCCGGCTAACGGTGGCGCCAATATAGCAGCAGAATAGACAGATCAATGGTAGTGGAGCCGGGATAGAGTCCACAGACCCTTTCCGTCCGAGTCAAGAGATCCGTACTAGAGAAGAAAGTCAATTGTCCCATGTCACGATCACGAGTGGGAGCAAAGGCGTGCCGAACGCTTTGCAGCAAGCCACCTCTCTCCAGCGATCGCGAAGGAAAGAAACACTACTTGCCACGGCCGCGGGTGATTTTCTTCAATCAGAAGCAATATCCGCTTCCATGTCCATGTTCATGTCGCCGGTATAGCTGTTGCATCGTTGCAGGCCATACCCGTATTTAATTCCGGTAATCCTCCTTTCGTCGTGGACCCCGACGGTTGATGGTCCCGTTGGAGTCGGAATCAATGGGATCGGTGGCGGATGACTCGCGATATCCAGTTGTTCACTGGTGAGATTGTGCACACATATGATGAGTTGCTGTCCCCGAAGATCACGAGTTGTCGCTCAAGTGGTGGTGGATAGTCACATTCGACCATGTCAGGAGAAACTGGTTTCAGCGCACTGGTAACCGGCGGTGCATCAGGCATAGGAGCCGCTGTTAGCAGGAAACTCGCCTCCCGCGGCATTAATGTCTTGATAGCTGATGTGCAAGATGAGCTGGGAGAGAAGCTGGCTCAAGAAATCAAGTCCGCCTTCAAGGTAGAGGCTGTTTACCTCCACACAGATGTTTCAAAGGAGGCAGACATTCAGAACATGATTGCGACTGTGGTGGAGAAGTTCGGCCGCCTGGACTATGCCGCCAATGTGGCCGGCATCTGTGAGAACACACAGTTTGAAGAGCACAGCATTACTGCAGAGATGGTCGACAGGTATGTGCACGGCCCACAAATCATGGCAGTCTCGAAGCTAAATCGATTATCATCCGTGACTGCAGGACGTACTCCATCAATCAACGGGGTGTATGGCTCTGCCAGAAGCTAGAGGCTGAGCAAATGATGACCCAGGAGCGTCGCGCTGTTGAGTTCTCGCCACCTTCGCCACAAAGCATTCAACCCCAGCGCGGTGCAATCGTCAACGTGGCCTCAACGACGGCAGTCGTAGGTATGGGGTTTGGCGCCTATGCTCAGACCAAGGCCGCGGTGGTCACTATCACGCAGAACGGCGCCTTCTTCTATGGGCCTCAGGGAGTTCGTTGCAACTCCATCTCTCCAGGAGGCACCGTCACTCCGATGATGTTGAGGAACGTACCCGAGCAGTTTAGGGGGACCGATACTCACGAACAGCCGGGTAACGTGCTTGTGCAGCCGATTGCATTGAAAACCATGGCAAGGCCCGAGGAGCAGGCGAATGTGATCAGCTTCCTTTTGAGTGCGGAAAGCAGCCAGGTCACCGGCGTCAATATCTTGGTTGACGGCGGCTTCACGTTCACACGCTCCGGATGAACCGGGACGTTACCAATGTAGAAATGGCAGTTATTTGCAAACACTCAGCGGGATTAAGTCCAGGTAACAGCATGCTCGTGATATGTCGGTTCCAATTAGCCAAAGACAGACAGTTCGTGAACTGGGGCCGATATAGAACATTTTCTGATGTATATCAATGCCGACTGTTATTTCTCACTCGTGACTGAGCGTGCGACCCTCACAAGCACCGCGGAATACATCCATGTCGAGCAATCGATGCTAACACAGTAAGGCCCATTAGAATTCCGAGGAAGGGTGGCGGAAGTTTCGCAGAGGCGGTGCTTCAGTACGAGGATGGCGGCACAAGCAGCAGCTCGCCCATTTCATCCGTACTCGCTGATCATAAACTCTCCCTTCCTTGCTTGGTCAACGCAAAGAGCTTCTCTCCCTCCCCCATCTTCCAAATTTTGCAAAGTGTACAGGACATAGTGCCATCATGCCTCTAAAAAACCAGCAATATTCAAAATTCTCAGCCGAGTTTGAAAATTTCCTCAAAGGACAGACCGAGGGAAATCCACTTGCAGCTCTTCCTCTTAAAGAAGTACGAGAGGCCGTTGCAAATGCAGAATCAGCGCTTTGGGACCGAGACAGCGAGGGGATCAAATGGAGGGAACTCAGCATTTCGGCACCATCAGTAGGATTGGAAGTTCCAATCAGGATATATGAGCCAAGTCCCTCGCCACAGGAGCTCCCAGGTCACATTGCCTTTATGATTCACGGAGGTGGATGGTCCTTGGGTGGCACCTACTCGGATTCCTACGCGGTACGTGCCCTTGTGAGGAGGCTAGGCATGGTTGTCGTCACGATCGGGTACCATCTCGCCCCAGAGAATCCCTTCCCAGTAGCGTTGAATGAGTGCTGTGACGCTCTCCAGTGGATCTGCACTCAATCAGGACTGGTAAAATCGCCTCAGCAGAAACTTGTCATGGCTGGATTCAGTGCTGGGGGGAATCTATCAGCAGCAGTAACACAGTGGGCGTGCAGAAACCGCTTGGCTCGCCACATCGCAGCGCAGGTTCTCTTTTCGCCTGCCACCTGTCACTACAAGCAGCTGGCACATGCCAGCCACGCCTTCAACACAGAGCTGGAGTCAATCAACAACGCAACCTCGCCTTTTCTGTCGCCGGAGCAGCTCAAAGGCTTCTGGGACATATATGACGCAGCAGATGGGAAAGACTCAAGGGTGTCGCCTCTTCTGGCCGAAAACCTGTCCACTCAGCCTCCAACTTATATTCAGGTCTGTGGTGCCGACCCTCTGCGCGATGAAGGCCTCGCCTACGCGGAACGATTGCAGAGGGCAGGCGTGGAAGTCGGAGTCGATATCTATGCGGGGATGCCGCATGCTTATCACAGTGATTTGATCGCTATTCCAGGGCGCGGGAGAACTATGGATGACTTGGTAAAGTGGTTGAGTCCCGTCTTGTCGCCGCGAAACATTTCTGAGGACAGCATCAAGTCACAGTTATCTTGAAGGGATTGCTGTTGGTGCGCACTGGGATGCGGCCCACTGCCTGCAGTCGAGGGTGGCACGAGGGTGGTAGGACTTAGTCTGTGGCTATAAGCAAAGGCGACCTACAATGGCCGCTATGACCGCGATCTTGAGTAAACAGAGTTGAAATCGACGTGCCACTTGAGGAGAATGTGGAAAGCATGAGCTCCTTTCCCCTTCCGGCTGACCTCAACCTCGGGGCAGCCCAGCCGAGCTTAGGTTGTTTGCTGTGTTTGTTATGTTTGTTATGTTTGGTCAGTAGGCCGTTAGGACAATTCTACAACTACTACTACATGAGTCTCAGTTTCGCAACAGCTTCCCCCTTTCAGCATGACCATATTATGATTTGATTTAGCGAAGGGACTTCTCCTGTCCCATGACTCGGTGGCGAGTTACTATTTGAAGCCCACGCTTGTGCCGTCTTGTGCTGCACGGTGACCAATGTATCGCCGAGTCTCGATACGTACAACTTCATTGGCTCCTGAACTGCCGTTCAGGGATAGACATGACCCTTCACCTCAGTGACGAGAGTATCACCAGTGAACGAGAATCTATCAAGCACATCGAAAACCTTACCGTGTACGGAATCTCGGAAGTGAAAGACTGAGAAAATCAGGCAACTACACAATCTTAATTCCGAAAAAATCTGCGAGCCCGCTATGCGGATGTGAAGGATCAAAGGCGCTGGAACATGCTCTCTAGGGCAGCGAGTCCAGAGGGGACCCGTCGGGCCCAAAACACCGATAATGTCCCTTAAAACGAAATCAAGCCCAGCGCAGTCCGCTCATCGCATGCCGTCCCGTTCAGTCGTCCTTGTGCTATAACAACCAAAGGACAATACCTCCGAAGCTCGAACTCCACGCACACCACGCCTCTGAAGATTTCAATACCCGACTGCTCAAGATGCTGAAACAAAAAGACAGTTCCCGACCCATCGCGGTTGCAGGAGCCTCGGGGGGTGAGCAAATCTCGTGATTATCTGCAGGAACACAGTATGCTAAACATGGATTTGTAGGTGCCCTAGATCGATTCCGAGGTCTGACAGACCTCTCCAAGCTTCCTGAGATCGACGTCATTGTCGGTGACTGGATGTCCGAAGCCAACATGACCATGCGTGGAGTTGAAGTCGCCGAGCTGAAGAAGAAGAAGGCAAAGTTGGATGGCCAGGTCGGTACCGTGTCTGAAGTGAACGGGGATAGCATCTCAGAGTTGGGTTTCCTCAGCAGGAGCAGAGGAGGGTACGACCCTTATTTCTTGGAGCAGCTCGAGCCTGCCCTCGAGAATCTCGCGGCGAATGGAATCCGTCTCGCCTGCAATTCAGGCGGCAGTAACCCCCGTGGACTGGCCGAGGCAGTGAAGAGCTTGGTCACTGCAAAGGGCCTCAAGCTCGACGTTGCGTGGGTCGACGGAGATGATGTTTCCGATGTGACTTTGGACCTCTGGGCCAAGGGTGAAAGATTCCCTGGCTTGCCTACGGGGAAAGACATCCAAGATTGGCCGTTTGATCCCCTGTGTGCTCAATGCTATCTTGGTGGCGTCGGTGTCGCCAAAGCCTTCGAATCCGGTGCTGCAATCGTCATCTGCGGCCGTATAGCGGATGCCTCGGCTCTGGTGGGTGCTTGTATGTGGTGGTTCGACTGGCGAAGGGAGACCCATATACAAGAGCTGGCGGGCGCTTTGGTGGCTGGTCATCTCACGGAATGTAGCACGTACGTGACAGGTGGCTGCTATGCAGGTTTCAAGGAGTTAGGTACCAAAGATGTCGACTTGTCCTTCCCGATAGCTTGGATCGAGTCCAATGGCGAATTTGAGCTGGGCATGGAACCAGGACATGACGGCAAGGTCACTGTTGACACTGCAGTCACGCAGCTCCTGTACGAAATCCAGGGCCCGCTATACTTCAACTCGGATGTGGTCGCCAACCTGGAAGGTGTCCAGATGCAACAGATAGGACCGAATCGCGTTCGAGTCACTGGTTTCGAAGGTCTCCCGCCTCCGCCGACTACGAAAGTCGGGATCACTGCGCGAGGAGGGTATCGAGCGCAGTTCCATTACTACCTCACCGGGCTCGACGTGGATGAAAAAGCTGCGATGATCGAAAGACAGACTAGGCACATGATGGGGGAAAATCTTCGCAAGTTTCATTGTCTGTCCTTCAACCTCGCCGGTCGACCCGCAATAAACCCTCGAAACCAAAATGAAGCAACAGTGGACTACCGCATCTTCGCCCAATCAAGAGACAAGGATGTCATGAACATGTTCGGGACGTGGTGCAAGTCTAACATTCTCCAGAGCTACCCTGGAGGAACTCCACACACGGACGTGAGGACTAGCCTTCCGAAGCCCTATTTCGAGTACTGGGTGTCCCTCCTGCCACAAGAAAAGGTTCATCATCAGGTTCACCTCGCTGATGGATCATCAGTCACGATTCCTCCGCCGCAATTGACTCGGGTGTATCCCACGCAACAAAAGTCTTACAACACTCCTCACCCGGTTCCTCTGGATACATTCGGGGCCACCGAGAACTGTCCCCTCGGCTACAGGGTTCTCGGTCGATCTGGCGACAAGTCGTCCGATGCCAATGTTGGGTTGTTTGTCCGGCACGACGACGAGTGGGAGTGGCTGAGATCATTCTTGACCATTGACAAGGTCAAGGAACTACTGGGGGAGGACTACGTCGGGAAGCCAATCGACCGCTTTGAGATACCAGCCCTTCGAGCGGTGCATTTCCTGCTGCGAGACCACTTGGACCGGGGATACAATTCCTCTTCCGGCTTTGATACCTTGGGGAAGAACGTCGTGGAGTACCTGCGAGCTAAATACGTGGATATTCCGGTTACATTCTTGCAGCGAGGGAGAATCTGATATTGGCGGAACTTGGCACGGGCGAAACCAAAGGATCAAACACCTTAGCTATACCATCAGATACTGGAGATTTTCCGTGCTATGCGAGACTACATCATTGCCTTGTTCTGCCTGTTATCTGTACCTCTACCTCTTTTTCCATGGTGGGTCTACATGCTTCTGCGACTGCGACTGCGACTTCGACTTTCCGAGGCCAGCCACGGAAAGAGTTTCTGTCCCGGAAACGAAGGGTGTTGGGACGGTCCCCTCGAGTCCCCCTACCGAGGTAGACGTTCCAGTCGTACGCAGCGTCCCTCGGAACACGGACGTACATGTGTATAAACGGGTTTACACCCGAGTGCGCCGTTGTTGACATTTTCAGAAGTTGAACGCGCATTACATTGCATTGAACCCGTCGCCGGCCGCTCAGTAATCTCCCTCCGATCGCCCATCCGGATCGGACCATTCGACCTGCACCCCTTGAGCTCTTGAGCCCGGTTGCCCGAAGCGAGAGAAATCCAAAGACAGACAGAAAAAGAAACAATGACCGTCACGCAAGTCTACGTACTCTACAAGGCCCCGCACCTCACGGCGGACCAATTCAAGCACCACTACGAAACCAGCCACGCCCCGCTCGTCCGCGAACTGGTCGGCGACAAAGCCGAGCTGCCCCTCCTGTACAAGCGGCACTACGTCGTCAAGCAGGGCGACGCTCCTCCCGCGCCCGGAGTGGCCTCCGTCGACTTCGACGCCATCACGACGCTGGTGTTCCGCGACCAGGCTGCGGCGGACAAGTTCGCCGAGGTCATCACTCGGCCGGGGAACAAGGAGCGCGCGGAAGCCGATTCGGCAAAGTTCCTCGACCTTAGCCGTGGGGGGGCAGTTCTCGTGGAGACGTCGGAGAAGTTTTGAAATGGGAGGTCTGGAGTCATTCGTCTAGTAGATAGACGAGGCCGGTTTGTGCGGACGAATGTGCATAGGGTACAATATAGATAAGAATCATCCAGGTGCCATGTCCGTCTGGACCCTTCTTGCCTTTGGTCTGGTCCGTCCTGTACTGTAGTGGGGAAATACCTTGGGCAGGCGGCAAGTCCTCCCCACAGACAATGTTGTGAGCAGTGACAGAGTAAAGGGCGTGGCCACCCTTGGGATTGGTACGAACCCCCTCGACTATGAGGGACACATGTTGCGCAGATCATTACTCCCTGGTCCCTGCTTCGCCTTTGTGCTATGTCCTCGATCTCACAATATCGCTTAGACACACAAAAGTGACGCGAGACATAGAACAAGGTATATGGAGTACAGCAGAGGTGATCATACAAGGTTCAAATTTATTGCCTCCTACAGCAATCCACACTCTATCTAAGACCTTTCCCTCCGACTATCAATGCGACACCTCCCACAAAGGAGGGGGGGCGGGGGCCAGGGCTTATACTTCATAAGCTGGCGTCTTCTCCTCAGACATGATCTCGCCGGAAGCACTTGTGACCTTCTCCCCACCTTCGCTATGAAGAACGGCGGCGATTTTGTCGTTTAGCGTCTTGTCGACATTCGGGGTGAAGAAGGAGCAAAACAACCCAATGACTCCAAAGGCAATACTGACCAGGTAGACTGGGCGGTAGGAATTGACGCTGGCGACCTTGTACGCTTGCACACCGGTCGCGATGATGGCATCAGTCACACCTGGGACTTGTGAGAATGCGTCCGGTGTGCCGGCCTGGAGGGCCTGTAGGAACGAAGCTACGCTCGACGCGGGGAGACCGTCGTTGAGCACAGCCGCCGAGACGGTCGCGGGGACTTTGGTCGTCAACCCGTTAGTCAAGACGGTGCCGTACACGACCGTGGCAATGGCCGATATTCCCGTACGGATGGCGGCGGCTAGACCCCCAGCGGCGCCGATCTCTTGCTGGTCGTCGATCACGATGGTGGAGTTGAGCAGGCTGATGATCTCGACCCAACCCATGAAGAAGTTGGAGAGGAAGACAAATGACGCAATCACTGCCATGTTGTTCACGGTGATGACGGCACAGCCTGTTCACAGAGAGTCAGCAATCTGCTATTATCAAGTACGAACACCTGAGAAAAAAGGGGGGGGGGGGTGGGAGGGTTCCACATACATGCTGTCAGGAGAGCACCGATGAAGAATGCAACAATGGTTTGTACTTTGTGCTTAGGCAGCCTCCCCACGATTGGACCGCCAATCACCTCGCCGCTGATGCTACCTAGTCCAGGCAGGCAAGCCAGCAAGGCCGCCTTGGTGCGGTCGCCGTTGGCGTAGAGGACGGCAGTCTGCTGCGGCCAAATGATGGCGGCTGGGTAGTAGCACGACGCGGCCAAGCCCAGGGTCACCGCGACCGAAAGCCACGGCACGGTGAAGATGTGCAGGGGCGCCAGAGGCTCCTTGAGGTTGGCGAAGCGCTCCCAAGCAAGGAATGCACACATGGTCAGAAATCCCAGGATGATCATCAGGATCGTGGGCGCCGACTTCCACGCAAATTGAGTGCCGCCCACGGAGATGCCGAAGAGGAAGACCACAAACCCCGAGGTGAGGAGGAACGAGCCGACGTAGTCGAAGTTCTTGATCCAGTGCATCTTCTTGTCCGTGCCGTGCTTGATCTTGAAGCTGGGCGGATAGTAGAACAGCGTCCACAGGATCAGGGCCAGCACGTTGTACCCGAGCAGGAGATAGTAGACGGAGCGCCAGCCCACGGAAGGGTTGACCTCGGTCAACTTGAGGGCGATGATGGGACCAAAGCCAGAGCCCGTGTAGGTGATCAGGTAGAGACTTCCAGTGGCGAAGTAGCGGTACCTCATCGGCACCAGCTCGCCCATGACAAAGTGATACGATAGCTGAGTCGACGTGGCCACCCCGAGGAACACGTTGCCGCCGATCAGCGTGGGTATGCTCTGCGCCCTCGCACAGACGATGCTGCCCATGGTAGCCAGCACCGCGCCTCCAATGAAATAGTACCGTCGTCCAAAAATGTCCGATAGCCTCCCGACAATGGGGAACGTGACGGCCGTGGCAGTGTTGTAGACGTACGATATCCAGATATAGTTCGGATCGGGTCCAATGTCGGCGTTGATCTCACCAAGCAACGGAGCCGCGTAGGCGAATGCGCTGACGCCCGCAAGCAGAGCCACAGCAGCAGCAGCGTAGGTGCCGATGAAGAACTTGCTGTAGTAGTAGTTCTTGGGGAGATGGTCGAGATCCGTAACGAATCCCGTCGAATCCACCTTCTGGACACCCTCGTGGCCCTGATCGTGGTTGGCAGATCTAATTTCATGGTGTTGTGGCTGTGAGGCCATTGTCTTCTCGCCGCTCAATACTTCTGGCTCCATCGCCGCTGCTGGTACGCCACCGCAGGTAGCAGGAGTATGTCAGGGAGAGGAATCGTTGGAGCTCGAGCTCCGTTTAGGGGAGAGAAAGGGAGGAATGGATTTGAACAAGATAATGCGATGGAGCAGGGGATCTGGACTCGAGGACTGGCCAGTACGGGGTCTGGGGAAGGCTAATATTATACTATGCCTTTGTGCATCCTTGTTCGCATTGAGTAATGCTTGTCGACTTGAAGCACCCACGGAATTAACGCTGTGATGGATGGCCTCTTGTCCGGAATTTGGCGGGCAGAATCGCAGCAAACGATGTCTCTTCTACACCCATAAGAGTAGTCGAGATGTATAGTGACCGATCATCTACATAACTTTTCACCCGGGAAAGCACATGTCAAATGCTTCTGGTTGTGCCAAAGCACATATATCTCAGATCTCAGCTCCCAGCCTCATTGGCTCGGTCACCCGTGAGCACCTTTCTCCATCCGGCCTTTTCTGGCATAGGTATTCGTTCATTGTCCGACACCGCGTCATAGTTTCGGTGAATATATCGCAATATAGGCGGAGAATACATGTATATAATCGCTCATTGTCTTTGAAGCTGTAACTGCGGTAGATGTTGCCTCAGGCTGTCGATTCCCAATGCGGAAGGTGCTTAGTAAGCCAGAAGCTACCGATGCTTCTATCTGAAGACATCCACTGCCCGACTGCTTAAGACCGTCCTGCGTTGTATAGAGATGCCGCTGTGATTTGAAAGTCCACTCATATACTGATGTGTCCTGTAGGACGAGGAGATATGCTAGACACTATTATCTGACTGGCCCGATACGGGACTATTCACCCAGAAAACGGCATTACTACGGAGCCTTGACGTGGAAGAAGATCTCGAGCAGCCCATCACCTAACTCTGGGAAGATACTCCTCGATACCATACGTGCCGAGCTAAGCGCCGATACCCAAGCCTCCACGCCATCGTCGATCGATCCATGGTCCACCACCCATTCCAGGACACGGGAAGGCTCCTCCATAGAATCCTGGAATGCTTCCTCGTGGTGAATCATTCAGCCTGTAGCCCGTAGGATAGACATCGCACATCGCACCGAAGAGACGTTTTGATTGGAGGACAAGGCATCACGTCTAGAAAGGCGTGCAGCTCGACTGTCGCCTGGATGGTCGACTGAATTCCTCCCGGAAATATCTTCTTTCCGGGAAACTCGGGACCCCAGGGCACACAGTGGCCCGTCGTCTTCATGTGCTCTGAACGAGGAACTAAATGACGACGGGGGCGGGGGGTATTACTTAACGGTAACGCGAAAGGGCAAATAGCAGCCTCATATATATCGCTTGAGTCGAGGCGACAGTGAGGAGATATTCTCGGCGTGTATATTGCCCCGTCGTCAACATAGAGAACATCTCGGTGCTTAGAAGTACCACATTCGAGTGACTAAGAAGTAGGGCTAAAGGACGGAGAAAATATGGGTGACCAAAAATACATCAAGAACGGCGATTCAGGACGAAATGCCATAGAGACGCGCCTCTTCATCGACAACGAATTTGTGCTCCCCAAAGCCGGCAAGGCCTTTCAACTGGTCGACCCTGCTACCAACCAAGCGACCGTCTGGGTGTCCGAGGCCGATAAAGACGATGTTGACCGCGCCGTCGCGGCAGCTCAGCGCGCACTGGGGCCTTGGTCCTCCCGTGCAGGCCTGGACCGCGCGACATTCCTCCTCAAACTCGCGGATCTCCTAGAGAGGGACAATCATATCCTAGCTCGCCTGGAGGCGATGAGTATGGGCCGACCTGTGAGTTCTTATGGTAAGTATGTCTCCGACAAGACCGAACAATGGGGTCCTGGTTGCTGACGATACGTAAACAGCCGAGGGGTTCGGCGCTGCTAGGTACTGTCGGTACGTGGCGGGTCTTGTACCCAATGTGCGAGGCGAGTCCTCCCTGGTGACCGAGGGGTTTATCAATATCACCCTGCGCCAACCGTACGGCGTGTGCGCGGCCATCACGCCGTGGAACGCACCCATCACGATGTTGACCTTCAAGGTGGCCCCGTGCGTCGGGGCTGGCAACACGCTGGTAGTCAAGACGTCGGAGAAAGCTCCACTCACATCGCTGCACTTCGCGAAACTGGTCCGCGAGGCAGGGTTCCCTGCCGGCGTGGTCAACATCCTCAGCGGGTTCGGCGAACCCTGCGGCGCCGCGCTTGCCGCGCACATGGACGTGCGCAAGATCTCCTTCACGGGGTCTGTCGCAGCCGGACGCGCCGTCAAGCTTGCAGCAACGCGGTCCAACTTGAAGGAAGTGACGCTGGAGCTGGGCGGGAAAAGCCCCATGGTGGTCTTTGACGACGCGAACGTCGTGCGCGCGGCCGAGGCCGCCGCAAGGACCACCACGTTCAATTCCGGCCAGGCGTGCACATCTTGTCAGAGGGTATACGTGCACCGCGCTGTGGTGCAACAGTTCCGCGACCTGGTCGTAGACAAGACCCGTCAGCTCGGGACGAACGCCACGCCTGGAAGCCACCCGCTCGACACGACGACCAAGCACGGTCCGCACCCGGACCAGAAGCAGTTCGACCATATCATGAAGTACATCTCGGCGGCACAGAGCTCGCAGTGCGAAATCCTCCTCGGCGGCAAGCGCGAAGGCACGCGCGGCTTCTTTATCGAGCCGACCATTATCTTCGAGCCGGACGAACATAGCCCGATGATGCGCGAAGAAATCTTCGGCTCGGTGCTCTGCATCAGCACCTTCACGGACGAGGACGACGTGTTCCGCCGAGCCAATGACTCGGAGTATGGCCTCTACGCGAGCGTGTTCACGAGGGATCTGGCCCGCGCACTGAGGGCGGCCAAAAGGTTCGAGGCAGGAAATGTCGGTTTGAACGTCGCGAGCCCGTTTCAGACCCAAGACATGCCGTTTAATGGGTGGAAGCAGAGCGGGTCGGGCAAGGAGCTCGGCAAGACCTGCGTGGAGGACTGGACTGAGACGAAGACCTGCTATATGTCTCTTGAGACTTGAATACTTGCAAATGTTTGACGGTTGAGACAAAGTACAATGATATATCTCGGCAGATCGGGTTCTGTAAACCAATATACAGATGTCCTCAATCGAAAATTATCCGCCCCGGGAGTGTGCCAGCCAGCCTCGCCAGACTCCCAACACCTACTGTGGCATTTCCTATCTAGATTCTGTTCGTGCATAGACATCTCCGTCTCTCTCTCCTCTCACCTTCGTCTTCCGCTTGGCTGTGTCGTGAAAACGAGCAAGAGAGACAAAACATGGGAATAAAAAGGCTGGTAATTAATGCTGAGTTTGCGGCTGAAGTTGCTGCCACGTCTGCGTCTGAGTGTGTGTCCACGTCTGCTGCTGCTGCTGCTGCTGGGGTTCTGGCTGCCATTGCTCCTGTTGAGGCTGCGACCAAGTCTGCTGCTGCTGAGATTGTCCGTTGGGACTGTTACCCAAGCTCTGGATCGCGCGTCCCAAGGCTGAAGGCACCGAGAACGGGTCGATCCACTGGTACAAGTCGACATTTTCGGCGTCCTGTTGCGGCGCCAGAGTCGTCGTGCCGTCGTCGGCCCACAGTGCTGGGGAGCTCTCCGAGGCGTGGCCCTCGGCGACGTTCAAGTATGTGGCGAACTCGGGGTAGATATGGACGAATTTGGGTTTCACCATGATGTTGGCGACGGAGTCGATCTCGGCTTGAAACTCCGGGTCTAGGATCAAGTCGGTATGGTCGTCGTTGGGGCCGAGGAGCGAGGTGAGGTTCGCGTTCCATTTGGGGTTGAGTTTGAGAGATGCGAGCATGGTCGAGAGCAGGTCGGCATCGCGGTAGTCTCGGTAGATGTGGATCATGCGATCTCGCATAAATGGCCAGGGGATAAAGTCAACCCAGCTCGGATGGGGGTGCACAAATTGCGAAGGCACAGGCCGATACCAAGGCGGGCAACGTGCCAGGTTCTGCGGCGTGGGAAATACCAAAAGCTAAAAGACAATGAGAGCTCTGTCAATATCTGAAAGCATCATAGGCGACAGCATGCGAAGTGGGGGGGACGGGGGGACGAAGACGGAATCTTGGAAACCACCAAGCATCGACAGCGAAGGAGCTAGAGACTTACGCATAGAGTCCGGTAGACCCCCCAAAACATGAGCACCCGTTCGGCAGGCGAGTTGTATCTCCAAGCCCGCGTCGACTCTACAGCGAGAGCGATCATCTGCCTGCGCTTGCTTCCGATAACATCGAGGAGACAGTGACGAGTGGTGGCGCCTGGAGGCCTCACCTCTTCGACGGAGAGACCCAACAACTCCGCGATCATCAGGTAGAAGAAGTCTGGCAGACGCACAAGCCTTTCGAGCGTCTCCTGGTCGCGAATCTGGCTCGGCGGGAGATCCGAGTGGATGAGCTCGCACGCGAGGCCCATGACTGAGTTCGGGTGTGACGAGGACTTGCTCTCAAATGAGTCGCGCCACTTGGGGATGGCGGCGAGGATCTCTTGATCGGAGATGGTCATATTCTGGGATTCGAGCTGCATGACTCGGCCGATGCCGAAGAAAGGCGAGGGCGTGATGTGAATGCGCATGCGGGAGTCGATCTCGACGTCGGCAGGGCTGCGCTGCCAGTGCATGCTATCAGGTGAGCTGGCAGACGGTGAGGGCAAGGCCGAAACCATGGCAGCTCGTCCCGTGGTTTCGTCCTTGGGCTGTTTCTGCCGTTGCATCTGTCTGGTGAGGATATCGCGCCCTTCTGCCTTATCGAATCCAAATGCCCCCATGCATGTGTCCAAAATGCCCTGGAGGCAATCCCGCTGGGCTTGGAATTCGGCGTTGCTCTCAATGAGGGACATGATGAGGCGATCAGGTGTTGCCATCAGGCGAAGGCGCTCCTCCAGCGTCGCCACCGTGTCTTTTACTTTGCTGCGAGTTTCCCGTCGCGACTGGCGATCCTGTAGACGCTTTCTTTTCAGCTGATCCTCGGTCAGCTTGGACTTCCAGGAGTTGTAAGCTGTTCCGGAGTTTCCATCATTCTGAGATAGCGTAGGTTGGCTAGCCATGGTTTGGTGAGTGAAAGGCCACCGACTGCCAGGCTTCTGAAAGATTCCTTGAGTCTTGTGCGGCTGGGTTCAGAGCGGGAGAGCGCAGTTGTGGACGCTGCAGCTTAAGCAGTGTATATTTGGATGCGTAGGTGACGGTGGTGGTGATGGTGAGCAGAGCGTTCATTCCGTTCATGATGGATAAAGGACCTTGGGGAGTCTACAAAAACCATTTCGGGCCTGGGGAACCCACCGTGGCAAAGGTCGCATGGCGGGGACCCCGCACGAGAACAAACCGCGAAACAAGTAAGAAGCGAGCCTAGCATGCCCGGATGTTTAAGCAAAAGGAGCCCAAGGAAGACCCTAACAGGGCCCACGAGGAGGCGGACTGGGAGCGCTAAAGGCACCCTGTAACTGCTTCTTTCTCGGAGTCTTGGATAGTCTTTGGCGGCATGTGTCCCTGTGTGCCAGGCAGGTCATACTCCTAGTTAGCTAGCTAGCTATTCTTGCTCCATGTCTAGCTGGTTCGTATTGGTCTCGTGGCCATGAACGCGGTTGTCCAGCAGATATCGAGGCTTCCCATTCACAATTCTCTTCATCGGGTTGTCTATACCTGGGTCTATCAGTAGAGGAGATGCAAATCAGCAACGCCTCGAAGGAGCTCGGACTGCCGCTAGGGGCAAAGGCCAAAGCGAGCTGTGCCGTGGCTCCATCTCTAGCCACGAGGCAAGTAGAAACGTACTCGGATCTTGCAGTTGGAAGACACCCATCAGGCCCAGCTTGCAGTTCGGGATTTCGGAATTTGGGAGTCGACTGGCTCGACACTTAGCTCTCCACAGAGGCGAAATGGCAAAACGGGCAACACGGCAAATTATTGGAGGCCGAAGACCCGTGGGGGTGGCTATTGGTCTCCCCTCTAGAGCCTAACGGACCAAGGACCCTCGCACCCACCTCGGGCGATTGGGAATGCTCGCATTCTTACTTGTCCAGTTTCTAGGGGCATTCTTCCCAATCTTGAGGAAGGCGGTACGGAGTGCAAGGTTGTCGACAGGAGATCCTCTCGAAACAAATTGCCGCTGTCTCCGATTCGAGGGGTTTGTTCACACCTGATCCCTTTCTTGCGCGGCCTAGACGGTGGTCAAGTTCCCCAGGACGGGGTCTCCGCGCCAGGGATCCAGAAACCCTGCATCGTCGCTCTGAAGTCCAGATCATCCAGTAAGAATAATCCCGGAGACAAGGCCCCCGGCTCAGGCAAGGTCTCCAAATCCATCTCTTCACCCTGCTCTGGCCATGTATCCGTCGGTGGCGTCAGCAGGATCGATCTCTCGCGTGTCAAGAGCTCTTCGCTTGCTTTGACAACCTGTTCGAGCTTCTTCATAACCTCGCGAGCAGTCGCAACCCGGGGTAGAATCTGCCTTAGCAATTCCATGGCCTTCTGAAATGCCGGGGCTGCTCTTCGTCGTAGTTCGAGTAGTTCTTTGTCCGACAGCACTACCGTGGCCAGCGTCTTGATCGCCCCAGCGAGATACGTCACAAAAATTGACTTGTGAAAGCGCTCGTGAGGGACAAGGTGGTAGACTTCGTGCAAGAGGTCAACATTCTCGCTGCAAATGGAGACACAGATCTCTTGGTGCCCGAGCACCGGCACAGCTCCTGATCCCCATTTGGTGCGGAGCAATAGTCGAAGGTTATTGGTGAGCTAAATCACGACGAGTCAGTGACACTCTGAGTCAGAGAAAACGGGGGCGGATAAACAGACCAGCCGAAGCATCAACGCTTGCCAGATGATGCATGCACGGGGGGACAGGCCCGCTTGGAAGGCCACCGTGCCAGGCTCCAGCTGGAGAAAAGCTGGCAGCCCGCTACGAAAGTGAAGAATGCGCGCGTCCATGATCGCGATAAACTCGTCGAGACGGGGATTGGAGGATCTGGCGCCGGTGAACTTGTCCCATATCTCTGAGGCCAACCGCGAGTACCTGACAACTTCATGTAGGTAGGAGGCAAGGGAGCACGACGGTGACTCTTCGGGTAACTCTTCGCTGGTCCCAAGTAGTTTGTCGTCGACCCGCAAGGGCAAGTCGACGTTGATTTCAGAGTCTCGGAAAAGGTACGGCACCAGGCAGATCTGAGCGATGGTCCTGTCGACGTTGTAGACCGTCCAGAAGACACGCTGTCGAATATGTGCCTCGAAGGGGCTGCACATGCGCCAACTCGGTTGATTGTGAAGGCCTATCTGGTAGCTAAGCCGGACGGCTTGTGCGAGCACACTGTATGCGGCTTTATGCTGTGAAACACTGGCGGTGAGGAGGTAGCACGCATGAAGGATGAGGCACTGGATAGTGGCCAGATCTCCATGGCCCAACTCCATGGTATGGCCCAGCAAGTGTGTCGCATGAAGGTAGTCGTCCCAACCCGGGTGTAAGGCGGATTTCTTATCATTGTCTTCCAAGGCATGCATATGCGCGAGGATGGACCAGACAAGGGCGACGAATTGGAGGGTATCGTTCGACACGTCATCGCCGTTTCGAATACGCTGGTATTCATCGAACTGGGCGAAAAACTGAACCTCGATAAGACAAAAGTCTGTATGCTTTCGTTAATAAACGATCACCCATCACTGCTTAGCTAGAGGCAGAAAAAGATCTTACAATATGGATTGAGGTGTTCAAAGTAGCGCTCCAGGACGCGTCGGACCCGTAACATCTCTTCATGATCATTGCCTGGCGGCCACAGCTGAAGGTGTTGACGACAGCACTCTCGAGATGAGGATGCAGGCTGAGGGTCTTTGTTGGAGACCCTTTCATCAAAACCGGGTGCACCGCCGAGAGTGGGCATGGTCTGTGGATCCTGGCTAAGAAAACCTGCTGGCGAAGGTCCCTCAAGGGTCGATTCATAGCCTTCAGTTTCAAGGCGTCGCACATCATCTGGCTCAACTGCTGGCTCAACCCCCGGCTCAGGCGGCGGCGTCACTGTTGTCGTCGCATGGCTTTTATCGAGAACCACGTCTCTAGTGCGGGTCGACGACAGAACAATACACGTGTCGGGTGAGTTTCTTGAGCCATCTGCCTGGCAAGAAGACTCTAGCTGTGCACAAACAGTTTGTGTTTGGGAAGACGTCCTGGGTGAGATGTTCTTGGCCCCACTTGGTATATGGACAGTCTCCCCTGAAAGAGTAGTGGCTGAACCTGCTCTTCCTACTGCATGGCACACCCTAGGTAGGGACGGTCAGCTGTGAAAGCCTGGAGATGTTTATTCCGGGCGCCGAAGTACTCACAGAGGTTCTGCCGCAGTCACGCTACCCGTAGGTCTTCGCCTCTTCCTCGGGTCGCTACTATAGACACAGACTGCGTTTGACTCAAGGCAAGGTCGGCATGCTTCCGGTTGCTGCCCGGAACACTGAGAATGTCAGTCAGTAGGAAACGCTGACCTCAGCTAGGAGCAGATCATGCATACTTTCACCTTTCGTCTTTTACACTGTTGGCTACCGCGTCGTGTTAGCAGCTTCTAGCACACTGGCGATGTTCATTCGAGCCGTGACCACTAACCATGCTCGTGCCACATACGGAGACCTTTTGGACCTGCTCTGCCCCGGATTGTAGCGAGAGGTACGCATATTCATAACAACAGTATGTCCAGAGTGACACGGAGATGTGATATCAGGGAGGCTATTCATTATTTTTTCCACGAGATGCGGGAGGCAGGAAGAATCGAGGTGCGTACTTCATCTCTGACGAATCGCCTATAACCAAGCTTTCCGCCGAGGGTATCTCCCCGCATGTCGACTCGAGGTGCACATTGGACGGGGAGTGGGAGTTCGGGCAACCCTCGTCGCTCCACGTGGAGACTCGGGGTTCCTGGTGGCGGAATTGGTGCTGATGGTAGTGGCGTCGACGGGTGGTATACGGGGTATGCCGAGCCTCTAGTGACAAGAAACTTCGTTCCCGCCACACCGTCAGCGGACAGTGATGACAGCGAAGAATATACCTGGAGACACACGTCCCTCATTCTGATACCAACATTGATTTCGACCAGGCCATAGGAAATGTCCTTTCGACCCCTTCAGCTCTCGAGAAACATGGGAAGACACTCGATCTAGTTCCTCCTAGCAAACTGTCGACAACACGTGAGACTGGGGTAGGACCGAGAGTCAATTCCGAACTGAAACTTGAGGAACGACAAGGAGGAAACTCGGCGCAGGCTGAAATTCCGGCCAAATTCCGACGATGGGGCCTCGCCAGATAGCCACGTGACTAGTGCCAAGACACGGCCTTATCGCACGAAGAATATGCCAAGACATTTCCAAGTACCTCGTACGCATCTCCATGATCATGTCACGGATATCTGTGCCGTTCCTAGAGGATAGCGACTGCGTTGCAAGGGCTGGCAATCCCTCCAGGAACATTCAGAGGCATGCTGGAGAACAAAAAGGTCCATTTCTCCTCTCGGGCACATTCCTCCGCCAAACGCTCTAGATCCAGCATTTCGCCTAGAGAAGAGTTAGCGACATTTTCCTGCCTGGATGATCGAATGCCATCTGGCAAGCTCACCGATTGGCAGTCCCCATCCGTTGAGCAGAACTTCGTGCAGCCTCAATTTACCTACTCCGCCTACCTCCCCCTCCCCCTCCAGAGCAGGCCACCTTTCCAGCCCCGGAGCGTCCGAGGCACACGCACTGAATCCATGTTTCCAAAGCCAACGCAGTGTCTTGATGGAGGTTGCCAGTCCGACAAGCACCGTGGGAGTCGCGTAACTGAAAGTGATCTTTTCGTCCTCGCTTAGCCTAGAATACCCTACCTTCCACCCGACTCTCACGAGCAGAATATCTCCTTGTCGGAATTGCACTCCTTGGGCTTTTGCGCACGCCGTCAAATCATCCACGTCGATCGCATGGTCTCCCAGCAGCTCATAATGACGTCCATTCTGCTCTGACCAGCGCAAGTAGTCGAGCAGTACACCTCTTCCCACGATCCCCTGTTTACACCACTTATTGATTCCCAGTTTGTCTGTCACAGGCGGTCCCTGATACCAGGAGTCTCGGCCTGTCTTCTCTGGGTGACCTGGACCAGAAATCTCTTCCAACTTGACATTGTTATAAAATACCTTCTGTGCTTGGTACCCGTAATGGCGAAACCCATCCCATTGCGTCCCGACTTGAGTGTTGAAGTGGAGGACATCGTCGTGCACGAGCCGTGGATACTTGCGCTGCACGGTATGCTTCAACGGCTCTCTATCATGTGACGGACGAGCCGAGAAGTCCAGAGGTAGGTCAAGCCCGATTCTTTTGCCGGTGCGGGCTTCTCTTGTTGCCTCCAGTACAGTCTTGTCGTCCAGCAGATTCAATGTGCCCAATTCGTCGTCTGGGCCATAGAGACCCCAAGCCGAAAATGGGGGATCGTTCTTGCCCAAGGGGAGGGATTCGAAGTCAGGTCTTGCCGAGGACATTGTGCTCTTCGGTACAGGACACCGCCACACACTTATATGGTTCACTCGGATGGTAACGCTCTCCTGAAGGGTCATACAGTCATTTAAAAAGGATAAGAAGTACTCTTGGCTCCAGTTCCGGGGGTCAATGCCGCTTCAATTCATCCGAACATGGACCGGGGGCAAGACCGGAATTACAAGCACGACTCGGTAAGATTGATCTTCACTTTAGCATAGGAAGTGAACATTCAAATGCACTTCCAATCTACTGAACCACACCCAGTTCTAGCAACACCAAGCGCCATCGATGGACAAATCCGTCCCGGAGATATACTTGCTATCTTCACTCAACAAGAACGCGACGAGTGCTGCCACCTCATCGGCCTGCCCCACCCTTCTGATCGCCGGGCCAGGCAAAGAAGTAAGTCCCAGCCTGTCTAACGCTGTCCTCAGAATCGGTGTATCTATTGGTCCTCTGTGCGTGCGATTTAGAACTCGCTTGTGCTTGACATCAGGTGATTGAAATGCAGATACTTACGGACAAATGCAATTCACTCTGATCTCACGGCCGCCCAGCTCCTTGGCCAGTGACTTGGTGAGACCTAGGACGCCATGCTTTGACGCCGCATAGCCACCGTCTGCGGGGTTTCCGAGTTTCGACATGGCGCTGCCAGCATTCACGATGCTTGACCCGTTCTTCATCCTGCCATCGCGGAGCTGCGCGCGCAAGCTGTAGAACAGTCCTGTGAGGTTCACACCGATCATGCGACTCCAATCCTCATCGGTCACGTCGGTAATGCCATTGGGAAAGGATTTGTTGGTAGCAATGCCGGCCATGTTGGCTGCCCCGTCAAGTGGGCCGACCGACTTGACCGCCGACTCGATCCAGCCCTCGACCTTTTTGGAATCCGCCACGTCGACCACCTCGGTCAAGATGGTGCCCCGATGCGACGGCCATTTCTGCTGTAGAAAGTCCTTGACTTCGGCCAACCCCTTGGTTTCGACGTCGCACAGGGACAACGACGCCCCGGATTCGTAAAGCTTGCATGCGACGGCGCGGCCGATTCCAGAGGCGGCCCCTGTGACTGCGAAGAACTTCCCGTGAAGGTTGAAGGTCGCCATGATACTGAGATGGCCCGCCACTCACAATCTGCGAAGCTCTCGCGCCTGCTTATCTGGATTGCGGATGCGGTATCTCCTTATCGTTCAAGTATCTGCAACCGAATCCTTCGAATCTCTTGGACAAAGCAGGGGGTATTAGTCCGGGCTTCAAAGATGGGTGTTTGCAAGTGATTGCTCAATGAATCTGTGGTAGTCGGAATACCCTTATAGGTGGCTGTCCAGCAGGTATTTCATACGATCAGACCACAACGAATCACGACGAACCAAACATTCCGAATCATATGATGTTTTTCACAATTCCGCCGTATAACACCTGCATAACGTCTGGGCAGCCTGTCTTCCCGGCTGGGCAGTCGAAATTGTGGCTGGTGTACTAATGTATCGCAGACATATCATTCATGGTTGCTTGGAAGAAGCTTTTCTATGAGCGGGAAGAGGTCGCACCAAGACATCAAAAGATTGGCCATCACCACACTTTGATGAGGCTGGGCTTGCTCGGGTGTAAATACCACAGATTTTTACTATGAGCCCATGTGGTATAGCCTTGTGATGGACATCATGGTAACTTATCCAGTCATGATCCAAGTTCCCAACCAACTAACCAACGGAAACTCATACGTCCTTGTACCATTCAGAGAGAAACGATTCCGCATCAGTGAGCTGCAAATTTGGCAATCGCTCGTTCCAGATGGGCGATCCGTCCATGGCTCCGTGGATGGCAGACGACAGCCACAGACACGCCATCGCCTCTGCAAAGTCACTGGAGCTTCCAGCCGTGGGATGGGTGGTTGGTGGGAGCCATGAAGACTTCAGTTTGCCATTTTCAATATCAGCAATGTCAACCTCATGCACGTCAAATGAACGCCCTGGTGCTGGCATTAGTTCCAGTCCCAAAAATATGGACGATGTTATCCCACGATGATGTGCCCCGAGAGCTACAAAGGTGGAGGGTGGTAGGTGAAGCTTACCTCGCATTCTCTCTGCCAACTTAATCAAGTTCCGCAGCTTTATCCTGCTTTCCACAATATGACCGGCCACCGGCCACGCGACGGGATCGTCGAGCGCCAGTGCAGCGACGCGAGCCGTATCCTGGACTGTAGTGAGAGCGATCCAGGGATCCGCATCCCGCACTGCCAGGGCCTGGCATGCATTTAGGTCGATCCATACACAGGTCTGGTGGAAATATCTGCACGAGCTCCGTGGATACGTCAGGTAGTTCATGAACCAGCCGGGCTGGAAGAGGGTGTACTCGAGTTTCTGCACGGGAGTGTTGATCTCCTCGAGATATTTGCGCATGTTCTCTTTATAGCGAAACACGGGGTTTCCATCAGGGGCCCTGAAGGGAAATGAGTCAGTCTGTCACTCCTGTGGTATAAAAGGGAAGCCGTCTCTGGGATGGAACCTCACTCACCACGCCCACTCGCTGGGAGCGAACCGCCTGACCCCCGCTTTCACGCAGGCGTCGACGAGGGGTCTCTGCACGTTGCAAGTTTCATTGTCTAGGACGAACGACAACACAGTATGCACTCCATTGAGACTGGATGCCAAATGCTCTGGGTCGGCATAGTCGACTTGGACCACCTCCACACCCAGGTCTGCTATATCAGGGCATGGCTATCGAGAAATACCCAGTCAGATCCTCTCTCTCCCTCCTATTCTCCCAGATACAGGTGAGGGGAGTCAGTCCTAGAGCACAGACATACCTTTCTCGAAAAGACTTTGACATGATGTTTGCCCGTCGCTCGTATGGCGAGGAGAACCTCGCGGCCCAGCCCTGATCACGCTTTGTTACTCACTCGTTTGCCCGACCTGATGCAGGCAGTGCGCACCTCCAGAGCCCCCAGCCAGGACAACGGAGACCATGGTCGGTCACGGCGATGATTCAGCGTCGAAATCCAGTGGTGATGAATATCATCCCAACGAGCGTCAGGACCGTTCACTCAATCAATCATTGACTCCTTTGGCATGGGAGTGTTCTCTCTGGTCCATGCCCGCTCGCCAGTCACGAGTGAACTTGACTTTGTAGCTTACCGATCTTCAGATGCATGAGTCGTCAAGAAGCCTCACCGCAAGTCAAAACTCCATGATCGGAATTCAACTCTTTGCCGTTCACTAACACGAATAGAGTCGTGCAGGACGTCGGCGTGAGTAAAGACCTAAGAAGCACACACGCCGACACAAAGTATCCGACCGCATTGGTAGCGCACGACCCTAACCCTCGTGGCCCGTGGCTTGTCGGCGCTGGGTGGCTGTAAGCTTTCTTTCCGACGGAATTAGATTCTGCTGGGGGATTGAAATGCTGCTGGCTACTTCTACTGGTTAGAAAAAAGACCGATTCGTGCATCCGTATCGCTATAGCGATAGGTCAGTTTTTGTTCCACCTGCCATCTCGCCCATCGAATCAGGCAGAGCTGGGCAGATGTATCATCGTCATGTCTATTAGCGCTCGGTTCCGGTCTGCTCCAGAATCCAGGATTGAATGTACATCATTGACAAGACCGCGACCAGCAGGACGTTGACAACTATTTCTCGACTTGTTCTATCGATAGGGGTACGTAGATATTGCTGTAAGTAACTCGGACGACCGAAGCATTGATCTAGACCTTGAACCTGCTTTCCCAAAATGCTTCACAATTGAAAATGCTCACAAGGTCTTGTACTAATTTCGAACTTTGTCTTGTGTCTAACCAAGCTGAAATCCTCCTTTTGATATCATCATCTCCCGAGCCGTAAACCACGCCCTCGCTTGTCCCTCATATCTACCTCGCTTGAGAGTTGAGTCACGTACGTCACAGCACTAGGGAGTGCCGCTCCCGCATCTTCTTGCCGTATTTGGTAAAGAAGACCGGAATCGGGATGCACGCGACGGCGATGAATCCCAGAAGCGAGTTTCCCCAGCCGTAGCCTAGATTCTGGTACAGGGGGAGGCCAGCGAGCGGGAGTAGTGCGCCGGCGAGGGACCGCGACGCCGTCAGCGTGGCGATGGCGGACGCGGCGTACGTGTTGAAGCAGTCCACGACATATGTCTGGACGGGCATGAAGATGTTCATCATGCCTAGGCTGAAGGGGATGGTGCCGACGATGGGTACGATCCAGTGCGCGTGCCGGTCGACCGACCAGCCGTACCAGAAGAAGCTGACGGGCAAGACGAAGGAGAAGCCGATGACCAGGCGCAGTCGGAACTCGGGCTCGTACCTGCCGCTGTTCCGCGCGGTCAACTTGATCACCGTCCGGTCCGAGGTCGCGGAGAAGATGGCGATGCCGATAAAGAATCCTAGGCCGATGCCCAGGTACGCGAGGCCGGAGAGCTGCGGTGAGAAGCCGTACTCGGACTCGAACACGGGCGAGATGGTGGTGAAGAAGAGGTACAGCAGGCCGTAGATGACCGACATGTACATACTCAGCAAAAACACGATGGGCGACTTGACAAAGATAATGAACGGCCTCTTCAACGCCAACATCAGCATGGCCAGAACCGCCGGGTCCTGGGCCACGTCCTGTTTCTGGTAGTAACTGCGCAGGTCCGAGCGGTTCAAGCGCTTCGCCAGCGTCTTGGTCTTGCGCGCGATGAGCACCGGGGCGAAGGTCTCTTGGTTCAACACCTCGATGCCGACCGAGACCGCCGCCGACGCGATGGCCAGCACCCAGTAGATCCATCGCCAGCCCAGGTGTTGGCCGACGAAACCGCCTGCGATGGGGCCGACTACTGGTCCAACCAGCGGACCCAGACTCCATATCGCCATGGCCCTCCCGCGTTTGTGGATAGGGAACAGGTCAGCGATGATGCCGCCGCCCAGCGTCAGAGGGCCCGAGCCACCAATCCCTGCGAGCAGTCGGAAAACGATCAAGCTCGCCGTGTTGGGCGCCAGGGCACAGCCAATCTGCCAGACGAAGAAGAAGAGATTGCAGCTCCCCAGCACGACGCGACGGCCGTAGAGCTCCGACAAGGGGCCGAGGATAAGAGGACCGACCTGGCAGAACCAGACACACATGCATTAGCGATTGTTGATTGAGCCCTGGGACTGGGACGGACGGCTGGCGGGTGGGAGAAAGACGGCGAGGGTTCGCCACAGGGTCGGTCCATGTACTTACCACGAAGCCCAGCAGAAAGACGCTGACCGACAGAGACACCACGACCAGGTTCTCCTCGTCAAATTCCTCCGCCATGAGCCCGGCCGCTGGCGCGAACATGGACGACGCGAGCGGCGTGACAAAGGAGATGGAACTGACCAAGGCCAACAGGCCCCATTTGCGAGCATTGGAGAAGTTCAGCGGATTCTGAGGGTCGCTCTGGTTGTCCCATGCCACGACGCCTAGGTCCAAGTCCGTGATGGGATGCGACGTAGGGATGGTCGCGGGGGCGGCCGTGGCCTGGACTTGGACCTTGACCACGTTGGGGTCCTTGGTCTCATCCATTATTTCATCCTCCCTGGTAGCTGGAATGGAGTCAGAGGACATCGCCTAGGGACAAGGGGGAAAATGGCTCTCAGCAACTCTGGATTATGGGGCCTCTTGAGTAAGGACGGATCGAGGGACGTACAGGATCAGTCGTCCCTCTGTGGGGAGGGGAAGGAGAGCAGAGTTCGATTCAAGTCCAATCAGTATGGTCACCTCTGCATGGAGGTAGCCTTTGTGTATCCTTTTGAGCTGAGGAATTGTATAGACCAAGTCTCTTATGTTAGTATTCTACACGAATACTTCCGGTGAGAGATACAGGGTGCGCTACTGAGAGCCGATGTCCTGAAGCTTTTCCTGGGCTGGTTCAGCGAATGCTTGTCGTTAATGAAGAGGTTTCCAATAAGAAAAAAAAAAGGAGAACCGAGCAGCCAATCTCAATTAGGTAGAGACATGTGTTATAGCGACGAGCGGCCCGGAACTCACGGTAGCGTTTGATTGGGAAGAATCCACTTACAACTATCTGGATGACTTTCGTCTCGATTGGCCTCGGAATTAGGCACCGAAAGAGACGACAATGAACCCTGTTCTGGAGGGAAATACAGAGGTATACTCTGTCTGGTGACAGAATATAACATATATAGAACTCTTTCGTCCACTACTATGAGCTCGTCCAGCCAATAGCTCATCAGAGCATCGCCTCACGCCGCCACGCCGTTCATGATCAGATGCTCAAAGCTACAGCTCAACAGCTCCACCACATTGTCCCAAGGATCTTGCATATAAATCACCGTCTCGCCCGGGGCAGGCGAGCAGATTTCTCCGACGAGTTTGGCGCCCATCTTCTCCGCCTCCCTCAACGTCGCCACTGGGTCCGGCACTGTGAATGCGACATGGAACCACCCGCCTTTGGCATAGTTTCCCGGCCCCCATTGCGAGGGTGCCGTCTTGCCGTCGTAAGGGGGATCGACGAACTCAAATATCTCGAATCCGACACTGTTGCCGGTGGTCATGATGGCCATTTTGACGGAATTTAATTCTTTCCCGTAGACTGCTGTCCTTATTAGTTTCTGAGATGGAGCGTCCAGAGGAAGAGAGAGGCAAAGAGGGAGGGGAAGGAAGGTACTCTTCCAGGTGATGCCCTGGGGATGCTCCTCCTTGTTGGCCAACCCCGAAGGCCGCAGGAACCGAAACCCAAATAGCTTGGAGTAGAACTCGATCGCGGCCTCGAGGTTGGGCACCGAGATGGCGACATGGTTGACGCAGTGGTTGAACATAGTCATCTTGGCGAGTAAGAGGCTTCACAACTCAGTGAGGTGCATAATTACCATCCGTCTCTACAACATCCTTCTCCGTCGGGCTTTATATCCAGTTGTCGTAAAGGAGCTCTTCGGTACAAGATCTTTGTGGAAGCTCTGACAAGCGTGGGAGCGTCCCGCGTCGATTGGTGCGAATTGGTGTCTAGTAATTCCGGAATGAGAGGTCGGCCATTATAGCGTATCGAGGCAGAGAAATCCTCTTCTCACACATGTGATTGCCTGAGCATTCCATGTCTCAGAGGTTCCAATCATAGAAACTCGAGTCGGAGGTTGCCATGGCGAATCAAGAGAGAAGAGTCTGATGCGGTAGCAGAGCAAGCAGTGCGGGACCCCGCATAACCATAGCTAAACCCTTTCCAAGAGTCCCTTGTATATATGTCGGAATGTTGACTAGACAGGCGAATCATGGAACGTATCCCCAACAAAACCTGTCATTTACCAGACGGCAGTGCTTCTTCCTGTCAGTCACTTCTCAAATGTAGTATTGATTGGGCTTCATATCGTGCGTCCTAGCAAATGAGGATCAAGTTACGCCTCACCTTTTACAAATTCCGATTGGTATCTGGATACCGAGATGGATCAGGTAGCTCGACTCTCGTCATTCCGCCAACCATCGTCGCCGTGCACGACCATTGGAGACACCAAGACGACCGAGGTTCAAACACTGTAGGCCTGCTCACTTCTATGCATTCCATCGCTGAAGTGGCACTGCAGCATAAATATCTCGAGACAAATCAGTTACAGTATGGCTTGAAGCGGACCTCGTATACTCAGTCTTTGCAGTAGATCCTCTCGTTCCCTCGGTCACGGGTTTCCACCATCGTGAAAATGGGCTCTGCAAGTGAACAGCCAAATCTCGTCGCGCTCTTTGGCGTGCAGCAGAACACCCCTAGATTGGAGGAGCAGATCAAACTTTACAACAAGATCGGCTATGTCATCGACGGTGAGATTACCATACAGGGTACGAAGTAGACGCTGACTCTGGTGCCTTGGGCAGACGGTTTCCAGCTTGCCGATGGCGAACAACTCCCTGACGCGTGGTTCAGCGCCCGAGGAGTGAAAAGGGACGACCTGGACAAATTTGTGGCTATGAAACTTCCTGGGGATGCTTACATGCATGTCTTCTTCTATTCCTGGAAGAACCTGATCACCAAGAATCAATGGCCAGCGCCGTTCAACCTGATAGGGTCGCGGGGCATGACTTTTCTGTTCGATGATGTCGAAACGGAACTGGCCCGAATTAAAAAAGATTTCCCAGAGACGAAAGTCCTGCAGGAACCGTACAAGGTCAGGCGCAAATGGGGAGTCACCACCCAGGCCTTGATCATCGACCCGGAGGACTTGTGGGTGGAGCTGATCTCGATCGACCAAAACCCATTCGAGAAGCTGGCCAGGCCGCCCAACGGAAACGAGATCAGCCTTCTCCATTTCCAAGTCAACTGCCGCAACTTCGAAAAGTCCAACAACTTTTACAAAGCTTTCGGTATGACGCACGACACGGGAGTGAACGAAAGACACGTCGAGTCGGCTTTCCCCGACGGATTCGGTGTCTTCAAGAAGCAGATGAAGGACGCCTTCAACTTTATCATCGAAGACAAAATCTTGGACGTCGGCTTCTTGCGCAATCCCCGCGACCCGAGTCTGATGCACCTCGAGCTCCTCGAGACCATCGACAACGGCCGCTTGTTGAAAGACCCAGGACTCGACCCAACCTGGTCGCAAAAGGGTATTTGCAGATACTGTCACAAGACCCCCGACTACTTCAAGTCACTCGACGACATGAAGAAGCTGGGATGCCCAATCTATGTCGATTGTCAGAAAATGGGATTGAACTGGGGCGACACGGTCTGGTTCTATTTCGGGGATCGGGATGGGAACCTGCTTTGTCTGGAGGAATGGAAGCACTGTCGCTTCTTTGGTGGACGCTATTAGTATGGAGGGAATACTTCCTCTTACAAGTATCTGTTTGGTAGAAGCTACGTTGAACAGACTTGTTGCAGTATCTGAGCAACTAGGCACGTGCGGGGAAAAGGGGGCTGATATCACGTGCACGCTAGGCTTCTTCGGCTTTAGCCTCAAAATACACCCCTTCTACCTGTGAAACCAACACTCTCATTCTTCTTTTCAGACACACAAGTTATGTACATGATTATTATCTCAGTATTCTGGCCATCGTGGCTACTTTTACTTCACCTTGATAGTCTAGATCTCACACCACCTAGATATTCAAAAGATGAATCTAATACTTGTTGAGAGATCTCTGCCTGCACCAGAGACCCGGGCACTTGTCCTGTATGGGGAACAAAAGCAGCCACTTCACTCACAAGACAAGTCATCGTTTACCCATTCTCTCCCTCTTTATTTTAGGGTGCTTTCTCGGGCTATACGACAAATTGACGTAGACTTTCCGATGCAATCAACTTCCTAGACATGATTCCGAGATCGTTCACCCATTCCGTCTGGTTGACTACGGAATATTCAACCTGATTGGCTCAACTACAGCACTTATTAACGGCGACAAAACATTGTAATACCTCGACATGGCTTTCGCCTGACCAATTTGTGAAGACCCTGTCACATGGGCCTCGAGAACATCATGTCCATCCATTCTACCTCTGAAGTCGTCGCAAATGCTGACACGCTGGAAGATATCGAGTTATCCGGGCGCATTACAGTTCCGACCGAACCAAACAATGTCCAGCACGAGGTAAAGACAAATGGCACTGCACATGTCAATGACATCGACTCCAACGGGTCCAGGCCTCGGGAAGAACTGGATGTGCTGGTCATAGGTGCCGGCTTCAGTGGCTGCTATGCCTTGCACAAGCTTCGAAAACTGGGATTGAAGGTGAAAATATGCGAAGCTGGCTCTGGCTATGGCGGTTGTTGGTACTGGAACCGCTATCCCGGCGTGGCGGTTGACTCTGAGATTCCGTTGTATCAATTCTCACAGTACGAAACATACCAGGATTGGTACTGGAAGGAGCGGTTTCCCGGGGGCGCAGAGATCCGAGACTACTTCAACCACCTAGCAGATGTCTGGGATCTCCGAAAGGACACTGTGTTCGACACCCTCGTGACCAAGGTGTGGCACGAGGGTGGGAGATGGACCTCGACCACGAACTCCAACATCACTTTTACCTCCAAGTTTGTCGTTGCCGCATCGGGCTCCTCGCACAAGAGATACTTGCCCTCCTGGCCAGGAATCCAGCAATACGGCGGTAAAATCTACCATTCAGCCAGTTACCCGCACGAAGGCCTGGATGTGACGAACAAGGCCATCGCCGTCATAGGAAACGGTGCCAGTGGAGTTCAAATTCTTCAGACACTGGCCAAGGAGGACTGCCAACTTACGGCCTTCATCCGTCAACCGGCCATCAACCTGCCGATGGGACAGAGCCGCCCGTCAGTCGCGGATCAGAAGGCTGGGCGGGGGTTTGTCCAGGCTCTCCTCGACCACTGCAAACTGACGGGCACAGGGTTCCCCTATGCCTCACTCCCTGGCTCCTACCACGATGCGACAGAACAAGAACGGACGAAGGCGTGGGACGAGCTTCTCGATCGGGGAGGGTTCCAGTATTTGATGTGTAACTATCGCGAATGGGTACTGGACACCAAGGTCAACAAGGTTGTGTATGACTACTGGCGGAGAAAGACGGAGGGCCGAGTCAAAGATGTTGCAAAACGCAACATTGTATGCCCAGTCGTGCAGCCCTATTACATGGGCACCAAGCGTAGCAACCTCGAGCGCGACTATTACGAATCGATCGATCGGCCAAATGTTGAGCTGGTCAACCTCAAGGAGACGCCCATCAAGGAGTTTACCACCACGGGTATCACCACTGTGGACGGCAAAACTCGCCATTTCGACGTCGTCCTTCTTGCCACAGGTTACGATAACGTTACGGGGAGCTTGATGGATCTCAACATCAGCGACAAGCACGGAGTGACGCTCAAGGAGAAATGGAAGGATGGCGTATACACTAGTCTGGGGATCTGTGTGCCTGACATGCCCAACTTCTTCATGATGTACAGCGTGAGTGTGGTTCCTTCTAAAAGCCCCTTCCCTCTCCTTTCCTTCTCCGCCCCGAGAAGGATGCCTGGCTAATCCACTCTATCTCGATGGACTCGCCACCCACCAGCCACAATCACCTTCTCAACTTTCGAACGGCCCCCCTTGCATCGAGATTCAAGGGGATTGGATCTGTGAAGCGATTAAGAAGATGAACGACCAAGGCATTGCCACCATGGAGGGGAACGCAGAAGCCGCCCGCACGTGGAGGGAAGGGATTCAGGAAATGCACAAGCAGACACTCTTCCCGGTAAGGACGTCAAACCTCCCGAATGTCCTCTTTCGAGGCACATCCTCCCCTCGCTTTGCTTCCTTCGCTTCTTCATTGGTGCCCCTTCAAAGTTGATCCTTTTCGAAAACTAACACGACAAAATTTGTCAAAACAAACAGTTCACCGAGTCTTGGTATACCGGCGCAAACATCCCCGGAAAACTCGTTGAGCAGCTCGTGTATCTGGGCGGAGTGAACAAGTACAAGGAGATCCTTGACGACGCCCTTGACGGCTGGAAAGGGTTCGACACATCCCAAGTGTGAAACTGTGAATCTGTGAGAAAGGCCAAAGGGCGTGTCCTTTTTTTCGTCCGAGGACGCACGCAAAAATTGGCCAAGAGTGTGTCATAGATTGGGTTGATGATCAAATTCACCGTCCCCCGTGTCGAGTCTTCGGGGATAGGCGGTAAAGAGATTCAAGAGGTTCAAGAGGTACATTATCTACTATTATACATGGCAGAAAATTCTCTCACAGATTGACCAAGCAAGTTACATAGAGAGGTACATACTTCCTGTTCTCGTGCCCTGGCTTAGTCCTCAGCTGCATAGAAGCGTTTCCTGAATCGTGCCACCGGGAGACCGGGCGTCTGTTACCACATCGTGGCCTCGGCAATCTGCTGCTGACAAGGCCGTCAGGTGGCGTTCTGGCTGGAATGTCACCTAAAACTGCCTGTTCAAAGTCACTCATCTTCCGTGGGCAGGTCGTAGTGAGACTCACCCGCAGCCAGACCTCCCAGCCCAACATTGGCTCACAGTTCCACCAGAATCTTTGCGAGCTGAGACTGGCACGACGCTTACCTGGTCTCCAGCCTTTTCCAATTTGTACCTCTTACGAAGATGCTGGACATCCTCTGTATTGCTATATCCCCGAAGTGTTTGGGCTCTGACCTCGATTGCTTTGATTGACGCCAGCCAGTCCGTCGTTGATACGGTGTTTACTTTTATTACCTAATCTGGTAAGTGGTAGAAGATATTATTAACACGGCGAGAGTATTTTCCTAAATAGGGAATACTTTGAGGCAACGGACGCTCGATACCACGAGGCCGAAATACAAACATTCTGACAGCCATCAAAGATCAAGGGATGTCAACTGTGACACACCATTCCGCAACCACCTCTCACTTCACTCAGCATTATGGACATCAACGAACCCATCGAACTCCTTCACGATGTCCAGAAGGAACTCTGGGCTGAGCGAGTTAACCGAGCTCGCGTCACAGGCATTGTGACTAGCTGGATATCATCCTTACACCCCAAAAAGCTGGAATGTAGCCTCGACGGCAACTTCCTCAACGGCTCCTACAATCTGTGCCAAAAACTGCGCTTTCGCGACGGCACCATCTGGCTTCTCCGCATGCCCATTGTTGGCAGCGTCTGCGACGAGCAGGCCGTCGCCCCGCAGCTCGTCGAACCCAGCTATGCATTCGGGCCTTACAAACTTATTTGTGACGATCTTGGCCTGGCCAACTTGATCGTCCGGAGCGCAGAAGACCTCACTGTGGTGGGGTTGGTGGACCTCGAATGTTCCTACGCCGGCCCAGCACAGCTGTTCGGCTCGGCCCCGTGATGGCTATTACAAGACCGACTGAACAACTATGATACTTTCCTCGACGAGGAAGAAATTCCCAAGATTTTACAGAGGTATCTGCGGAACCTGGACATGTTTAAGACCGTGCTCGAGGAAGAGGAGGCGCGGATTCCAGGGCAGCCGGGTATGGAGGTGTCTCGCCTGGTGAGGCACTCCGAGGAGTCAGGGAGCATGTGGCTACACAGGCTACTGTCATGGGGGTTCAACCACCCAGACAGCCTACCCTTTGCGCAACTTCGGGCGCGCCTCGGGCCGGAGCGGTGGAAGGAGCTGGAGGAGGGCCACCATGGCAACGAGGCAAAGCAGTTTACAGAACGGAAGCTGGCCGAACTGGACAAGTACGACGAGATGGTAGAGAAGATAGAATGTTTGAGAGAAGATGTCGAGAACGGGAAGATTACGAGGGAGGCATTTGTTGCACTACTTACCAATGAGGGCGTTCAACGGCGATTGAAAAAGCCTAGTCGATTGACTGACTGATTTCTTTAGTGATTGTGTTTTCTTTCCGCCAAAGAGATCATTGTGAATCTTCGGCTTCAGGACACTGGGCGTTGACTCGACGAGAGATTGGGATGCTCCACTGGGAGCAGCATACAACGCGAAAAGTGCCCCACAGTGATCTTCCAGAGAAAGCATTCATTCGTTGATTCGTTCATTCGCATCCAAGACATCAGTCTGTTATGACGCGCAGATATAAAAAACTTGCTCAGTAAGGAGTCCCCCATGTTTCGAGAGGTCCACGGTGGATTGCGGACTCTGGACCTCAATTTCTATCATCCAGAAATGCTCGTGGGAGTGGGAGATTAGCCATATAAACAATGGTAAAGTCTGACCTTAATACTCGCTGAGACAGCCCCAGGATGCCTTACACGTGACTGAGCCTAGCGTGAGGTCAGCCTGAGCAGCAGGGAACACATGTCCGTTTCTGGGCCATGGGCCTTGTTTCGGGCACCACTCTCTCTCAATCTTCCAAGCCAGTACAGATTGCTCGCCTCGGCCGCCTTTTGTTTGGAACCAATGTCACAAGATCGAGCCAAAGTCTGCTTCAGCATTTCATCTCGAAGTGCGAACAAGAAACGAGACAACGACTGGGCCCACATTCCACTACCCCTGACCCTGTTCGAGCCACGGAGCAGCAGAAGCGTAGTATGCTCGTGAGCAGCCCACACAAATGGTTGGCCTGCACGGCTTCCACAAACAAGTCATAACCGTTGGGGTATGACTACGTGAATCTCCCAGGAATGTTAGGTCATGTTCCAGCATTTCTGGGCTCTCGCCGACGTCTTGATACAGATCTGGAGGTTCGAGATCATGCCACATGTGCTGGGAAGCACTGCTTACAATACGGCACTGGTCATGGGACTTACGATATGGCACAAGAAGTGCTCCCGATCGCGGTTTCATCCCCAACGACAGTTTGTTGGACACCAACGAAATCGGCGCACTGGCTAAGGATGATGAAACTACATTCGACCTTCAAGTCGACCCCGATCTCCCGCGTGACCCTACTCCGGAAGCGATAGCACAAATGGCAACCCGAAGCATATTTGGCTGGCTACGATCAGATGGACATCCAATGGAAGAAAAAGATATCTGGAGGCATTCCTGGTTGAATGTCAACTATTCTTTGGACGAGGATGACGATAATCTTTCTGAAGAGGTTCGTGACGATGGAGCACCGAGTCCAACAACTAGAGAATGGTTATATAAATAGCATGAGATATCATAACATTGCATACACCTTGGTACCACTTCGCTGGCTCAATCAGACAGTCAAATTTTTGTTCTGGTGTTTGCACTTGGAAGTCCTGCACTCTCCGCTTTTGCCAATGCTAGTCGTCACATGACATAAGTCACGTGGGACCTGAGACACTAGGCCATTTCAGAGCTAGCCCACATACATCCCTCTACATCCCCCTGCACCTTTCAATCCCATGGACTTCTTCCTTCTTTCCAGACACAAGCACACAAATTTTGTACATGGTCTCAACTCGATAATCCGGTCACATTGGCCAGCCTTCCTTCACCTTGCTAGCCTGGATATTAACCATCGGGTCCCCCAAGTCCATGTCAAAGACACGGATCTAACGACTGTTCACAACTTTCTCTCTGTACCAATCGGAAAGAAGTGATTGGGTGCGGCCTGTACGAGACAAACGGCGCCGCACACGCAATGTGATCAACTCAAATGGACCCAGGCTCCCAAGTCTGGCACATGGCGAGATGTTCTCAACCACAAAATCCGATCTACTTCCTTTCCATCGAAGTCTATCGTTGCTGCAGCAGGCTCCTCGCACAACGAGGTCCGTGACAATTTGGCAGGAATCCATCAACGCCGTGGTCAAATCTACCATTCAGCCATTTTTACACGCTCGAACCTTTCCTGATAGATACGGGTCGACCGATTGCAGCACAGTCCTTTTAACAAATGCTCCCCATTACCCAAATCTTCTCCTCGGAAGCCCTCCCGTCTGGTCTCTGGATATTGCGTTCGGTTTCAGTCGCTATAGCCACAAATCGTGTTCGATGCGGAGGCTCGCTCTTCACCACATACTGCGCTGAGATTGATAGAACAGGTGAGACAATCTTGCCAACGAAACCGATGCATAGGGGTTTTCTTACAGGTGTGGCAATATCTCACTCTCAACCAGAGAAAGCTCGTCAAAGTGCGATATCCATCCTGAGCTGGCAAAATGAACTCTTCTTGAGGATAATCGTACATGGCTTCCGTCAAGCGGTGGAGCCGATGTGTGCAGATGTGAAGGGTCGTGGCCGTCAGTCGTTGAGCGTCTCGAATGGCGACAAGGGGACGGCAGCTGCCGATTACGTTGGTAATGGCGCCAGAGGAAGGGCAAGGCTGGAATACACATGACCAGCAAAGCCACAAGTGCAAGGACCGTCGCAAGAGACATGGCCATATTGAATTTCTGAGCCGCTCCGTAGACTGACCTGGAGATTGCTGGGAAGAAAAGATGGAAAGTCTTCATGGTGTGAGGCAACGCATCCATAAATACTTGAGAACACCAGATTTTGGACAATGGCAGTGTCTGCCATCTGCAACATTTACTGCCAAAGACCAGATTTTGGACAACATCCCCGCTGGAAAAATGCTGGACGGCAACTAATATACCTCTCCAACTTGTTGATAGCGAACATGATGGTCAGCCAGTTAAAAGCGACATTGGTATGGTGCCAGAACTTGGACAAGGCGCACATGAGGAGAGACAATTGAAGCGCCTGCCACGTCAGTGTCTGTTCACTGAGCGCCCCGGGCGCTGTTACTGGTTGCCTGCGTACGGCGGCCAGGCTGTGCCACCAGGAATACGAGGTATCCGCATCAGCCACACCAGCCGCAACAGCCAATCATTCTGACCTTCAATATGCGGGCAGGTTCTGCACAACCAGGGTTCGACGCTTGGCTTCCTTCGCTTTGGGTGCCCAATCCGAGTCTGGTGTGGGTTGGATTTGCGATTCCCAGCCTCACCGCGATAGTCACTGAAAATATTTGAACCCGGAGGGAGCCCGATATCCCTTCGCCAACTTCTCAAACAATCCAAAACCTGACCCTCAATTCTTACCCTCGATTCTTAGAGGAACCTTTCAAATACGCCGCTTCTCATGGCTCCCAGAAAACGTCCTCTTGAAGACGACAGTGTGTGGGTCTTGAACAAGCATCACTTCCAACAGCTATACCAGACCGAAAGGAAGACGCTCAAAGACGTCAAGCGAATCATGGAAACCGAGTACGGTTTCCCGATAACACCGTAATGCCATATCCTTCCCCTGCTCTTGTGTTGATACGTACTCAATCCACACCAGGCTGTCCACTTACGAAACGAAACTCAGAGAATTGGGGCTTCGCAAGAGATTGAAAAGGGACAACTGGCTTATCGTTGCCCAACATTACCTGAATCGCAGTGGTAAAGACACTGGCGTGTATCTCAATGGGACTAGAATCCCGTCTGCCTGGAGAGAGATTCGCAGGTCGGGTGGTCTCGTAAGACCAAGAGGTAGGCTGGCAAGGAAGCGAATTTATTGTCCCTGTCTAACACTGACGCTTGCAGGTCAACTTGAACCCCTTCCGCCTGGCGTTGCCGTACGAACACCTACACCTTCGCCGAAGATCGCTTCTCTATTTCTTGCTCCTACAGAACCGTTGCACCCCTCAACCACTTTTACTAGTGATGTCGACCTGCTCACACCATCGCCACAAATGACTCTTCGTAGGCAATCTGCTTGACTGCGGATCGTCACATACTAATATATTTCTCTAGCCCACACCCTCCTGAGATCCAGGTCTCATCACAATGCTCCGGGTCTCATGAATCTCTGCGATATCGGCACGATAGAAACTGGCACGGCACTGACACCTCTCCAATCAGGGTTACCAGATCTCAGCCCGACCATGCAGTATGCAGATGAAGTCTACCGCAACATTCTCAAGCTCACTCCTAGCTATCAAGTATTGGAAACACTACGCTGTTTGTGTGAGCATACATGTGTGTTGTTTACAGGTCTATCGCTCATCAACTCTTAGCCACCTCCTTTGATTCCGAGCATCCATTTTCTCCCCTGGCCAGGGAGAAAGCTCATTCTCATGTGAGGATACAAGTATTTACCTTTAGAAGCTGAGAGCTGACTCGTAACTCTGGTAGGCTTTGCAACCCTTTCTTCAGTTTCAGTTTTCTCGAACAGGCTATAATGATTCGGCTCTCGATTCCCACTTTGACGTATATCACTTCCTTGGATATGCACTCTATCTCCTCTCGAATAATCTCTTGCACCGTAGGCCTGGCGACCCTAGACAAGGGGAAATTTTTGAGGTTCTGTTTAAGAGGATTCCAGGATCAGTTCTCTCTGCTCTACTAGAGTCGAGGACTCCCACAGTCAGAGCCGCATGGGAAGAACTAGTCACTCAGTCCTGGAATGTGAATGACAAGAACGCATTCACTATCCTGATGCATGTTGGTCTCAGATGCCCCGACTGGATTTCTTTAGACGGCCACTCCTATCTCATCGCCGCCGCTGCATTTGATTGTTTGGAAATTGTGCGACTTCTGTTAAGAGCAGGATGCCGTCCTGATCAGCCCTTAAACTACGAGAGGGGTTGGCAAAACTTCCCTGAAACTGCCATTATGGCCGCCATTGGGGCTCGGAACCTCGATTGTGTTGCGCTTTTACTCAGGTCTTGCGACGTCAATCGCAAACCCCTTCATAAACGGGGGTCCTGCTTTGCCATATTCGTTGCAAGCCTCTGCCATGATGAGGGTATTGACAAACTTAGTCTCGAAGATCACTTTGTCAGTCAGGTGTTAGACATGTTTCTCGCACTTGGGGCCAGTGTCGACTTACCAATACACACAACCTCGGTATTGGGCGCTGAATACAATGGCCTGGATTGGTACAATTACGTCCACGAGAGCTGGCAACCTACGATTGTAGAAGGCAGCTATTACTGGAATCCAGACTTGTTCAAGAGACTTGAACCCTACAGCGCGATGTCCTTATCAAGCGAGGTCACAAGGTTCGGTTGTTGTCTTGCTGCAAGGCACGGTGCAGCCTCCTTACGAAAATACCTGAAGGAAAGACCAGGAGGAAGCACACGCTCGACAAACGAATTTCTACAATCAGTGCTAGTGGAGCAGTTTCTCTTCCACGATTCTCACATTGCAACCGATATTGTTCAGAGTCTCGTCAACGTCGTGGAGGATATGAGGCTACCATTCGGTCCCATCGGAGATATGTCTTATCTGCTGTTCCGAGCAATCCTAGGCTCTGCGGATGTCACGTCAACCAACGACTTGAGTGCTCTCTTCAGTCTCCTTATTCAGGAAGGGGCGGTCGTGCATTCTGAAACTCTCATTGCCTCTGTGACTTCACGAGGCGTTGGCTTGCTCGAGAAGCTTGCTGACCTGGGAGTCGACTTTGCAAGTCAAGGTGCTGATGCATTGTGCGCGGCCGCTCGCCTGAATAATTTTGAGGCGGTTTCGTGGCTATTGCATCGGGGAGTAGACATCAATGCTGGAGTCAGCGCGTATGCTTTCCCAAAAGACACGACTGTGATCGCCGCCACTTTAGAACATGGATCGTTTCTGGAGTCCGAAGCCTCATACTGGAATGATTGGCGCTCTCGACATAAAGATCCCAAGCCATCACTCGAAATGTTCGACCACCTGATAGAAATGGGAGTAAAGTTACGCCACAAGACCACCGATCAGAACCCTTTCCCATTCTTGAAACATGCCCTTGGTTTATCATCTCAAAGACCACTAATCGAACTCTTTCTCAACTCGGGGATCAATCTACATGAAAGCTCGGCCGTCGATCCTACACTGTTAGAGGTTTGTTTGGCCGATAGCTTCTTACTTGACAAGCCCGCAGCAAGATTGGAACTCTTCGAGTTGCTCTTTGAGCGTGGGGCTCATGTCCGTCCTGGGTCACCATTAGCTCTTCTGATCTATCGGGGTGGTACGAAGGAACTGATACGCAAAGTTTTGGATGCGGGCGCTCCCATTGATACATACTCATCCGGGCGGACATCCTACACCCCTCTACAAGCAGCGGCCAGCCGTGGAGATCAAGAACTAGTGGCCTTACTTTTGAGCAAGGGTGCTGACATCAACCAGCCTGCTCGTGGTCGTCAAGGGAAAACAGCACTACAAGCTGCATGCGGTTGGGATGTCATCTCTGTTGCAGAAACCAAGGTCAAGTTCAACCTCGTCAAGTTTCTGATTGAGCACGGAGCAAACGTCAATGCTCCACCCTCAGATGGCGATTACGGGCAGACAGCATTACAAGCTGCTGCGGTTCTTGGCGATCTCGAGATTGTCATCTTGCTACTTAAAAACCAAGCTCGAGTGAACACCCTCTCTGGCATTGGGTGGAATGGATTTACCCAAACTGCCCTGGATTATGCCGCAGAATTTGGACGGATAGATACAGTCAAATTTCTGCTGAGCGTGGGGGCGCTGAGTGCTTGCCCTGGTACTAGTGGTTACCAAAAAGCAATCTTGATTGCAGAGGTCAACCGCTATGGTGCTATTGCAGAATTGATACGCAAGCATGCAGCTGATGACATCAAGCTATTTGGGAAGAATCCCTATTTGGACACACGGACGTATGAGGAAAAGCACGTTTGCACATCGAGTTGCTTTATTGAGTTTGAGCGCTTTTTGGGATTTGAGCGTGGAGAGGGCGATGATCAAGTCGAGAGCGAAAACGACATCACTGGTGACGGCTACGTCGAGGGTGATGCAGAAGACGACGACCTTCTGAACGATATCGTCCTTCAACATGATGGCGACCGTGAAGACGGTGAGGACGATGGCGACAATGTTGATGGCAATGACGAAACCGACTAGGGAACAAGCCGGACGACAACGACAAGATGGAAGGAGACATGGCTTTTCCAGGAATTTACGACCTTGATGACTGGGTATTTGGCGATACCTCTCTCTTCTGAGTTTTTCTTACGATCAACGAACCAATTGATGATTACTACCTGTCTTGCATGCGACCTTTCTTCCTTCCTTCCTTTCTTTCTTTGTCTCTTTTCTCTCCATGAAACCCGGCATGCTTGGCCAAGTCTCGCTTCGGAATGACTGAATAACCTCGACTAACAACCGTCTTCCGATACTTGCGGTTTTGTGTCGATCCTGCGAAAGGGAAATTTGGGCATGTCGGTGAGAATAGCATGGCAGATGGCAATCACTCTTCAGGCACGTCTTTTTGAGCCTCTGTATTTTTCGAGGTATGTAGAAAAACTACCTGCCTACCGACCCAGTGCGCAGTGTGTCACATGTGGGGGTGGTCGAGACTATACATATACGCCCCCTGGTCATCCTCCTAGCCTTGAGAGATGCCGCTTGCTAACCTATTTAGGTCCCACGTTCGCCTTCATGTGGATACTCATGTCCATGTCCATGTCCATCGTCGCCCCGCTTCCCATGGTGGACGTGGTGCGCCATCTTGGCAATGACCGTCTCCTGGACCGGCGAGGAGACTTTGGCCGTCATCTGCGGCTTGGTGGTCTTGAAGAAGCAGGCGATGGCCATGGTCACCAGGGCAAAGGCGAGCAGCGCGTACCAGATGTAGGTGAAGCTCTTGGCGTAGGCGTCCTTGGTCGAGACCTGCAGGGCGCTGAGCACCGCGGGGGTCACGCCGGGAATGTCGGCGTAGGCCGAGGCGTCGCTGGCCGTGGCCATGGCGGTCAAGAATCTCTCGAGGCTCGTCTGCGGGAGGCCCGCGGCGAGGACGGCCTCGGTCACGTACAGCGGCAGGTACTTCTTCCTCTTGGAGTTGAAGATCTGGCCGAAGATGGTGATGCCGATGGTGGATCCGGCGCAGGCGAACAGGGTCGTCGCGGCCACCGTGGTCGCGACGTACTCGTCCGGTGTCGCCAGCGCGGCGATGATGTTGAGGACCTGCGCCTCCGTCCCGACCGAGAGCCCGATGATCAGGGGCGGCCACATGAACTGCACAAACGACCAGGTCGGTTTGACCAGGGTCATGGTGCCCGCCCCGATGGCGAGAGTCCCCATGGCGACGACGGCGAGCCAACGTCCCTCTTTCGTGTACCAAAATACCCCGGCTGTGACAATGGCTCCTCCAATGTTGGCGACCGAGAACGGCAGCGCCCACACGGCTTGAAGGAGACCGTCGGACTCGAACAGGTAGACGATCACCTGGGGGAGGTAGGCCTGACAGCCGAGCTGGGCAAAGGAGCCGGTGGCCCGCACGACGAGACTGAGTGCGAAGTTGCGGTGGGTGAAGAGGCTGTGGGGCAGGAGGCCGTCCTTGTTCTTGTACATTTTGAAGGACGCGCCCAGGATGAGCACGAAGCCGATGACGAGGAGACAGATGGGCGCGGCCGAGTTCCAGGGATACAGCACGTCGCCGATGCCCATGCCGACAAAGAACATGGTGAGGCCGGTCGTCAGGAGCAAGATGGCGATCCAGTCCATCTTCTTCAGGCGTTGGCTGGTGGACAGGTTGATGCCCAGCGTGCGCGGAGACGGCGAGTATCCCACGAGCAAGGCGATCATGCCCAGGCCATACAGACCAGCACTGACGTAGATACCGGCCCTCCAGCCCTCGAGCGGGCCTCCGATTTCTTTCTTGATGACAATCCCTTCGATGATCGGGGCCAGGATAAAGGCACCGCCGCAGAAGATCCCGGTGATGGCGCCCGTCAGGGGCCGGTGTCTCTTGGGGACAATCTCGTACAGGACCGGCTGGATCAGGTAACCCGCCGCGAGCCCGACGCCGTTGAACGCCTGCCCGACAATCACCATCTGCAGGCTGTTGGCTCGCGAGGTGATGACGGATCCCACGAGGCCGGCGACGCACGAGAGAATAAAGGGCCACTTCCTCCCGAAGATGTCGATGAACTCGCCCAGCGGCAGCACGATGACCGTCACGACGAGGGTCAGCGCCGTGGCGATCCAGGGCGCGCTGCCCGCCTCGGCCGGCCAGTTCGCGATGATGTAGGCGATGGCCCCGGTCGGCACGGTCGCCGCATAGGTGCTGGAGACGTACGCCGTGACCAGAGCGGCCACGTTGATCCAGGTGCTGGCATCCCAGAAGATGGTTTCCTTGTCTTCGCCGTCGGCGCTTTCCACGTCGCTCGCGCCGGGGCTGCCGCCGCCGTGCTTGACGACCTCGATCTGCTGCTCCTCTTGAGATTTCTCCGCCCAGCGATGAGGCGGTGACGTTTCCTGAACACACTCCATGATAGATCTTTTGGAGGGGGTGTTGTCACAAGGACTAATAGTTTGTAGAGGAAGGGAGGGACGGAGGGAGGGAGGAGGGCCCAACTAACCTATGGCCGGGACCTTTTAGGACATGATCAGCTTTTTTAAATGCGGAACTTTACAAGACTCGTCTTGTCTCGTCTCTTTTGTCTGTTTGTCTCCCTCACAGATGAATTCCTAGAACTCCGGGGATGACGGGAGCCTGAATTTGCGTGTCGAGGGGGGAAATCTGGGGTTGGAATCAATGGGAGAATTCCCCCGTCCTAACTGTGCCGTGCCGTGCCCAGTCCAGTTCAGTCCAGTCCAGTCCAGTCTACCACCCCACGGGGAAACCTAATAATCGTGGAGGACGACAAACAAGGTGCCATCGACAGAGACTGGGATAAGTTGAGCTCAGAATCGCGGAGTGAAAAAGAGGGGCGTGGGGTGGTGGCGCCGTATCGTCGAGTCGAGGCCCTTTTTTTGTTCAGCCCTTTTTCGGAGTTTTTTGAGACTCTCGTCGTCAGACTCGACAATTCGACATGCGGGTTTAGAACAAGCACTACGAGTGGATACGGTGGTGGGAGGCCCAATCAAGTCACGGAGCTACAATGTAACAAGTACGACTAGACTAAAGACTAAAGTATATCTGCACCTACGAGGGGAGTTGAAGTCGCGCTGGAATTTAACTCTATTTTGTATTCGACAAGGTATGTACAGTATTATGTATACGAGGTACGACTAATTCCGGCAACTAAAAGGGGGGGCCACTTTTTTATTTCCGATTGGCTTCTTGGACTCGCAAGGGTCGTAAGTCAGCCACAGTGAAGATTGTAGCATGGAGATGGGATGGCACAGGCATCCATTGTCTGTACAGGAAACATATATATGGACTGGATATGGGATTGGTTTGTGTTCGTGTAGGGTAAATAAAATGCTCTGGTACCGGTGCTTAGGGACATTTTGTGTGTAGTTGACTACTCCGCTCTGCAGGGTTTGAGTGCATGTACCTCGTTAGGTTCACAGTAAATGATGCAGAGGCAGAAAACTAGGTCAGACAAATCAAATCAGTGCTTTTGACGCTCCCCGTATCCCTCCTCGGTCTGTCATTGCTGCTGCTGCTGCTGCTGTTGCTGCTCCTCCTCCTCCTCTCGCCGTGAAATCGTATTGTACAGTTTATACTCCTTCATGGCCAGGCTGGTGAGTGACGCGAGCACTGTCAGAGCCAGGATCGTGAACCACACTGAGCGGAGAGCACCCATGTAACTCTCTTCGACGCCGTGGCGCCAACTGCGAGGAACCAGATCCAGGTCGAGGTCGTTTCTTATCCGGCCGATGATGGTCGCCGCGTCGGGTTCGTTCCCGAAGCGACTCCACAGAGAGGCCTTGAGGACGTTTTGAAAGACCTAGATTTGTGGGAGGCGAGGTCAGTTAGATAGGTTTCCTATGTGCGGTGGTCAGTCGGGGACACAGCAGCTTACCGCAGAGGTGATGGTCACTCCAATGGTCGATCCGGTGGAGCGGAATATATACGACGCCGACGTCGCAATGGCCTGCTCCGAGTGGTCGATGGCGGCAATCAGGGCCAGCAACGAGATGACAAACATGCCGCCGTACCCAAAGCCGAACATGGCGAGGCACACGGGCGCCACCCACAGGGGGAATGCCATGTCGAGCATGCACAGCAAGACCGACGCGCCCACGTAGAACCCGATGAACATCCAGTTGAGGTAGAAGTATCTCCCCGTCCGCTTCACCGCGAAGCCGGCCACCAACGAACCGACCAGGAGTCCGGTGCCCTGGCTGATCAGCTCGAAGCCTTGCTGGCTCGAGTTGAGGCCCCTCAGGCGCAAGTAGATGGGCATGTAGAAGAACATGCCGTACAGGGACATCATCTCGAACCAGTTTGACAGACACGCCGCGGTGACGGTGCGATTCAGGAAGAGACGGACCAGGATGAGTGGCTCCGCGGCCCATTTCTCCTCAATGACGAGAAATGCAACCAGCAGCACCGCCGAGAGCGGCAGCGTGGTGAGCACCAGTGGGTGATTCCAGGGCACGAGGTTCCCGCCGCTGTTGAGCCCGAATAGCAGGAGGACGAGCGATCCGACCAGCGTGATGGCGCCGGGGAAATCCACCCGGGCCAACTTGTTCTTGTCGCTGTGTGGCGGTGACGGCAGCTGGACGTATATAGCCACGACGAATGCCGAGACGACGACGAAGGGCACCTGGATCAGAAATGCCGGTCGCCAACCCAGCGTCTGGTTGATCCAGCCTCCAAACACTCCTCCAAGACAACTTCCGCCGCCGAACACGATATTGCCAATGCCCTGCCATACGCCGCGTTTGCGAAGTGGGACAAGGTCAGTGACCACCATGGTCTGGATAGCGAACAGACCGCCTCCTCCGGCACCAGCGACCACACGCCCCGCAATGAGCGTCCAGGTGTTGTTTGCGACGCCACAGATGAGATTTCCCAGACCGAAGAAGACGATGCAGTACAGAACGCCGTCTTTTCTGCCAAAGATCTCGGTCAGTCGGCCAGTCAGGGGCTGCACGGCGGCGGTGGCGATGAGATAGGACGAAGCCACCCACGACAGGAGGGAGAAGGTGTGGAACTCGTTGGCAACGGGGGTGGTGAGAGTTGCCATCATGGACGAATCTCGCAGAGTTTGTCAACAAAGCAGGATTTGACACGGGTCTCAAGTGGTACGTATACATACCCATGGCGGCGAAGAAGACCGCAAGCCATATGCTTCCGATGGTCACGTACAGACGCACGCCACTGACCTCTTCTTGCTCGGTCTTGGTCGCTTCCTCGGCTGGTGGTAATGAAGTTGGCGGGATAGCTGTGGCATTGTCGCTCAATAGAGGTTGTTCCTCCTCGGGGATCGACCTTGTGCGTCGTGCTCCCATCTGTGCTGTGGGTTTTTGATTGAGGAATGTCGCAGAGGGGGGGTCGGTAGTGAGTCGTTCCTTGTATACGATGGATATATGAATATGCAAAGTCACAGGTACAATGTACAGTACATTTGGACTTTTGAAGAAATAGTATCACAACATTTATTGGCCATTTAGACCATTAGACCAGTAGACCAATGTCCCAATGAATCGAGCACAGAGACGATTTACTTCCACTTGGCTGAGGTTCCGAGGATGTTTATTGTTGCGAAATTCCGAACAAGCATCACAGCGTGTCCCATGGAGAGACAGACGAAGCTACCCTAGTCGTCCTCAACCTTTTACGAGGAAACTAGATCAAGTCGTTGCCCTGAATCATCTCGTGCACAGCCAAAACCTGCAGTTCGAGTAGCACCAGTATCGCCATGAAGCCGCTCAGAGGCATCATCCAGACTGCGGCGTTGCCTGCCATGGCGTCCCTGCTCAACCCATTGCCAGCCGGCGTCAACTACAACTCGACCGAGGTTGTCTTTGTGAATCAAAAGGCCCTGGCGACACTTCCGTACTATTTCGAGCGCGGTCAAATGTGTAAGTTGGGCCAAAAACACCCACCCACTTCGACCGCGGCGTTAGAGTCTATCATGTATCTAAACAAGTACCGTCTATACAAAGCGCAGGTATGGGGCACCGTGACCTCCAGTCCACGAGTCAACGGCGAGCTGTCCACTCTGGCCAAAGCATCCTTTGTCGCCTTTGACAGCCGCTTCTTCGACATCCTGGGTCCCAATCCCACCCTCGAAAAGCTCTTCGATCTCCCCGAGCACAATGTCCACGAGGCCCCCAATTTTCTGCCCGCGCAGAATAAAGTCTTCGTGTCCAACTTCAACCACACGTACGAGTACCTGGTCGACTTGAGCGTGGAGCCGCCGGCGCTGCAGAACCTCACCACGGATCCGCCGCTGGAGTCTGTCAATGGCGGCTTCATCCATGAGGGAAAGCTGGTCGTGGGGACGGATGGGTACCGCAACTCGACGCCCCCGGGTCTGTACCTGTACGACCCTGCCACGAACAGGAGTGAGCCGCTGCTCAACAACTATCGAGGGTTGAAGCTGTCGACCCCGGACGACTTGGTGGTTGACCAGTTCGGACAGGTGTGGTTCGTGGATGCACCGTAGGTTATATCAACTCCCAACCCATTTGACACACAAAGTTATCTCCAGCATCTCCCGGACCCCTCCTCCTGGACCACCCAGGGTTCTCTTGAGTGTCTTATGCTACTAACCGACCCAAACCAAACAGATTCAGCTACGTCGCCTGGACATACGACAACCCGCCCGAACTCGCCCCCTCGATCTACTGCTTCAACATGACCTCGGGCGCCCTGTCCGTCGTCGACCAAAGTATCCTCTGGCCCAACGGGATCGCCTTCTCGCCCGACAACCAGACGCTGTACATCACCAGCACGCCGCTCGGCCCGGACAACCGCACCGAGAACCACGCCATCGTCGCCTTCGACGTCCTCTACCCGCACACGCTCGCGAACAAACGCACCGTCTACGTCCCCGACACGTACTTCGCCGACGGCCTCAAAGTCAGCGAGGCCGGCAACCTGTACGCGGCGGCCGGGTCGGGGATCGACGTCGTCACCCCCGAGGGTGACCTGCTCGGCAAGATCACCGCCGCGGGAGAAGTGTTTAATAATCTGGTCTTCCTCCCCGGGGGGCAGATTCTCGTCACGGGCGTCCAGGGGATTTGGAGGGTGCGGATCCGCGAGCAGGGCATTGTCCATTACTAGACTTGCGCTTGTTCGGGGTCGGATCTCGTCATGTGAGGGGTCAGGAATGGATTGGATTTTATGTGTACCGAAAAGTGTGAATTGTGGATTGGAGGCTCCCTAGCTACAGTAATGAGTCGAGTTTGCGGGACGGCATCAACAGCAGTCAGTGGCTAGCTGTGCTCGACCATTACTGCCAAAAAGCTATTTGAATTGTTGTAATGCCGCCATCTAGATCGGCCAGTGCTGAAATGGAAGTCATTGCATGGCTCTAGATCGGAACGGCCACTCCGACTTGATTGCGACTGGCATTTCACGAGGCTACCAGGGCCACACCTCCCCTCCCCGGTGCATTTCTTGAGCCTTGAACTCTCCCTTTCGAGCCGCGTGTCTCTTGCCTCCTCCCCTCCACTCCCCGAAGCAATTGCAATCAGTCAAGCACTTGTTATCTTTTCATCATCTCCCGACTGAGCGACACTGACTAGATGCTGCGGCGTCTCATTGGTCAATTGGTTCGAGACCTGCAGGAGACGAAAAAGATTAGCATGTATATATTCCGTAGCACAACCACACCCCTTCTCCAAACGAGAAATGTTTATCATTTACTCACATCCTTCGTCGCGAGGGCGCACAGCAGCGAAATAACCCCAAACGGAATGCTGGTCAGCCAGACGTATTTGAACGAGGCCAAATATGCCTTTTTCAGGGCCAGGGTCGACACGGCGATAATCTGCGCGTTGATGCCCGGCACGGACGTGATCGGCTCGCTCACCACCCCTGTGAGGATCCCCAGCAGCTGGGCGATGGAACTTTTGGGGAGACCGGCCGCCACGGCAGCGGCGGACACCCTCTCGGGCACCAGGGTTGCAGACTTGCTCGAGAAGATGGTCACGTAGATGGCGGTGCCTGCGGATCCGCCAATGCCTCGACACAGACCAAGAATACCGTAGGCAAATCCCCTTGTCAACACGTCAGTTGTCCCGCTCCAACACGCGTATCATGGGCCCTGTTGATGAATACTTACAGGTACTCGTCTGGGGAGGCATATTGGATCACCAGGATTGTTAGGGTCTCCATGATTCCGATACCGAACCCGCCCAGGGCGGAGAAGGCCAGGGCCATGGAACGGCCGTGGACTCCGACAAGACACATCAGGGGGATGAACAGGACTTGGAACAAGACTCCAACGACCATCATCACGCGAGTTCCAACGAGAGGACCCAGGATCGGCAGAGTGAGCGCGCTGCTAACGCCGCCAAAGTTGACCAGGACGGCCATGGGGAGGTCTGTGTGACAAAGTTATGATTCTCAGCTCTGAAGTATCGAGCGGGTCAGGGAGGGTATCTTACTGTCAACGCCGATTTTGACCTGATTGTCCCCGTCGAACAGAAGCTCGAGGTAAGTGGAGAAGAAGACGGACAACGAGTAGAAGAGCATGCCTCCCACCAAAGCGATGACGCACATCATGGTAAAGGTGCGAACACGTCGGAAGAGGAATGGATGTAAGAACGGGTTCTTGGCCAGATAGGCCTGGTGGAAACCCAGAGCTACGGCGACAACAATCCCCACGAGGAACGGCTGTGGACGTTAGCTTGCGCTGCTTGCGAGGGAGCAAAGGACTGCATAACACTGACCGCCAGAAAACGCGCCGATGTGGCTCCGTACGTGGTGATCCAAGTGATACCCAGCGAGACCAGAACCTGGAACGTGACGATGGCAAACAGACCGATCCAGTCCATGGCTTTGAGGAACGTTTGTCCCGTGGCTCGAAAAGATGCTAGGGGAGGTGCAGGAAAGTAGGTGAAGCAGACGCCCAGCGTGGCGGCTGCGTTGATAGCGAGCGACATCCAGAAGACAGACCGCCATCCCGGGGCTGTATGCACGGCAAGAGAATGACCTGTATCGTTGTCGCCCCTCATCATCAGCTCCTGTACAAGGATCCAGACATGTAGATGCCCACGCACCAACCAAATTGCCAGACATGGACCATACACCCAGACACAGGTTCATAAGCCCGACCACATAGCCTCTATACTTTTTGGGGATGAGTTCGCTGGCGGCGGGACTGTCGCTCTAGTTAGCACCTCGAGGGGCATGGCAGAAGAGTCAGCTATACATGGTACAGGTGACACCTCCTTGGGCGAACCCCAGGATCGAAGTAGCAACGACCACGGAAGATGTCCTGCTCGCGGTTGCACCGACAATGTTACCCACGGCCGTCAGAATACCACCACATATGATGAACCAACGACGACCGAGAAGACTAAACTCCAGTCAGAAACCCAGATGGTACAGCTCAAAAGGACCCGAGGCCCCTACTCAGCGAGAGAGTTGGCAACCAGGATCCCGACTCCCAGGGTAATCGAATAGCCCGTACCGATCCAGCTGGCAAGGACCGGGTTCCCCAGATCGGCTTGGATCACATTGACCACGTTGAGGGGGATCAGATTGATGCCCTGACAGCACCCATACGTGGCTCCGAGACAGATGATGGCAAGCCATGTCTTTGCCTGTACCTTCTCGGCCCGTTCGACATCAGCGGGAGGATGAATTGCGACTTCTGCTTGGACGACCTGTTCGGTCTTGTCTGCATCCTGGATTTCGGGGACTTTGGGTGCCTCGCTATACATGATGGCGTTGGCTTACAGAGGGGGGCCAGGAGGACATGGTCTCTGCCTAGTATTTTATGTCCCGCCTCGGTCCGTGTGTGCATCCATATCACAATCAAGCAGAGACACCGCGGGGAAAAGTGGCGGCATAGTTGGGTATGATTCCGGGAAATAGTCGAAACAACGACCGAATCATGGTGAGAATATGGATCATATCACAATTATTGGTGACTGCGTGACTGCTGCGGGATCCCTTTGGACGAATTCCCTCGACAGAAAATTCCTCGCAGTATCCTTAATTCCGGCTTTTGCGGCGCGAGATGAAACAATGAAAAAAAAAAAAGGGGAGACTCGTTCAGCCTCATCCCAAGAATGAAGAGTGATATGCTCAGTTTCCCCAGAGACGCCTCGCTTTATATCCTGTCCACCTTAATATCAACACCGTCTACTCTTGACAGTCTCTCACAGCCTCTCCTTAACATTCCCACCAGCACCACCATCATCATCAGCAACCATGGTCTACCGGGTCATCAACCTCGTGTACCGCTCCCCAAACATGACCCCCGAGCAGTTCAGACACCATTACGAAACCGTCCACGCCCCTCTGGCCGTCGAATGCACGGATCCCCGCAACGCCCCGCTCTCCTACACCCGGCGGTACGTGGTCGACACGGGTGCGCGACCTCGCGGCATCGCGGCGCCCGACTTTGACTGTATCGCCGAACTGACGTTCCGCGACGAGGCGACGTGGCTGCGCTATCTCGAGGGACTGACGACGGGGGAGAACGGCAAGAGGATCGCCGAGGATTCGCTCATCTTCCAGCGCGCGGCCGAGGCGAAGTTGTCGGCAATGGAGCTGGAGGAGACGACGGTTCTGAGTGCGGAGACGAGTTAGGTTTGGAACCGTTGTGTCGTGTCGATTCGGTGATGCGTGATGCCTCATGTGTAACATGTATAGATGGGTTGGGGATGGGGAAAAGTACAGGCCGGTGACTCGGCTGAGTCTGGGGGAGGTCTGCGTCGAACGAGAGCGAATCTCGACGGTCTAGCGAGACGGCGAACCAGGACTTGTCGAGGACACGCGACTCTCGTTCTCATCCAGATCTAGTGTGGTACTGCACTTGACCATCATGGCAATATGCTGGTTCGGGAGCATCTCTCTCGCCCAGAAATGTCGATTGGATAGCATATCATATCATTCCTCGACACAGACTAGAAAGTTATCATCTACCTATCATCGTACAGCCGCGTAGCACCTGGCGAGTATTTACTATTGAAGAGACAACCCCCCCCCCCTTCTCTCTGCATCTCATCTCTATACCCCCCGTACCTCTATACGGAGGGACTGATTAGACATATATATATATATATATACATTATATATGCCCCGAAATGTGCTTCGTCCATTACCGTCTTCGTTCAGGAAAGGGAGCGAGGCCGCTTTAATCGCGCACGTGACAGAGCATCGAAGGGCGCCTGGTTGAGCACGGGAGAGCGTCAAGGTAGCCACGGCGGACCCCGGGGGAGAGCGCCCGAGCACTGGGCGAGCCACAGGGACCGCTGCCTGATGGCCATCCACAGAAGCCAGTTCGGGCACAGGGGTCCCCTTCGGTGTGCTGCACCTCTCCGGAAGGGCCATCTTCCGGGACATGTAGCCAATCGACACATTTGTCATACTTGAAACCTTTGCGACGAGGGATCGAACAAGATGTTTTTTTTCGACGAGAAGTATTCACCGGAACTTAACTTTGGCGCGCTTCAACCATTTGTTGTTGGGTCTTAGGGAAGATCGAAGCCGGCATAGCTTATGCAGGACTTATTTTGATCGGGACGGAGTCGAGGATTGTATTTGAAAAAGACATATTTCCTGTGAAGTGCGCTGTCATTTTCTCTAACGAATCCTGGAAAATTGCGCCCCCGAGTCACTACTAGTGTTGGCAAGCGTGAAAAAATCGGATACGCGAGTTGTTTTAAAACGCATTCCCAACCCATGGACCAAGATCAGGGACGTTCTCGACGAAATCCGAATCCTCAACGTCGTGCGGTCAGCAAGATCTGGAAGCCAATTGGTGCAGGTTTCCGTGTTCTTCCTCGGTTACTATTCGTAAAGTTGAGCAACAACCCCTATTTGTCTTTACCGGGTGAGCGTGGCTCGCCCAGATCCAGAAAGGATAAAAGGTTCCACGGGTTGCCACGGGCGCTTTAAGTTCGTTTGCGAAGACCCTGTCATCTTGGTGCGATTTCGGGGTCCTTCATTAAGCCATATACCTATCCTACCTAGGTTTTTGAATCACTTGATTATATCCAAAACATACATCTCACCCGGCATCCTGCGCATGTCATGAAGATGGGAAGATCCCCAATCCTAAAACTCAACTCTTCTGCAGTCGTGCGACGTTGCGGTCAACGACTCGGGCTGCGCGGATCCGCGACCGACACGAGAAGTCTTGTTCGGTTTACAACAGACCAACCGTCCGTTGCTTCATCGTGCGGACATCCACATCTTGCCAGAGCCCGACGCTCACAAGGGTGATGGTGTAGAGACTGGTGGCGGCGATGAGCATGTATCGCTGAGTCTCCGCGTAGCTCCTGTTGATGGCGTCTCTGGTCGGGCTGCCCAGAGGATAGCTGGCTTGGACGGTCAAGTCGCCGTAGATGTTGGCGAAATTTCCTTGCGCACTCGCCGGGAGATACTTGAGCAGTTTCTTCGGGAAGATGCCGGTCCACATGGCTCCTGCGATGGTCGAACCGATGGCGGAGCCAATGGCGATGACCATGCTCTCGCAGGCCAAGAGGGCGGGGAAGTCGCGCTGCTTGGACACGGCCATCAGCGTCGTCTGCTCGGAGGTTACCAACACACCGCCACCGAAGGCGACGAAGATCTGACACATGACGATGTATCCGATGTTGACGTCGGGTTGGCGGAACTTGATCATCAAACCGACACCGAGGATGGTGAGTGGGACACCCCAGAAGAGAGAGTAAAGTTTTAGGCGGCCGCTCATGTAGCGCAGCAAAAGTCCGTAGACCAGACAGATGAAGCAGCTGCCCATGGTGTAGATGTTGCTGATGTAGGTTGCATGAACGACGGTCTGGTTGAAGAGGACGATGAGGAGCGAATAAAAGTAGTTGTCCCAAATATACCAAGCCGTGTACAGGGAAGCCGCCATGGTGTAGGTGAAGATGACCGTGCGATTCTTTAGCAGCTCCCAAGGGACAAAGGTGATGGGCGCGAATTTGGCTTCCCAGACGCCGAAGGCGATGACGAGCAAGCCGCCAAAGATGAGGAAGCAGATGATTAGGGGAGATCGCCAAGTATCCGGTTGGTAGGAATAGATGTTAAAGGCCAAGAGGAAGAGCGCCAGACCGGTGGCGAGGATGAGGAGACCGATGACATCGAACTCCTTGAGGTAGTGGCGGGTCTTCTGAGCCAGAGTCATGTTCGCTGTGGGCCGTGGAGGGATGAGGCCAGCCTTGCGCGCCTTTTCCTGCGCAATCCAGTGCATGATTCCGAAGGGCGCCATGACGATGGGGACGATGATGCAGAAGACACCGAAGCCCCAGTGATAACCCATGCCGTTGATCACGCTGTCGGCCGCATATCCGTAGACCCAAGTGGTGATGAGGAATGGCGAAGAAGAATAGCCGATCATGAAGCCTCGATTCTTCAGTTTGGAAGTATCGGCAATGAACACCGTAATGCTAAAGTCGATGCCATTGTAGCCCATCCAGTAAAAGACCTGAGCCGCACAGTAGGTCTGGACATTTTGGCAGCCGGCCATCATAATCAAGCCCATGGTCATGAAGGCCACGCTTATAGCAAATGCATGTGGTCTGCCCCACACGTTCATGATTTTGGCATATGGGAGCTTCCAGATACCGGCGACCAGGGATGAGATGACGCTCGTAAGGGCGGTCAGCGAGTGCTCTTGAAAGGAGCTCGTCACGTAGGGAGTCAAAGTGTTGATGATGCCGTTTGAGAATGCGAGGAGAAACGAAATGAGCCAGATGCTGAGCGGCATCAGTACACCGGATCCGATCAAAGCACTAGGGTGAGATCTGGACTCACACAATATACAGGAAAATGATTTCCGTTTTCGACCATGCATAGGTCATGGCCTGCACCGCCTGTACACCATGTTCGGCATTGGTATCGATCTTCTCGACGGACTCATCGTCGGATGTATCAGCGAGCGACGAGGTAGTGTTGTTGTTGCGGACATCCTTTTCGAGGGAATGGTCAGAGGTGGTCCCATGGCCGGCGAGCACGTCTGACTGTGGCTCGGCAGGCTTACTGCCCAGGGCTGCCAAGTAGCCAGGAACCTCCAGCTTACCAGCGAGAGGTTTCATGTCGAAGTTCAAGGATTGGGATGGTGGGTGGACGTAGGGAGGTCGTCACAACACAGATTGATAAACCAGATTGATAACCCAGATTGATAAGATAAAAAACTTGCAACCGGGCCAGGGGCGGATCATTTCACCATTATATACACAGGGACAGCATACACCAACCGTAAAAATCCGAGATCGGCGGGGCATGACTTGCTCGCTTCAAGCAATTTTCCCTTGGGTGGAGGGGGCAGCAACGCAAACCAGGTCGCATGGTGAGGTAGCATCTTGAATAGCCGCAGGTCTAAAGAGTTCCAGATCGGAGAGGCCAAGACCGAATAAAGGGCGACAAGCTTTCTATCGGCCAAGCCGATGGCTCGCGGAATGCTGTGAGGTGGGGATAACAGAGACCGCAGGGATAGGGCAGACCAGGCGTCGACAGCATCTTGTAGGTGGGCATCAGATGAAAATTTTGATCTATCTGATCCGCAGCAGACTCGCTATTGGCCCATTGGCAAAAGCTGAATGCCCTTACACGCGGCCTCGCAGATTGAATCCGGCTTGGATCGACGTCCACAGGCCCCTTGTCGAGGGTCTTAGCTTGCAACCGATATACTTACTTGTGAGCGTTGCCAGTTCCTAAGAGTCTGTCTGCTGTGGCGCCATGCGGCCAACGGAACAAGGTGGAAGCCGCTCGCTTACCGAAGAATGAAAATGCTTTCCACACGTGGTACATTACATAAGGTTTCCACAAGCTACAATTCTCTAGCCTGGGCCAACATGCTGGGAGGCCAATGGACAAGAGAAGAGATAGTCTGAAGGAGAAGAAGAGAGAGAGAGAAAAAAAAAGGGTCGCCCCTGGTCCTGGATGCCCACGACTCGAACAGTCCAACATGATGAGTTCGGAATGCCGGTGTCAATAGCGTCGTGCTATATTTTTGCATTGACAACGGTCAAAATCGTAGCTATGACCACCCCTGTCAGGACGGGCTGTTGCATCCGCTAATTACTCGGTTCGACGTGATCTTCTCATACCGCGGCCAAAATTAACAGGGATACCCGCCCTTTCTATGGTCGCTGAACCAAATACACCTGCTTATCTCGTGAAGGCAAATTTTAACATCATAAGCCGCTATTGAGTGAGAGAGAGTCAAAGAGTTATCTAGATTTCAACGCACGTTACTCATTCTCTTGTTCATTTATCTACATTGCAAATAATTCCTAGTCTAGCGAAACGGTTTACGAGCGTTTCGGACAGGGAGATTTGCTGATTCTGGTCGTCCAAACGAAGCCCATAATAATCACGTTGGCCCATTTGGCAAACGTAATGTTCTCCTCGGGCAGTCTGTTTCTCTCTGCACCAGAGAACCTGTGTCTTGCTAGATGCACCACAGAAACAAGCCGGATTTCTAGGGTCATTGCCGCGAGTGTCGGCGAAACAATGGAATTTTTCGCCCATCATTCCCTTTACGGTTTGAGGTTTTGGAAACATCCCATATAGTGGGTTTGCCACACTTGATACAGTCGGGCGCAACAGTAGGAGGAGGGTATAGCCAGGTACCGAGAGCTTAGTATATATATATATATATAGTCTCTCACTCATTCCTCTTCTTGTCCGTGCTAGCGCCTCATCACCTCCCACCCCCCCCTTCCTTTACCTCGTCCAACAAAAAACGAAAAGAACGGAATGCCGCGCCTGACGCTACATGGTGATAGGTGCATCTATTTCCGTGCCCCAGCTCTTAGCAAGACCAAGATCATCCATACATACCAGTAACGTCACTGACCTTACGGTGCCGGTAAGTCAATGTTACTGCCGGAAACCCGCAAAACTGGAACTGACACACGACTCCATGTTGGGGAGACACCGAGAGAGAGAAAAAAAATCTCGCCCCGATGAATGGAATGAATCCAGCCATTCGCGATGGACGTACGGATCCGTGAAGCGAGGGAGACACAGGACCCAGGACACAAGTCAGGTAGCAGTGTCTGGAGGGCTGCCTATCGGAAACCCAGAGGGAACCAAACTTCAACCTCAGCCCGGTGAGACTGGATCATTGGCCAACCCTTTGCCGGACCTAGCACCAGATCAAGCATCCTCATACAGGGGTTTCCCCGCGGGGTGACTACCTACGTATGTACTCGGTATGTATGTGTGTAGGTAGGTAGGTAGGTAGATAGGTATGTATATCGTCTTGCAATTCCGAGGGGGGATATACTCTGTAGACTCGCATCCCGCGGCCCCCTGCAGTGCAGCCGAGCTCCATCTTGTTGCTATGCGTGTGTGTATGTGTGTATATATATATGCCAGGTTTCTCTTCCTGCAGTTCTCCTGTCAACACATCCTCGTCTACATCGAGTGATATCACCTTCAACATCACCGTATGACCGATCGTGGAAATATCTGATCTCGACCAGACCAGACCAGACCAGAAAATGTGGTGCTTGCGGTCCATCGTCCTCGCCACGACGGGCATCATCGCCGGTGTCGTCGTCGCCCAGAAGAACAGCTCGCCGCTGTGCAAGTCCATCCCGGTCGTCGACACCTTCTTCCTCCCGCGGCCATTCTCGTCCAATCTCACCGACAGTTTCGTCCAGACCGACGCACCAGGTCCCATCGGTGCCCAGATCCAAGCGGATCCTTCGTCGCCGTACATCTGCTTCGACGACGAGTTTGCCGGCCTGCTCCAAGGGGAGCCGGTGCTTGCGGTGAATCAGTCCGACCTCACGGCGTTCGAGGCCGGCGCGTGGGCTCCCGAGGGCAACGCCGTGTGGTTCTCCTCGGCCATTGGGGTGGCGCAGTTCGGCAAAGTCCAGGTCTTCCATTTGGACAACAGCACAGTCACGACCCCGGCGCTGCACACCGCCCAGACCCAGTTGCTCCCGCTGGCGAACCCGAACGGCGGCTACTACTTCAACGGCACCGTGTACTTTGTGCTGGCCGGGTCGCCGGACGCGGGCGGGTCCGTCGTCACCATCAACCCGACGACGTTCGAGACCGACGAGATCGTCAACTCGTACTTTGGGCTGCAGTATCCCAGTCTGGACGACATAGCCCTGGTGCCTCCACGCAGCAAGCCTCACCCACAGTCCTGCGCCGTCGACGGCGAGGTCGAGATGATATTCTCGTGCCTGGACTTCAACGCGTACGGATACCCCTTCCACACACCCGACATCCCCAACTCTTACTGGAAATTCACCCCGCGCACGCAAACCCTGCGCGCCGTGCTGGACCGGGCCGACATCCTCTTCCCCAACGGCGTCGCGTTCGACAAGGACTTCACGACCCTGTACGCGTCGGAGACGGCGTACACGGCCACGATCGGGCCGTCAAACTCGAGCACGGGGTTCCCGGGCATCTACAAATACCGCCTCGGCGACGGGTGCACGCCGCAGGACAAGGAACTGTTCGCCATGGCGCGCGGAGGAGCGCCCGACGGGATCAAGGTCGACGATCGCGGCAGGGTCTGGACCATCGAGGCCGAGGGACTCGTGGTGAGAAATCCGCGGGGAAAGGTCATTGGCATTTTCAACCGGTGGTTCTTCCTGGACGGAGAGCCCGCCGAGCTGAGTATGGGCAACTTTGCCCTCGCCCATGACAAGGTCGTCTTGTTGGCGTTTTCCAAGATCTGGGTCGTCCAGTTGAGCGAGGTTGTATTCTCGGCGGACCGACTCTCCATATGAGGGCGATAAGACTCTGGTCGATAGGATAGTCACACTGTCAGACTTATTGCAGGACTCGACGGAACTGAGTCGACCGGACAAAATGGGTTCGAGTTCTTCCTGACAGTGTCGCGTTTAATCCATTCACAGGCTGTTTCCGCCAACAAACACAAATTGCTTGTTCATGTGCGTTGTAGGGGAGATGTAGCGAAAAAGACGCGAACGTGACAGGTTCGGGCATTCCTTGCCTACAAACTCAGCTCTCCCTTGGATTCTTTGTTGGCCACACGCTAGAGGTTCAGGAGTAGTTGCTCGGTGGTGGAATTGACCATCTCGTTGGTACTGTCCAGCGCGGCCCATAACTCCATTTCAAGTGGCTCATGGAGTAGAAAGGGATCAATAGAAGATGCTTTATTCTGCCTCTGAGTACACGGTTGACCGAATGCGTCGAATTCAATGGTGGATGATGTGGCAGCGTCGCACGCAGGGTCGATCGCAGTGTCGTTGGACGACAAGCCAATAGACCGTGCGACGGTCTCGGCCGCGGCGATGGTCTGCTCCATCCTCTTCAGGCTCGACCTGGCCAGGCGCAAGCCGGCTGCGGTGGTCCTGAGCACGCCAAGGGCCCGCGTGAAAGAAGTCGACGCCTGGACGAGACAGTCGCGATCGACGTTGTCGTCGAGCAGAACGGCCGCCAGCACCGAGACGGCCTCCAGTAAGTAGATGGCGCACGAGTACCGGTCCAAAGGTTCCGCCACGGGCGAGAAATAGAACTCGTAGACGGTGGCGACGGTCTTGTCCGCAATGTCCAGGCAAGTCCTGCGATCTCGTCGCCAGAATCTACCCGCGTGGAGCTCCTTCCGACGCATCTGGAGACGGAAGTAATTGGTGCGCTGTGGTTGGAGCCATGGCATGCACTGTTAGACCTTTCATCTCCAAGTGATTGGTGATAGGGTGCAAAGCGCGCAGAAGTACTTACCAGAAACAAGATTCTTGCTCGTCGAGATATCCGACGAAGAGACCCCTGTAGGTTCCGCTGCCGCTGCTGCTGCGATGCCGCCGCCGACGCCGCCGCCTGAGATCTCCTCTCCAGGGAAAGGTAGTCTGGCAGTCTATCGAGAATATTTTGGAGTTTGGCGTCGATGGCCATGACCTTATCTTCGTCGACGGGTCTTTTGGCGTTGGGGCAGAGCATGCAATCCCAGATCTCGGTGCTCAGGCGTGTTGCTTGGACCGTGCTGTGGAGGTAGTCTGAGAAGGCCTGGACGTCGTCAAGATACTGCATCTCCTCTCTCTGGTCGTCGTCGGTGGCGCAGGGCGGAACCTGGATATTGATGTCGCTATCACGGATCAGGTAAGGCAGTCGCAGTCCTCGGGCAAAGGCGATGTTCTTCTCGAGGCAGTACGTGGTCCAAAACACCCTCTGGCGCATGTGAGCCTCAAATGGGCTCAACGGTTTGCCGTTCTTGGGCTGATCGTGAAGCCCGACCAGGTAACACAGCTGGACGGCCTGGCCCACGGCATTGTATGCCATGTTGAATTTCTCGGCGTAGGTCAAATAAATCGCCTTCATGGTGCATGCTTGGATCGTTGCGGTATTGCCCACTCCCATCGCAGTTGCATGGTCCAGCAGATGAGAGGCTTTCAGGAATCTGGTCCATCCCGGGGTGCTATCGTCGTGGCCACTCGAGTGAAAGTCCTCCAGGATGGACAGGACGGCGATGGACAGATGGAGTATTGCCGTCGCCTGCAAGTCGTCGGCATTCGGTCGATCCAGATCGCGCCTTTGAACCAAGTCGCCAAATTGCGCCAGCGTCTGTGCCTCGTCCAGGCACGGATCTATTCACGTCAGCTCGCCGCCCAACGCAGATGGGGAACCTCGCTCGCGATATACGCACAGTGAAGGCTTGAGAAGTCAAAGAACCGCTGGACCTTGGCCCTCACAGATGGCACGTCCTCCAAGTATCCCGGCTGTTCAGAGCAAAGCTGAAGATCGTCTTTGCAACATTCTGGAAATCTACAGGCATCGACAAAAGGGCACCCCAAGGACTTTGAGTCAACTTCACGAGCTGAATGTCCGTTGTCTTTGATTTTTGGATGTGGTTTGCTCCCGGGGGAAATAGTCCTTGCTCCCGATGGCGATGACTGCAGCTGGGTAGCATGTATAAATGAATTCCATGTCGATAACGTTTCGTCAGCAACCCCCTGATCTGGGTCCAGAAGTTCAGCCAACCCTGTCGACCCTGTATAGTCACTGGTAGCAGAAGGCGATGACTCTCCGAGGCCATGCTCCTGCCCAAACACGGCCACGTCGTCTCGATGAACCTGTCCAGTAGCGAAATACCCCTCGAGTCTCGAAATCCTTGCAAGGATATCAGCCCGAAGGCTGTGCTCGCCTGCTGACTCGGTTGGCCGCTCGGATGCGCTCAAGCAACTAGTTTCACTCTGACCTTCACCTGCTATCGCTGGCAAGATGCTTCTGATAGCTGTTTAGCATCACGTCACACTATGAGGGGTTTGTCTCTTGCATACCTGGGTTGCCAGGGGAATGGATCAGGCCTGGGCTTGGGTTTCTCGCGCCTCTTTCTCGGATCCTGCCTATAGCAGCATTCTAGGCCTGATTTGCGACAAGCCTGGCACGGCCCTGGTTGGTCTCCCGAGCACTACATAACCATCAGACCAGGAATTGATATGGGAGGAAGGGCTCATGGTTAGCCTTGCCTTGACTTTCCGCTTTTGACATGTAACGCTGGAATATTGGTCAGTAAATGTATATAAAATAGTGTCATTGCGTTCTTTTTATGTCAAGGTGTGTGGCTGATGGGCTTCTTACCAAGCTCGTGAAACATATGGAGGGCGTCTTATGCTCTTAGATCTTTGTCCGCTCTTCCCGTTGGTATCTTGTCCCGCTGTGTGGCAACTTGGGGTGGTTTGAAGACCAAGTGCTGGACAGCTGATGCCATCATCCATTTGTTCGGTCACTCGAGTAACTATAATGAAATATTGACATGCACCCCTTGTAAATCGGCCACGGTGCTCTCAGGGAAAGAGAGAGAAAAAGCGTCTGATCAGTGAAATGGGAATCGAGCTTCTTTCTCTCTTTCCCTCTGCGCCACCTGGGGGACCCTGGCAAGCTCCTACATGGTCCTTTGGAGCCGAGATCTGGGCCCCCAGGTTCTTAGTCCCCCAGAAGATTTTCTTAGCATTCAGCCTTGGTGGGTTATAGTTCTCTCTGCCTCCACAACTGCGTGTTCTATTGGTGCTTCGGGATCACCTTCGGAATTTCGCTGGTCCCGAAATTCCTGGAACATACAAAGACAAGGGCGAGTCGCAGTCCTCGGCCGGTAGGAAGGTTCAGACGTTGGATTGACTCCATTCCAGATTCATGGTGCCTGTACGCTTGAAGCTTTCATACTGATCACCTCAGTGGCGGTCCTGCCAGAGTTGTTCATACTAATTGGTTTGGGCTCTGAACCTGTTGGAATGGTCATTCTGAGCCTGGATATCGACATTACGCAGGGAAGTTCCAGGGTTGTGATGCAGTGAACATCCTATGATACAGACGAGGGCGCATTCGAGTGCTTGAATTGTGAATCGAACGCCCCTGTTGCGCTGACGTCAAGGAGACATATCATATAGAACTTGACATTCACTGACACTAGATGGCCCAGTAGAAGAATGTCGTTTCCGTCCAACCCCTCTACTGTTCAGAGCCCGACCGCTGCGAACTTGAGTATCTGCGTTCTGTCCCAGGGAGCTATGCCATTCTACCGCCGTCGATCTTATATTCGGCTCCAGTGATAAAACGACTCTCATCACTGAGCAAGAAGCCTATGAGAGCGGCAATTTCCTCTGGTTCTGCTTCTCGCTGCAGTGCTGATGGGTTCCCGGAGAAGGTGACTCCCGACAAGGACTGCTGCGCCGAATTCATCATGGGGGTGCGGACGCGTCCTCTGTATTCAGAATTCTAACGGTTAGAAGTCGAGGAGACCGAACATAAAGGACCTCAAGAGTCTTACGGGCAGATACAGTTCACCCTGACCTCCTTTTCACCCATCTCGCGCGCTGCGCACCTGGTCAACGCCAGTACGCCGGCTTTGCTCACGCAGTATGCCGGGTAGTTGGGATGCCCATATAAACCTGCAATGCTGGACGCGTTCACAATGCTGCCTCCGTTCGAGATGACCTTCTGCTGTGCACGGAGACAGTAAAACACTCCGGACAAGTTGATGTCGAGCACTGAATGCCAGTTTGTATCAGACAGCGTCGAAATGCCGTCAATGGTCCGGCTGAACACGCCAGCGAGGTTGGCCGCGCCGTCCAGTCGACCAAAGGCTGTGATGATCGCTCCGACCCAGTCTTCCACGTCCTGATTCTTAGAGACGTCGAGTGCGTACGTGTGAAGCTTGACTCCCCGTGTTTGTGCTGTGATCAGGTCTCTTGCTTGTTGCAGGGCTTCATCACGGATATCTGCGAGGGCGAGAGCGGCTCCTTCTTTGGCCAGATAGTGCGCTGTGGCCAGACCGATTCCTGAACCAGCTCCCGTTATAGCAATGACTTTACCTTGAAACCTGTTCCGGCTATCCATTGCACAGTGTAGAGAGGGAAGAGCCCTTGGCTTTCATAAACTCAAGGCCAGATAAGCACTCGCGAATGCATAGATCAGAGACACTTGGCTCTCTGATGAATCTTTAAAGGATGCAGCAATAGAGGCTAGGAGAACCAAAGTGGATTGGGAGATCGGAGGATTGCAGAGGAACAAGGAATTTGGCACTTTTCCGGCATCCGGATTTCCGAAATCCTGGTGCTCAGAGGAGAGAGGCCTTTGTACATTCTGCCCTTCTTCAGCTTCCGGAGATTATTAACCCTCTTCTTCACACCATCGGTGGCGTGGGCACATAAAATACCTGTCCATGGGTGGACTCGTCTCTGCGCCGATCTGTGAATTCGTGTGCACACATATATATCATATAGTTTCACAAAAAGACGCTGACGAGGACCATGTCAGTCAATCCCATCTTCAACCCGTTTTCTCTTCAACATCTGTCGCCAATCTTGGAGCGTCGTACTCTCTTGCTTTTGCCTCGTGAAGTTCTGTCTGTCCACGATCGTGCAACCGTCGCACAACCTCCCCAGTCAGGAGGTGGTCAATGTTCTTGATGAAGACAGATGCAACCATTCCACACACACCGAATGCGATGGTCATCAAGAAAACGATCTTCAAGGCCCCGGAGAACGCGTCTTTCTGTGCAGTGGAGAGCGCAGCACCAACTCGAGCATTGAATCCCGGTACTGTCTTTAGGGCATCTGCACCTTGAGTGAAGGCCGTGAACAGTGCCGGCAAGGATGGAGCTGGAAGTCCGGCTGCCGTAACAGCCTTGGGGATAAGTTTTGTACTGAGTGCAGTATTTCTGCTTGAGAGAACAGACCCATACATGGCGACGGCGATCGAACCGACGGCGGACCTGATGGCACCTTGAGTTCCTATCGCCATTCCAATGTCTTCGGGTTGGACGGTGAAAGTGATGGAGATGATGGGAATCATTTCCACACAGCCGCAAGCGACTGTTCCCAGGATGACAAGCACCGTGCTCCGGTCCTTGGAATGTTGGGTTGTCGAAGCGAGCGAGCCGATCAAGGCGGTCACCACAGTCGTGAAACACATGAGCTGATAGCGGATTCTTCCAATGCGTGCAAATATAGCACAGCAGACTATGTCGCCCAGGGTGTTGCCACCCACGAATGCCATGGTAAGCCATCCCTGGTAGATAAGGTCATCTGTCCACAGGGCCGCAGTCGCTGTAGGCCAAACAATATTGAGGGGATAGTATAGCATTCCTCCGACACAGGCAATCACCGTCAGCAGCATGAACTGAGTGTTTTTGAGGAGCCACAGAGGGACAAACGGATCGGATGGGATGTATGATTCATATACCACGAAGGCGACCAAGAGTAAAAATCCGATGATAATGGTCGAAATAACAGCAGCAGACTTCCAGGGATAGATGTTCCCGCCCCAGTTGATACCCAGGAGGAAAAGGACCATACCCGCGAGGAAGAGCGTGATACCACCAAAGTCGAGTGTCATGACTTTCTCCTTCAGTGTCCTATTCATATGCAACATTTGAAATGTTGGAGGTCGGTAGAACAGGAAAAAGAGTAATATGGCGATGCCCTGCATGATGATGGTTAGGTAGTAATTCCACCGCCACCCTGCTGCGGTATTGACAATCAGGGCTTTGGCGATGACTGGACCGAATGCTGCACCAGGGATTGAAAAAACCATGATAAAGCCGTTGACCAGTCCTCGTGCCTTGCAAGGGACTAGCTCAGGTAAGATACAGCCGTAAGAGAACTGAGCTGCACCACCGAGACCGATAAAGACATTCGAGACGATCAAGGCCGAAATCGACTGAGCTGTACAGGCGACGATAGAACCAACGAGAACAAGGGCGTTTGAATAGATGACAAACCATCTGCGTCCAAATATATCCGAGAGTCGTCCGAAGAGAAGATAACCAGTCGCCAGAGTCAGAGTGTAAGCCAGCGGAATCCAAAGGTAGCTGTCGCTTGGTCCAAGCTCTTCATTCATGGTAGCGAGGCTGTTAGAAGCAAGGACCCAGCCGAAATACGCAGCTTGCACACTCAATCCTTGGGCCTGTGGCAGCATCTTAGTGTCAAGCATGCAAAGCCTAGATATCATACACCACATACCAGGACAGTGCCCAAGAATGTCGGAGACCGGAAATATCCAGGTTGTACACTGGCCCCAAGGGCTTCCTCAGCTAGCACATCGCCATGCGCTGTTACCTTGAAGTCTTCGGTGTGAATCGGTGGTTCAGGCTTAGGGACGGCCTTTCCATCTGCGTGAGGTGTTGCTGCTTCCATCTTGGAAGTAGAGTTGACGAATATCTTCTTGAAAGTGATGCTTGTACGTCTTCCGTCGTGCTTCAGACGGGACATAGAGATAGATATAGACCTGTCTGGTCGTCGCTAGTCCCCGACTGGGACCACGATACTCCGGATCGTGCGCCTCAACCCTTATTGGTAGGATAGTTCCGAAGCTGAAGCTTTTGGGTGCCACCCCTCGTACCCCGGATATTCATAGGAAGGTAACCTATTCCATGACTAGGACTTACTACTTCATTGCGAGCGGAATTCTGCGATAGGACTGCAAGGTAAAGATGAGCCATTGGAGAAGCTATGATAATCTCGAGTGTATAAGGACGGAAATCCCGGTCTTGTCATGAGATTGGATTGAAAGCATACGCCAGGTCCTGGACATTTTCTGTGCTTGGCAATCTTTGAGGATTTGTGCATCGATTGCAGACGCTAAGCATTGTTGATTAGGAACTCGATCAGCTGCCGGATATATTGGCGCAATTATCTCGGTCAAGGTATTGTCTTATCCAGAGGGTGTCGAGACGACAATGCAGTCATCATGTGCCTCTCCCGCATATTGGAACCTTCTTATCACCGTTTTGGCTATGGCAGCCTGTCCACCTTGGACGGTATGGTAGATGATTGATCACCAATGACAGAGATAAATCAGAGAGATTCACTCATGAGAGCTCGCGGCGGGCCTGCTGTTCCGGAATGCCATCTCGCCTTCACCACAACGATGCTTAGCAGCGAGCAGCCAAGGATTAGTATTGCGCTTCAGGGTGGCTAGTTTGACGTTCGGCCTCCTCTCCATTGTTGGCTGGTGAGGCGGTGAGAAGTCGACACTGAGAGACGCTGGAGCCCTTCATCAAAGTGATACTTGCCTCGCCGTACGAACTTTCACGGAATTTCCCTCAACCACGGATCTTCGAGCAGTTCGGTGGCTCCCTTTCTCGCCTCGGGCACCCATTTAAGCATGGATCTCACGAATTTGAGAAACCTTTGTTCGTTTTCACCACTCAAGCCGTTTTCTGACTCTTCAAGCGAGTGAGATGGGATATCGACCCCTCCGGCTCCCTTCCAGCGGCCTGGAATGTGTTAGGCTCATCCGTAAACGATCGATAGTGTAAATATACCGACCTTGCTCATCAAAGACCTTTTGTGTAACTTCGCTTCGTGGTAGGTACTCAAGAGGCGGGAAGCCCAGATACCCGACCATTTCCGCGACATGGTGAGTTGCCGAAGATTCTCCATTTTCGTCCAGAGCATGGAATAAGTGTCGATCTTCGAATAGATCCCATATCTATGACACAAGGCTTAGCCAGGATTGTAGGCAAAAGAGTTTAGAACCGACATGTCAATTACCAAGACAGCAACATTCCAGATATCGACGCTCGAGTTCCATGCCATATTGAATAACACTTCAGGAGCACGATATAACTCAGGCTGAATCAGTCCTCTATGGAATTCCCCGATTGGAGACTCTCCAAAAGCGCACAGGACCGGCTGACCCCACAGGTCAGTCTTCGGAAGACCCAACTGGCGAGAGCCATAGATTGTGCGGACGTCATCAATCACTTTGGTGGGAGATGGGTCTTCGATTTCTTCGTTTTCAAAGTCCGAGAGCAAGGACTTATCGCCAACTGTCAGCATGATGTTTGACGGATTAATATCTAATTCAGATTATCAGTCAGAGGCGAACAGCTTCTTAACCCTCAATGAATTTACCTGTATGTGTCACCTTGGCTTCGTCATGCAGGAAGGACAGGGCACGGAACAAATTAACTAGGGTCCACTTCAAAATCTGCTCATTGAGCCGACGTGATGGATTTTTACGCTGAAGTTCTTGAACAGTCATATGCATCGGAGGGTGGACCAGGCACAGGTGTTGACCAGCAGGACCGTTGATGGCGAATGTTTCGAGTAATCCGCGGATATAAGCTTGACCATCGTGCTGCGAGTTGAGGGCGCTGACGTGCTCATAAAACTGGAGCTCTCGGTAAAGACGGGTAGATTGGGCACTCTCTCGAGTGCAGACCTTGACCGCTGCAAATCCAGGATCGCTGTTCCAAAGGTCAGCAAAAGATGTGCGCCAGGGCTGGAGGAGCATACTCCAAATTTCGACAAAGCCAGGTCGTAGAGTATGCCCCGTACCCAAGCTTTCCCACCACTTTATATCTGGAGTCCAGTACTTCACCGATACGAACCGGATAGAACTGGTCCGATGGTTGTACCATGGCAGTCGTTCCTCCTCAAAAGGTTGCGTGACGTTCATTCTGGTGGCATGGGTGCTAGCAGATTGTCTCTGCCCAGTCGAAGATATTTTAGCGAATTGGTGCACCCGCCGACTAGTTTTCAGCATTGCTTGAGCTATTCAGCTTGCGCTTTGTGATGGAACCAATATATGCTCCCATGGTTCACTTGTGGTAGCTCAGGATGAGGGAACACATGGGATCATGTTGAGAAAGGAGGAACTCCGCAGATGGCTTGCCAAGCTAATAAATCCCTAGGCCTAAAGCGGTTAATAACTAGCTAATTCAGCCTCAAACCCTTAGCACCACCAGCATTACTAGTAACTCTCACCCAACTCTATCTTACCCTCTCACACCTCTTGTGGCTTGCTAACTTTAAATCATGGCGCGAGCCTCATATCTACTAAGCATGTGCTTCGCGTGTCACTCTGTGTCAAGGCCTTTCGTGGATACG